TGGTATGGTCACAGGGAAGTGGTTGAATATCTGCTGCCACTGTCGCGTTCTTCCCCAAACTTCGTATTTCAAGCGGGAAGTACTGGTTGAACGAGCATGAAGGTGTGGTCAAAGGGGTTAGTTTCGACATCTGCTGCCATTGTCTCGTTCTTCCCCGACGATTGTTGGAAATTAGGCAGTTGTCGCACTTGAATTCAACGCAGAAGAACATTCAGGAATCAAACCGTGCATCCACCAGATTTCTAAGGCGCTGCTACTGGAACCTGGTGAAGGCAGTTGAAGCTTCTCCGGGAAAGTTTGTGTATTTATAATGGAGCACGACCATTTTTATGCTTTCTTTCTCATGTTCTTCGCTTCAGTCAAGACTCAGTCACACATAGCTCTATCGGTCCAATTTTCTTTCGCTGCCGAGTACCTGTCCTTGTAACAGGTTATGAGCCCTATCAGCCATGTACCGGATCAGCCATTAGTTAATTATATCATCGCCTCCCTACGACTTGTCAAGCATCAAAGATAATTTCGCCCCAGCATGGCGATACGAGCCCACGGCGCTCGACGACCTCCAGATGATTTTCGATAGCTCGAAACCCTCTACATTCAAGACGTCTTATATTTAATTCGAGCTTCTGAAGCTCAATAACTATCACACCTGGGCACGTGCTCACGAGCGCTTCTTCCGGGGGCAGAAGCCTCTGCGGTCTCGAGTCAGGAAGCGTATCTCGGCCGAGGGAGCCTTAAGAGGATGAAAAGAGACTAACAAACTTGCTGATGGCCGATCAATGAACTGCAACACCGCTTGCCAGTCATGCGAAGGAGTCATACTAGACTCATACGACGGACAAGACGACGTGGAAAGAGACTTGAGATACGCTAAAATGTGACCGAGTTTCCCTAGTGTCTATGTTACAGCGATTTTACGGCTATCTCAAAGGCGCCGACGAGTATATTCATGGGATACGTGTCGAATTGACACAACTACGAGACGATATACAAGACGTTGCCGTCGCAGCTGAGCCGTTGGATAACAGTATGGCGGCTGTGATGAAGAGCGCGAGCCAGGGCGAGGAGTAAAACATGGCCAGTCAACTTGGAGCCGATCAGACGTGCTAACGAAAACCCTGACAATGATGCGCCGTCGGAGTACCGAGCAAGACTCCCAACCGCCAGACATCTGCACGACGGTAAGGCTTACGCAAGCCAGAGTGGTTTAAAATGCATGCTTCTCACGACCGAGGTGAGCTGCTGCCTGATGCTGTTATGTCAACAGGCCTCTTCCCAAAATCCTCTGGGATTTGTCCCTCAGGTATCGCAAGTTCTCAGCAGCATTACAATTTATCTACCACTTTACGTGTCTCGAATAGCAATCACGCTCGTATGAGTAATCGGTATGCTTACCCCACGACAGATAGGATGATACTTGTCGAGAATGGGGATATAATTTCGAGAAGTACAAGAATCATAGACCATAACGCTATTCTAGTGCTGATGTTAATCGTATAGTATAGCGGTTTCCAATAACGCTGTAAACGGTATTGGCCGAATCAGTCAAAGCACTCACTCCTTACGTTTTCGATGCGGACTGAGCCGAGGCCAAGTCTTCTTCCCATGAATTGGTGTGGCTTCAAGTGACCGTTTCTGACTTACTGGCGAGTAGCCATCAGAAGGAAAAAACGCAGAAAATATACTGTTGGAGATTCCTCGTTTCCCTAACGGCATGTTCTTCTCCATGCAACCTGCAGTGCTTCCATTCAGTCTGATACAAGATCCTATACCTAGTCCGTCAGGATGACAATCTTCGCAGCCGCAGTGCTCTCATCCATCTCCGTGTGCGCCTGAACGATCTCATCAAGCTTGAACGTCTTGATAGGAATCTGCATACTGCCATCCTTGATCGCGCGTGCCACGGTATTTATCGGCCCTGCGCTGAAAGGATCCGCAAAGCTCGCAAAAGTCGTCAAAAACACCCCACTTGGAATGAGGAAATTCGGATCGAGCTCGGGAAGCACCCATTTATCCCCTAAGATACCGCACGAGCACACGATACCGTTCTTCTTCGTGGCCTTCAGCGAGTCCGCCAGCGTCGCCACGCCCACGAGCTCGAGCACCTTGTCGAATCCCTCGGGGAACCGCTTCCGCGCCTCTTCTGCGATGGTTCCGCTGTCGACAAGGACGTCATCCGCGCCACTCCGAAGAAGCAGATCTGCTCTGCTCTCATTACGAGTGGTCGAGACGACAAAAGCGCCATGGTGCTTCCCAATGGCCGCGGCGGCCATGCCCACAGACGACGATCCCCCTCTCACCAGCAACTTCTCCCCTTTCTTCAACAGCAACGACGAGAATAGTGCTCCCCATGCTGTATGCACCATTTCCGGCACCGCGCCCAAGATGTCCCAGCCGATTCCATCCGCATCCACCACCTGAACCTGCTTCGCAGACACACATGTGTATTCCGCATAGCCGCCATCGAAATTTCGCCCCATTCCCCCAACAATGGTGGCGACAATGTCACCTTCCTTGAACTCTCCTCCTGGCGCAGCGGCGACGATGCCAGTGGCTTCAATGCCGAGAATGCGGGGGAACGCTACTCCGGGGGAGGCGCCTTTGCGGGTGAACATTTCGGATCGGTTGAGGCCGAATGCTTTGACGCGGATTAGGACCCAGCCTTTATCGGGGGTGGGGATGGGACGGTCCTCGAGGATGAGGGCACTAGGTCCACCGGGCTTGTGGACGACCGCCGCGCGCATTGTCTTGGGGGTGGTTTGCGTCATGGTGAGTGCGGATGGAAAGGTGGAGGTGTTGAAAATTGTCGGAGAGATTGAGAGAAGTGGTTTGGCTTGATGCCTGAGTCGTGGAAGTATTTTGAGAATACTGTTGCCTCGGAAGAGCATGTACAAAATTGAGGATCTGGGATAGTAGGTTGAACATGGATAGGGTTCAGCTTTGATGGGAAAGCTTACAGAGCACGAAGCGAAGGATCGTTATGCCTGCATCATGACGTGCATCGTACATGCAAAGTAAGTGGGGGCTGCGACCAATCAATGTACAGACTTATATGCCATCAATGTTCGAGCGGCCCATTCCAAACTCTTCGACCTACATCACTGCTTGTCCATCAATCAATCAGGGCGCCTGTCAGATGTCATGAGCTGAAGGCGTTGTTTTGCAATTCGGAGGTGCGGTGATGAAAGGACCGCAACTTTGCATCGGCGTGAGGGCTGAAGCATCCTGTCCTTCGCATGAGCGGATCAACGATGTATCTGACGATCTGTCACATCTTGATGTCAGCATTGAGCTTTGACGTACAGTTCACGACCCTAGGCTTACGACGTGGTGCAACGTGAAGGTTGGGGTGCGGAAGAGACCAACGATTATTAGACTGAGCTCGAAGGCGGTGGCGCTGCTAACGGAGCTGTAGTTGAAGAAAACGATGGGTTTCCCTCCTGTTGGCATGCAATAGGGCGTTCCACAGGTACTTTCCGTCTTCGAGATAAAGACGATCGGCTGTCCAGCTTGGGACTCTTGTTTCACGTTTCTTTGTTCGTAGTTCCTGCCAGGATGGCATGTTGAGCTCTCGGGAAACATGGTCATACACTGGTGACTCCAAAGACTGGCTCGAAAGAGCACGATCAGATATAGATGATGTAACTGCATAGATCAATTATATGTTCATGTTATTATTGCCACCTACCCGTGCGTATATTATACTTCGAATAACATCGTACGATAGGAGGATATTGCAGGGTATGAGAGTATGGTAGAGTGAATAATCATCGTAGGCTATGAGAGTACTGCAGGAGATGTCTACTCTGGCTTCCCTGGCTCACGAAGCACTGAACTGGAAGCTGGAAGCTGTGTGCTAGGCAAAGGGGCTTGTAAGCTTCTGGGCTCCGCGAGACCCTTTGTTTTTGAGGTCACGAATTTCAGTGATTCAGCCGCTACAGGCACTATCATTAAATGCGGACACGCCTTTTTTACGAGCACATTTGGAGGAGCAAGTGTTCAAATCACATTATTGTCTGCTAGAAGAGTTTAGAATGTTTCAAAGAACGCTACATTCATTATCTGGCGGATTCGAAGTCGATGGCTTTCACCTCCGTGCAAAGCTTCGCTTTCAAGACTCGGGCTTGGATTGACGGACGGTGATGAGTATGAAGATATCTTGAAACGAGGACGGAGAGCTAATCCAGCCGAAAATGGGAACATCTAGTAGGAAACGACCGCTGCGTGGTAGCAAATGCGTATGAATGAATGTCCATCCTATTCTGTCCTTGTTGCGTTTCTCGAACTGCTCGACATTATTATGTAGCCCACTCAAATTCAGGAGACGGGAGTATGAAGCTGTTTACTTACCGGCCTCTTCCCCTCTCACTCAACAGCGCCATGATTGAGCTAATGCTTGTCGGCCCCATAGCGACCGCTGATCTCGTCTTCACGCTTGACTTTGGGGTCCCCATAGCGACCGCTGATCTCGTCCTCACGCTTGATTTTGGGGTCCCCATAGCGACCACTGATCTCGTTCTCACGCTTGATTTTGGGGTCCCCATAGCGACCGCTGATCTCGTCTTCACGCTTGATTTTGGGGTCCCCATAGCGACCACTGATCTCGTCCTCACGCTTGATTTTGGGGTCCCCATAGCGACCACTGATCTCGTCCTCACGCTTGATTTTGGGGTCCCCATAGCGACCGCTGATCTCGTCTTCACGCTTGATTTTGGGGTCCCCATAGCGACCACTGATCTCGTCCTCACGCTTGATTTTGGGGTCCCCATAGCGACCGCTGATCTCGTCTTCACGCTTGATTTTGGGGTCCCCATAGCGACCACTGATCTCGTCCTCACGCTTGATTTTGGGGTCCCCATAGCGACACTGATCTCGTCTTCACGCTTGATTTTGGGGTCCCCATGCACCACTGATCTCGTCTCTTTTTTCCCCATAGCGACCGCTGATCTCGTCTTCACGCTTGATTTTGGGGTCCCCATAGCGACCGCTGATCTCGTCTTCACGCTTTTGTGGTGTCATGACTTTGTTGACTATTTGTGTGCTCAATCAGTCAATCTCTCCTCCAAGCAGTAAGTAGCCGAGACCAAGAGGGAAGACAAACTTAAGAACGTAAGAGCGTATAAGATCAACTTACTGGGGAGCAAATACGATGGTGCAGCAGACACCAATGCTAAGGCCAAAGCCATAACCAAAGCGATCTTCATAGCTGAGGACTAAAGATGTGAAGGAGCTACGAGGTAAGTGTAATGTTGAACTATGGACTTTGTTTGTTTGAAGTTTTAGTGGTAATTGAAAAAGATTTCTGGCAGATGGTGGCAGAAGATGACAAATCTTTGAAGATTCGAACGGACTTCAGGCGTGCTATATGTATTGCGATATGAGCAGGCGGTGTCAATGCAGATTCGACCGTTATCAGCTTCGCAGTGTAGTGCTTACCTGCTTCCACGTCAACTCGCTGCCTCCGAGATGCAGCCCACTACGTCAAAACAAGCAATGGACACTTAGCTTAGCAATCGCCTGGCTACTGAATCGTACTCAAGGAGTACCGATGAGGGAAACGAGTCATTAAGGAAGCTGGTAGGTCTTTTAGTGGCACGCTTTTCACTCACATGGGCGACCAGCGTCTCTTCACCGCTCCGGAGTCCTTGCAAGCTTCGAAAAGAGACGTGTAGATCATGTTTCTCATGTGGTTGAGACTATCAGCTACCGACTTGACAGATTATTTCCGGGCGACTAATGACTACATCTTATCCGTGTACAACCCTTTCCGGTATGTGCATGTTCCCCATACTGGCACGAAAGAACACACCCTTGGATCAGATTGGTGTCTGCGGGTTTAACTCAGCAACTTTAACGTCCATTAGATAAAACCTTTCATCTATTGGTGCAGTACCGGTTTTCTGCAGAATGGCCCCAAGATGCGACATGAGAATCCTTCACACATCCTTACTTATTGAAGCAGGTGGGTTCGTTCAAGATCCTTTACACATCACTCCTCATCGAAGTAGTCGAATCCACTTTCTGCAGGATTACCTCAAAGCACAGCAAGAAAAATCCCTCACACAAGCATAATGATTAGGTAAGTGTAATATGACAATCGAGGCAATGTATGATACTTCTCCTCAGGGTATCAAGAGCTTATCAGCCAATGAAGCGAATGTATGATCGATATTCCCATCTCTTTCCAAGCGCGCATATATTACTCCGATAGCTCGCTCGAGCTGAAGGGGTGTATACGTATGAACTGAAGCAAGACACCGCCGAACGAATTTGGTACACGACATGAAGGTCCTCCACAATCTCACCAACTCTCCACTTTTAGCCGGCCAGACCTTCCTGTAATCAAAGGTAGGGTAAAGGTTGAAGCTCGTAGAGATGAAACAGAGCTCAAAATATGTACGCAAATCCAAGTCAGGGTTCCCATTCTCCGCTCCCGAGGGTCGGGGACAAAAGTCTCTGCCGACTTTCTCCCGCAGCCCCCACCAAAAGTCGGCAGAGACTTTTGTCCTCGACCCTCGTCCCACCTCAGGGACTTAATGCTTTGTCATATGGAATATAAAATATAGTTAATAAGTATATAAAAGTAATAGACTATAGAATCTATCTATATAAATAATAAAGCTATATATTAAATCGATTAGAAAAACGTATATTCGAGAAAAATAATTTATTCTAATACTTTTATTTAATAACAAATTTAGGTCTATAAATCAAATTTATAGAAAGTTATTAATTTTTAAATCTCATTTCGAAATTAAATTCGACTCTCGAAGAGTGAAAATATTTTAATTTAAGATTTACGTAGAACTATAAGCTCGAATTTAATAATTTCTAGATTATTTAAAAGCGTAATTTACGTTCTATAATTTCAAAAAAAGAGTTAAAAAATTCTAATAGAAATAAGAGAAGTTATATTAATAATAAGTTTATAGAGAGTTAATTAACTTTAGATTAATTTTATTTTTTTTAATAAGAAGTTAATTTTGATATCTATTATAGTTTATCTCTATTAATAATTCTTTTATTTTTATAATTTATAGAATTTTTATTAATTTTACGAATTTTACGAATTTTACGAATTTTACGAATTTTACGAATTTTACGATTTTACGATTTTACGATTTTTTGGCGAGGGAGATTTATAGATTGAAATCGAGGACGTAGCGAAATAGTTTTAAATTTTATTAAAATTATTATTACTCGACTATTTAAGCTTATATAAAAGAGTATTCTTAATAAAGTAAATAAATTTTTAATAAACGATATTTAAATTCTCTATCTTTAAATATTTATAAGACTAAATTTAAAAACTCTATTTTTATTTGAAAGCTTATATTTTAAAATTAAATAATATATATCTAATTAGAAGCTTAAGACTATTCGGCTATCGAGCGAACTTTAATAAGTAATATTTAAATTTCTTACGCTTTAATAATTATAAGACTAAATTTAGAAATTCGTTTTTCTTCTAAAAGCTTATATTTCGTTCTATAATTTAAAGAAAATTTTAAAATTTTAATAGAAAATAATTTTTTTTATATGTTAATAATATATATAATTAAATTTATTTTTTTAATAAGAGAGCTTAATAGAGCTAGTAAGTTAACTTAGTCGATTTAATTAAAAAGCGTAGCGAATTTAAATTTATAATTAGCTATATATATAAATTTAAGATTTTATAATTTAGCTTTATCTTTTTCTATTATACGAGTAAAGATCTATAAATTAAATTTATAATCGTTTTTTTAATTAAGACTATCGAGTAAATTTAATAAGCGATCTTTAATAAGCGATATTTAAATATCTTATCTTTTAATAATTATAAGACTAAATTTCGAAATTCTTAAAGCGTTTAAAAGCGTAATCTACGCTCTATAATTTAAAAAAAAATCTTAAAATTTTAATAGAAAATAGTAAAGTTATTAAAGGATTAAAAGTAGAGTAAGAGATTTTAATAATTACGAACGCTAATTTATTTACTCGCGATAACTTAGTTAATTTAATTAAAAAGCGTAGTAATTCTAAATTTATAATTAGCTATATATATAAATTTAAGATTTTCTAACTTAATTCTATCTTATTCTTTTATATATACTAATATATTAATTAAAAAATATATACTTATATTAGACTCGAAGAGCCTTAGAGTTATATAGTAATGTGAAATTAGAAAGATAGATATATTCGTATATCGATCTGATAGTAAAACTAATTCTTAAGGAAGCAAAGGAAACTCGGGGGGATCGCTTGCTTGAGCTTATCCGCCAAGACTCCGCCAAGACTTCGCTAAGCGTATATCAGGCGTACGTAAGTTAAGTAATCTAGGGTCCTCTCACTTAGAACTCTTAAGCCTCTTTTCTAACAACTTATTTTTTAATTAAGATCGAGTAAATTTAATAAGTAAACTTTTAATAATAAATATTTGAATTCTTTGCCTTAAAACATTTATAGAATTAAATTTAATATTTATTTTTTCTCTAAAAGCCTATAATACGTTCTATAATTTAAAAAAAAATCTTAAAAATTTAATAGAAAATTAAAAACTTATTTTAAAATTAAGTAATATATATCTATTTTTTAATTAGAATTATCGAGCGAACTTTAATAAGCGAACTTTAGTAAATAATATTTAAGCTCCTTGCTTCTTAATAATAATAAGATTAAAGTTTATAATTCTTTTAATTAGATATCGCGAGTAAATAAATTAGCGTTCGTAATTATTAAAATCTCTTTCTCTACTTTTAATTATTTAATAACTTTACTATCTTCTATTAAAATTTAGTAATTATTTTTTTAAATTATAGATTATAATTTGCACTTTTTAAATTAAAAAATTTAAAAATTTAGTCTTATAATTCTTTAAAGATAAGGAATTCAAATATCGCTTATTAAAGATCGCTTATTAAATTTACTCGATAGCTCTAATTTAAAAAAAATAGATTATAAATTTAATTTATAGATCTAAACTCGTTATATATAAAAAAAAAATTAGTATATTAGTATATATATTAGAATAAGATAGAGCTAAGTTTAAAAATCTTAAATTTATATATATAGTTAATTATAAATCTAAGTTTATTACGCTCTTTAATTAGATCGACTAATTTATTATAAGTAAATAAATTAGTATTCGTAATTATTAAAAATCTCTTTCTCTACTTTTAATCCTTTAATAACTTTACTATTTTCTATTAAAATTTTAAGATTTTTTTTTAAAATTATAGCCCGAAACTTACGTCTTTTAATAATTTTTTTTTTAAATTTAATTCTATAATTATTAAAGCGTAAGAAATTTAAATATTACTTATTAAAGTTCGCTCGACAGCTCTAATTAAAAAATAGATGTATATTATTTAATTTTAAAATAACTTTTTTATTTTTTATTTAAATTTCGAGTTTTTTCTCTTAAATTATAGAATATAATATAAGCTTTTAAATAGAAAAAGAATTATTAAATTTAATCTTATAGATATTTAAAGATAGAAAATTTATAAATCGCTTATTAAAAGTTCGCTTATTAAAGTTCGCTCGATAGCTCTAATTAAAAAATAGATATATATTATTTAATTTTAGAATAACTTTTTTATTTTCTATTAAAATTTTAAGATTTTTCTTTTAAATTATAGAACGTAATATAAGCTTTTAAATAAAAAAAGAATCTTAAAATTTAATCTTATAATTCTTTAAAGGTAAGGAATTCAAATATCGCTTATTAAAGATCGCTTATTAAAGATCGCTTATCAAATTTACTCGACAGCTCTAATTAAAAAAAACGATTATGAATTTAATTTATAAATCTTTACTCGTATAATATAATAAAGTATATAGTTAACAGCTATATAAAAGTAATAGATTATAGAATCTACTTAAATAGAACGGGAAGTTATGTACTAACTCGATTAGGCAAGCGCTCACCTTAGGGTGATGGATCGTAGAGGAGGCCCGAATAGATTGATACTTTTTCATTTGAGTAGAAGCGCTTAAGAGCCTATCATCTCGGTCTAGGAATCCCGGCTGGAAGCCTGATATCTTTGCATTGTTTCGGCCATGATCAGCAAACGACCGAGACGTCTCGGATTCCATCCATGTTGAATATGCTGGAACTTTTGACCCTCGGACTTGCACAGAAAGCAGGGAAAGAAAAGTCCAGATACCTATGCGCTAGTCTAAGAGACATGCAAGGTAGGCCATTATTTCCGGACGGATCGGTTAGCGCGAGGTTGCGGTGAAGATGTCGGTAAAGACATTTATCATCATTTCGCACACTCTGCTCATGACCTGGCATGCTTGGATGAAGTCATGTTGCGACCCTCACTGTGTCCAGTATGCATGCATGCGTCCAAAACATGCAATGACAGCATCATCATCATCATTGTGCATTGCTACAACGGACATGGAAGATACCCCGCAAGGCTTTCATTAAATCTCTCATCTTTCATTACCGGCCCCAGCAAAGATGCATGGTGGCGCTACCTTTTTCTCAAGGACCCCGCAGCGAACTCAGTGCGCAGTGCTGCAAATGATATTGGAGACATCGAGCACGGTGCGAACTGGTACCCCATGGTAAAACAAGCTAATCAGCTACATCGACAGCTCGATCATTCCCTAGCTCCGGTAATGGACCGTAATGTAGACTTGGGTCAGAGTCCACACTAAAACTACATGTATGTATAAAGATGTTTATTGGAACAGATCATCGAAAGTTTTGAGTACGACTTTTGGTATCTGCGCCGCCTCATGATGGACCCTGCTCTTCTTCAATCTTGATGCACTGAGAAGTTGTGTGATTAAAGCCGACCATGCGGGACTGCGATTGTCTCTTCCTCCTTGCCATTTCACCCCCACCATCATTACAAAACTAGTGCTTTCTCATTTCAATAATCGACCTTGACTTCAAGTCTTGAGTTCATAATAATCGGACGATGCCTTTGCAACCTGATGGGAAAAGCTTGGTCCGCGAAATGTCTGACTCCTCCTCCTCCTCATTTCCGCTTCTCAAGGCAAAGAGCACATCTGGAGACTCTGATTACAACGAGGAGACCTTGAATGATGCAGAAGCCAAAGCTCCCAGCCAAAGCCACTTCCGGTCTTGGGCCCGGCGGCATCAAGGTGGCTGGATTGTTTTGCATTTGTGCATCATCATGGCTTACACGACTTTCTATGTCCTGGCACTTTGTGGAGTACTTGCCTCAAGTGTGGATTGCGGCTTCAAGCATAGCGAAGTCGGTCCCCAGGATCTTTTACTCAGTCTGTAGCGACCCCCTCTTGACCCCTGTGCAGCTGCTGATATATGATCTAGCTCCAATGCACGAAGCTGTCAAGCACCAGGTGCGAACTGTCCGCAACTCAGTAAACGCAACCAGCAAATACAAGGGACCTCCCTCTCCTGAAGTGGATCGTGCCTGGCGCGATCTATTCAACAGTAAGTTTACATGATTTCCCATGTCCTCAAAGATGGTGAAAGGCAGAAGCTGAATGGCTAGACAACAATCTTCGAGTCAGCGCGGAGGACATGAAATTGTTGAATCGCACCTCAGTCATGTTCAATGATGGATCGGGAGACTTCTTAGCAACTCCCGACGTGAGTAGATTTATCCATGGTGTTGTCCAATGCTCGCTAACGAGTGACAGACTTATCACCAACTACACTGCTTATGGTATATCTTTCAGAATGTACATTCAGAGTTCTACACGGTCAATCCGACTATCGTGTCGGTCAGTGATCATGTCGACCACTGTATCGACAGTATTCGAATAGTGAGTATCGTGTACTTTAAAGAGGCCAAACCGCGCCGATTGACTCGTCGTCCACAGTTCATTCAATGCCACGCAACTACGAGCGTTCAAACTTATTCGTGGATACCCAATATGCGTATTCCTTTTCCTAATTTCGAGGTTCCAAATGTGTGTGTTGAATGGGGAACGTATGACAAATGGGTAAAACGCCACTCGGTCGATGAATATGAGCCGGGTCTGCTCATACACCCAACTCTCGGTCCATCTTTTCCAGATGGTAAACCAAAGCATGAGTTTCATCATGTTCCTCACTCAGAGTAACGTGACAGACTATCGTGCTCTCAGAACCAAAGCACGGTTGCTTGGAGAGAATAGCGGAAGTTTGGCTCGATAACATGCGTTGATGTAGAGTACACAGTAATCTGTTCAGATGCTCCCGTCGGAGTAGAGAATCAATTCTGCTCAAAGATCGTCAGGTAGCTCTGGGCGACTTGCGTGACTTTGGAGTACATCATTACTGGCGATCGTCTGGTATCAAAGATCGCTTCAAGTGGCGCGCTTTACGCCACCGTGGATACCCAAGCTTCTGCTCCTTTAGCGTGCACAGGTCGCGGATCCGTCCCTTCCATTTGAACTGTTCCACCACCTGCCAATCCAGGAAAGCTCTGAAATCACTCACCGCCTTGGAATGCAGCATGACAATCATCGTAGAATCGTCAATGATAATCTGCAAGCTAACGTAGCTTGGCGTCACTCTGCATACCGATTCCCAAAGAGGGGGCCCGCCTCCAGATCTGATGTCGGCAGAAGAAAGTCCCTACCCACCACGAGCTAACACCCCCTACTCTCTGCCCACATCAGAAGGAGTATTGCTGCTGCAAGTCTCGACTGCCCCCTTTACACGGACCAACTCTTGGAATGAACACTCGAGTAAGTTTCTCGTCTTCCTAGGTGTTCGGTAGTAACCATTACGAAGTTGGATATGTGGGCACCGTTTACCGATTGGTCTTACAGACCGATGAGCACTGGTTCAGACGAAGAGTTGAGCTCTGAGAAGCTTCCCGCACTCACACTCGTCGAGCGGACGCAGAAGCGAACCATTCTCGTCGCGCTCGCAAGCCTCCTGTTCACCACGCTCTTCGGCTTCGGCGTCGGTTTCGCAGCTGGGGCGTGGAAACCTGAAGGATCCTCACACGAGCATGGTCTCCTTCGTTGGTCCTCCCCAACCCTCAAGGTAGGATATGGCTAACACCTACAGAGCCACCGGGAACCGTGGTGAGGGAGTTCGTATACAACGAAACATTCACACACGGCTTCGATGATCCAGTAGCAGGACCAGCATGGCACGAATTGGATCCCAATGGCGGCAAGATCCTCCACCCGTCCTTGGCTAAGAATGAGACAGTCATTAGTGCATTTCACCAGGTATGCTAGCCGGAAGTTTCGATACAGTCTCTACGGTCAGATTCAGATGGATAGACTGATCGAGCTACTCAGATTCACTGCCTCTATGTCCTGCGCCTCGCCTTCTACCACGCCCTCGACGGCACCTTCGACTACGACAGTAAAAACTCAGGCGATTGGCATGCGGGACACTGTTTTGACTATCTTCGCCAATCCATCATGTGCGCTGCGGACACGAATTTGGAGCACTCGAATGCGGAGGGGCACCATATGTGGAACAGAACGCACTATTGTCGCGATTGGGAGTCCGTGATCGCCTTCGAGGTTGAATGGGCTCCCAATAGCCCACGCAATTCCAAGAGAACCGGCTTGTGAATCTTCGAGTCACTGTTCCTCAGCGCTATGTATTCGTCTCGACATATTTCACTCAGTGGTTGCCCGACTCAGGCGAAGATGTAGCGCTTCGGCTCGAGCTCAGGTACATCATCGATGATTCTATCTGATCAATCGTACCAATCATGAACACATCCTGGAGTCTATAACCTGTCAACCAGTCCTGCCATTTCTCGTCTTCCTCGCAACCCTAACCATGTCGCCGCCCGTTGAAGACTTCTCCTTTCTCAGGGGGCAACACTGCTCCAATGCCTCACAAGTCTCCTCTAGGTAAATCACAAGGAGGTGACATTCAAATTGTATGAACTGGCCAAAACCAGCGGTTGCTGATTGATCCGCAACCATTCTCCCTCTACCAACCAACCCAATATCAACTTTAATCGTCATCCGTATCTCCCTCCAATTGTTGTCATCTGTGACCATAGCAATTGGAACATTTCCCAAGGCCCAAATAACAGCTTCAAATGTCAGCCAAGGGCATTGTCCGCGTAGTGGTGTCGCTGGATCAATAACCTGAAGCGAGATGTTGTAGTCACCCCTATCGCTGAAGGTGCGTACGACCTGTCTCCTTGGGTATGGAGCCATTGCAACTAGGCTGTGAAGATGGTCATGAAAACGTCTGCTGAAGAGAGCGGTCGCCCAGCCATGTCGATTTCGGCTGTGAGACGACCGTTGTGGTAGATGGTGCTCAATGCTGAGCTGCTTGTGACATTTGTAGCTGGAATGCCTAGCAAGGTTGAATGGGTGTTTGGTAGGGCAGTGAGTAGGCTGTTGGTGTCGGCGTTATTGTTATTGCTGCTGCTCAATATGGAATTATCTTTCTTGATGAAACGAATCTGACCGACCACAGATCCTTCCGATGGAGTTTAAACGTCAATTCGCGGTAAAAGCTATTAGATAACATGTACCATGTTGCACTGTAGAGTCACCAAATTGCATACTTGATAAGTATGTTGCTTTTCGGTTCCAAAGTCAGTCCGTCAATGAAAAGTGTGAACCAAGGATGATCGAAAGAACGAGGTACGGTCTCCGCGTCAAAATCCTCCACTGCGAGGATATGAAGGCCTTGTAGCACTTTGAAGAGGACTTGAGTCTTTGCGAAGCCTTGATTAGGACCGAGTCGGGCCCCAGGGCTACTTGGTTGGATAGTGAAGCTGTTGGGGACAAATGCACCTAGGATAGTATTGTTGAGAGTGCTTCGGGAATCGGTGCTATCCGGAGAGCTGGTCAGATTCGCAAGGGAAGCTGAGCTTGCGGTAGCCCGCAAGATCAGTTGCGAGAGAAGTATCAAGAGACATTGAGAGGAAAGTTGCATGACGAACTTCTCCCATGAAAGGTTTTGCGAAGAAAGCGGGCTTTTGTTTCAAGACTTGAAAATCTAAGACTCATAATGGGGAACACACCCATAGATATTGGTGCGGAGCCGCTCGCGAATCGCCTCTTTCTTGTGCACCAGCGCAATTACGATGTAACAATTACTCTGCGCGTTGAATTTTTAGGGCAAAGCGCCAATATCGTACGAGCAGATACTCTTCTTGTAGAATATGTGTTGTAACGCACGGGTTACCGCTCATTGGGAGTGAAAAAAGATGCCGAACATGGTCTGTTGATGTCTAAGGATGTCTTGCTGTAGAGGCGATACTCGTAGTGGCGTGTCAACATCCGGCTCCCACTTCTTCCAATCATCTTGTACTTTCAGTCATTCGAAGTATTAGTACTGTGTATCGTATGGGATCTCAGGGAAGTCTGAAGTAATCAATTCGTTCTGAAAATTCTCCATTCTGTTTGAGATACGACAAATCTCTTGTATCTTAATTATATTGATCAAGAGCACGAACGAGATCGCAAACGAGAGTTGGATGTAGGCAGCATGAGAGAAAGGTGTTCATTATAATACATTCAGATGAGAATTCTCTGTTGACTTGTCTGGCGCCAAGCCAACGCCACCAACGCCCACTCGCCTCACTCTCCCAAGCAGCCATCCACCATCACCTCCACCACCTTTCTCTCTACCGCTCAACATGTCCCAACACGCACGAATAGAGGAGCTCTCCGACTCCGACTCCGACTCCGACTCCGACCCCCCGGAGCAGGACCCAGACGACTTCACCGACACCCTCATACGCCCCGCCAGCATCCCCCCACCCTCTTCTCTCCACCCTCCGCAACGACAACAACCGCCCCTCCAATCCCGGCAACCTCAAACGCCATCCTTCAATTCCACCTCTCCACCAGAATACAAGCACTACCAATGCCTCTACCCGCTCTACTTCGACGCCAGCAAGACCCGCTCCCAAGGGCGCCGCGTGAGCGCCGAACAGGCCGTCAAAAACCCTCTGGCGAGGGAGATTGTCGACGCGGTACAATTGCTGGGATTGAAGACGGTGTTTGAGCCCGGGAAGACGCATCCGAGGGATTGGGCGAATCCGGGACGGGTGCGGGTGTTGGTGAAGGAGGGGGGAAGGGCGAGGAGTGCGAAGGTGAAGAATAGTATGCTCTTTATTCCCTACACACACCCCAAGTTACCGTGTCTACACGGAGTTTCTGGATATTTACTCGAGGGACTTAATGCACCGGCTGATACATTGATGGTCCAGAACACCACCTCTACACCCTAATCTCCCAGCACCTCAAAGTCCACCCCACAACCGCCGAATCGCCACTCCGCCTAAGAATCCAAGGAATGCCCCCACCGCAACTTCCCATACCACCGCCCGCTGTACCGAAAGGGTGGATAATTAATGACATACTACCGCTACATTCGCCGGCGCTGAGTGGAGGCGGGGTCAGCGAGAATATATTGAAGGACGTGATGCAAGAGATGCAGAACGCGCAGGGAGGAGGGGGCGGAGGAGGCGGTGGTGGACCAGGAGGACTGGCTGGGATGCTGGGAGGGATGGGAGGAGGGGGGCAGGGGAGTGTGGAGGGGGCGGCGGCTGGGGGAAAAAGGAGAAGAGAGGGAGGGAAGAAGAAATGAGGATAGGCGGTCAGAAGGGAGGAATTGCATAGCTCTGGCGCTGGACTTCTCTTGTTCAACGCTCAATAATACACGGGAGCCCCTGGTATTGAGCTTGAACGACGGTTATTGGTATCGACGAAGGAGAAAGCCGCGGAAATATACGCGTACAATATTGCCACCACGTCCCATCCACATACGCCAGCCTCAGCAGGATTTGAGCTAAAAGCGCCGCTTTCCAGGCCTCCTTGACGAAGCCCGACTTCTAGCCATCCTCAAAGGCATAGCCTCATCCCACTCCTCGTCAATCTGGTCCCTGCTCTCCCTTCGCTTCTTCGGCCAGTTCCTACAAATGTCGATGTTGGCCCTTGGGAACACCATCTCCAGCAGCTGAAAGAGCAAGTAATCGATGATGACGCAAAGACAAAAGAGCTTGCCGGCCCAGATACCGCAGCCGTAGTATCTCTTCAAGCGATCAATCAACGCAAAGCTCTGCACACCCGCCCTACCTCGAGTGGCAGACCAGCCACCGCCTGAGACGTCGCCGTAGAATTCTTCTTCGCTAATCGCACCTGTGATGCCGTCGTAGACTCGTTCTGTTCGCTCTGCGACATTGGTCCAAGAGTACATTTTCTTGACTTGGTCGTGGAAGCCTTCGGTTCGGATCCTGTTAGCTCTCAAAGCTGAGATTGCTTTGCCTGTAGCAGCTACCAGATCGTCCTCCTCTGGCTTTGCGAAAGTAGTCATATGCGGAGGCAGTACTTCGGGTATGCCCCCTACACGAGTGCACACGACGTACAAGCCACAGCTAGCGGCTTCGACGATGACAGTACCAAAGGCTTCGGTTAGACTAGGATGCAGGTATATATGGCCTCGGACCATGACATCCCGAACCTCTTCATGACGAACAGGTCCGAGTAGCTCGACTCGATCTTGCAGCACTCGTCGTTCGAGCATCTGCTCTAGATCTATAGCTTTGGGTCCAGAACCAGCGATGATAAAGCGGACGTGAGAATCGGCTGCCAGGATTCGAGGAATGGCTGCGATGAGAAGATCAGTGCCTTTGTTGTAGAAGAGCCTAGAAATCACGACGATCGTAATAGTATCCTCAGGACCAAGTCGTTGAGGCGGTGGTGGCGGAGGGCGAGCGTCAAGTTGCGAGATTGGCTGGTGGGTTTTCGCACGGTTCTGCAGAGCCAAAGGCTGAAAATTTTCTGCCACGACAGCGTTGGGGATCACTGAGACCATCAGCGGGTCCAATGAAGCTCGCAGGACTGTGTTTTCTTTGCTATCATAATCTCAGCACAAATTATTAAAAGTCCAGTCAATGTTACATACCAAGTGTGGCTGACTCCAATGACATGATCCACATCGCTCAAAGTAAATTTCAGGAGCTTATTCGTCAAGATACTCGCAGCATCCGCGAACCCAAAAAGCGAATGATCGGTAAAGACCGTTCTCAGCCCCATAGTCCTGGCATGTAAAATAGCCTCGTGACACAGACTGCTCAAGCTTGCATGCCCATGCACGATTTCGATCTGCTCTCTCAGGATGATATTCCTGAATATTGGGAAGAAGGAAAAAACAGTCGGGAAAGTAGTTTCTCTATAGATGACAAAGAAAGGTACGTGGTAGACCTTGAGGCCATTCGTAAGATATCGAACACCACTTCGTCCTTCATATGCATGGGTGATGATGACGACTTTATGGCCACGATCGATGAGCTTGGTCGAGAGTTGGTAGATGTGGCTTTCAACGCCGCCGGGTTGGGGGAAAAAGAAGTCGCTGACCATGGCGATATTGTACGTCATTTTGAAGGCTTCCAATATTCGGGATCCAATGGAAACTGGATTGAATATCGAAAAAATACATCATGAGCATTCGATGGATTTTAATGTTTATGCTTGGTCCTTTACTTCGAGATCTGATATCGAAGGCGCTAGATTAGATACCGGCGCGTGGCGTTAGGCGCGGCTATCAAATCCGAGATCTTGATATTCAAATGGATATCCACTTTCAGCTAACTCATTCGCAAGCGATACCTCATGGCTTCGCCGTTCTACAACAGATATATCCCACCGCCGCCAAAAGCTTCTCATCATAGCGAGCCATCACGTCCCGCAAAAAAGCGGAAAAAGAGCAAGTCTGCTCCCACTATAATTTCCCAGCAAGCAAAGCCTCGGGAAGAGTCCCAGGAATCTGTCGCCTCGAATGATCACGGTGATGAGGAAGCGCATCTCGGATCTGCCGATACTGAGGGCGTTCATCATCAGATCGCCATACGTGATAGGCACAAGACCGTGTTGGACAAGTACGGTAAGGCCGCCAAAAGATCTGCTGAATTGACGGATGAGAAGACCGTCGCAGCGGAAGATGATGAAGGCGAGAGGCAGAAGGATGTAATGGACGTTGAGTTACACGGCTTGGAGCCATTACCGCAACCTGCACCCGTGAAGGAAGATCATCAAGTATCTGCATTCTCTGCTCTTCCCGAATGGCTTCAAACCCCAGTATTGGCTTCTTCTGCGAATACTGTACCTTTCAAAACCCTCGCACTCCATGGCGATATGCTTGCTTCACTGGAAAGAAGGGGTCACTTAGCCACCTTCGCAATCCAGTCTGCCGTTCTTCCGATGCTTCTTCCTGGACCACAGCAGCATACTGGGGACGTTTGCGTTTCCGCCGCTACTGGGTCCGGGAAGACGCTCGCTTATGTCCTACCAATAGTACAGGACCTACGTGACAAGCCAGTCACCAGATTGAGAGGTCTGATTGTTGTTCCTACTAGGGAGCTTGTCAACCAAGTTAGAGAGTCTCTAGATCTCTGCAGTGCTGGCAGCGGGCTCAAGATTGCGACAGCAGTTGGGAGCAAGTCGCTGAAGGAAGAGCAGACAGTGCTCGTTGAAAAAGGTCAGAGGTACGACCCTGAAGCTTACAAAGCGGAGCAAGAGAAAGAGGTTGATGAGGCTGAGGAGCTAATGGACTGGGACTTGGACAAGAGGTTTGGGTCAAAGGATGACCTGGAACTGTTCTATAACCACGTTGTCGAATATAACTCAAAGGTTGATATACTCATCTGCACACCTGGTCGGCTAGTTGAACATATCCATTCCACGACTGGCTTTACTCTGGAGCACGTACGGTGGCTTGTCATTGATGAGGCCGATCGACTACTTAATGAAAGCTTCCAACAATGGGTCGATGTTGTGCTGCCTGGTCTGGAGTACTTGCCGCCGCCGGATGCCTTCCATCAGCCACGATCAAACATCTTTCATATATTTCGACGAAGGGAGGTTCGCAAGATTATTCTGAGCGCAACGATGACAAGGGATATCAGCAAGTTGACGACACTTAAGCTCAGGCGACCTAAGTTGGTTGTTCTTGAAGGTCAAACCCAAAGAATGGCAATAGACGACGGGGACGCAGCCATTGGAGGTGAAAGAGGAAGGGTAGATATCCCGGAAAGTCTACAAGAGTACGGCGTTCCAATATCGGAACATAATATCCAGGATAAACCGCTGTATCTGATCGAGCTCCTCGAATCGGGCTCTGACCCGCTCATTGGCAAGAATCGCCGGTATTCACCCGTCCCTTCGAAAAGCGCTGAAGAGAATGAGGGCAAGTCTTCTACGGACAGCGAGGATCTTTCCCAAGGATCTGATTCATCATCAAAGTCTAACGATCTCTCGAGTCAACTACTTGGGGCCGATAAACCCTTGAACCATGGCACTTTAGTTTTCACTGAAAGCAACGAACAGGCCATTCGACTGGCTCGACTCCTTGCACTTCTCCGTCCATCATGGCAGATCGGTACCCTCACCAAGTCCACAGCTGGGGCATCCGGCCGCAAAACGCTGGCCGCTTTCCGGAAGCGAAAGCTCTCAGTACTGATAGCATCTGATCGGGCGTCGCGAGGTCTTGACATACCAGACCTTGCGCAGGTCATCAATTACGATATGCCGAAGAGTGCAACGAGCTACGTGCATCGTGTTGGGCGCACTGCGAGGGCCGGAAAAGCGGGCCAAGCCACAACCCTAGTGTTGCATAACCAAGGAAAATGGTTCTGGAAGGACAAGTCCGGCATTGCAAAGTCAGAAATGCTGGTCAGAGGCCCAGACAAGCGAGTGATCCGGCGGAATTTGGCCATCGATGTGAACGAGGAGGCGAGGGAGGAGTACGAGAACGCCTTGCAAATGCTCGGGGAAGAAGCCAAAGGATAACGCCATGGAACGGGGTAAATCCATGGCATTGGCGTTCACAGACAATCTTTATGTGCATAATGATACCCAATCAAGCGACTTCAATGCGCATATGCACCGCTTGCGTAGCCATCCCTAGCCTTCTTATGCGCAACGTCCCCGATCTTCCCCTGTATACCAACTGGGTATCCCCTCCAACCCTTCCCTACCCTCTAACCTCCACCCTCCTCCACATCGCCACATGCCGAATCCCACACTCATCCCACCTCCCCATCCCCTCATCAGTCCGCCACCCCAAACCCGCATACCACTCCTCCCTGTCCGCCTGCGCGTGCGCCAACAACAACCCCCTCCACACCGCCCTCCTGCCCTCCCCATCCCGCCAATCCCTCACCACCTCCCCCTCATGCCCCGCCGCCCACCGCAACGCCTCCTCCACCACCGCCCTCCCATACCCCCTCCCGCGAAACTCCTTCCGGGTCGCCAACCTGCCGATCATCAAATACGGCTCCTGGCCATCCCACAGCCGACTGTCCTTGTAATTCGGCCCCGCGACCGCCGTCCCGTCGTCGGCGTGCGCTTGGGCCGGGATGAGACGGATGGTGGCGGCCGGGACGGCGTCCGCGTCGTAGAGGACCCAGTGCCAGGAGACGGGGTCATCGGCGTCGAGGTCTTCGTCGGCGGGGCAGTTTTGCTCGATGGTGAAGACGGCGTCGCGGATGGCGAGGGCGTCGTGGAAGGCGTGCGGGATGGATGGGTCGGTGGGGGAGACGGGGCGGTAGGGGGAGGAGGACCGGGGGATGGATAGGACGGCGGGGCCTGGGGGTGGGAGGAAGGTGATTGTGTAGGCAGGGTTCGGTGAGGACATGTTGGAGATGTGGTCGGTGTGGTGCAGACGATTGGAGGTTATGAGGGAGTAGTGTGGGTCCCGACGCTCCGGTCAAGGGCGAGGTATGAGAGATGCTGCAGAGGTTGCTCAAGCGGAGCGCGACTGGGCATTGCTATAAGGGAGAAGGAGGAATGGACTTCGTTATGGTGCTCCGTTTGTGCGAGTGACTCATTTGAGTGAGTCATCCGTCTTTAGAAAGATTGTGGAAGCGAGGAGAAGGATTGGCCAAGTCGGTGTCCTACGTCATAGTCGTATCGGTTCATGATTCTCATAGCGAACATGCGAAAATGCGTGTAACATTCTTACGGATGAGGAAGGTTGAAGTTAGGAATACGGAGACTCGAAGATATAATTATGCTGTACGGAGATGGGCAACCAAATGTCCTGCACATGCCAAGACTCCTGCGCCAAGCCTCGGATAACACCCCGCCTGAAGGGCTCGCCTGAGGTTGAAAATGCGCTTAGAATTAAAGCTGCTTCGGAAAAGCGCCCGATCTGGCTTATTAATAGAGGTCCCCGAAGTTCAATGTATGCGCCCCCAGGAAAAACTCGCCCATGTCCCCTAACCGCCGGGGCTGTCGCCGACGTTGTCGGCAGCCGGCCCCTATTCCTCACGGGATGTGTCTTCCTCGCCTGCTTCGTACTCGCGTGTGGCCTCGCTCGTACCGCTATCGAGTTGATCATGTTCCGCGCCATGCAAGGAATAGCAGTAGTGCTTTGTCTGCCCCCACCTCTCGGTGGGAATACTCACCAATGCCCTTCCCAGCGGCGAGACACGCAATGTTGGTTTCGCGTGTATGGGTCTCGGGCGACCGCCTGGGTTCTCTTGACGACTCCTGCTGGGCGGTGTTCTTGTCGATATCATTGGCTGGAGAGCTGTGTGCGCTGAGTCGATCATGGTTTGCCTTCTTGTTGGGACATGGGCCATCCCAGCGGACTCGCTGATGCAGCCCCCAACCCTGGAGAGGCTGAAAACCAATATTGATTGGACAGGAGCGATTTTTGCAACAGCATGCTTGGCTTTACTCGCTTATGTGCTGGTGTGAGCCAAACCCCCGTTTCCCACCTTTTCAAGTCACTGACGGTACTCTGATAGCATTATCTCTACCAGCGCTTTATATGTTGGACATGCCAACGTCATTGCACCACTGACGGTCAGCCTATTACTGATCCCGGTCTTCGCTCTATGGGTTGGCAGGCAGGGAGGATTGCAGAAGCCAGCTTTGATACCGAATTCGTTGTGGCTAAATATACTATTTACTAGTATATGCCTCATGTCCTTCTCTCATACGCCGTTATGCAAACTATGGAGCTCTTCTGCGGTCTCTTGTAAATTTACCGGCCCAATTTTCCTAAGGGGCCACGGGGCTCGCTGACGGCTAACGCAGCTGGCAACAAGTGAAATTGCTTTCCCCACTTCAAGCATCAAATCGCTTCGTGCCGAGCATGGTTCTGGCTGCGATCCTGAACCTCGTCACCGGCCTCGTCGTTGACAAATTCCCGGTGGTCTACCTAGTCCTGATCTCGTCGGCTCTCGGTGCAGTGGCCCCCTTACTCATGGCTGTCAACTCTCCAAGCTGGCCGTACTGGTATGCGGCGTTTCCTGCGCAAATATTCGAGCCACTCAATCCCGATGGTGAGCTTAACTATAGTCCGAAGTCCAAGAAGCGTGGATATTTTGCTGATTGCTATTTCCCTTCGTGATATTCACGGTGGGTATCCTTCTCGTCTCGGGAGTATTTCTGGATCGGACACAAGCGCTTGCAGGTGCAGTCTCCAATCCCGTCGGTCAGTTTGGCCAAGCTATTGGACTTGCTCTCATTGGCGTCGTGTCGAATTCCGTGACACACAACTCGAAGTACGCCGACAAAACTTTACCTGATGCACTTTGGACTGGGTATCGTGCTGGCTTCTGGACGTGCATCGGATGGATTGTCCTTTCTTGCTTGATCAACGCACTCGGCCTTCGGAAAGGTGGTAGAGTTGGCCTGAAGAGGGATTGAGCAGTCTCCATGGCGAGAAGAAGATAGATCAGAAGCTGAGGCATACAAGATAGCAACAACCGAAACCGATAAAAGAGACGAGAATACCATCTATAACATAACAACTACGAGTTACCCTTGCTTTCTTCATTCTTAAGAGACTAAGAAAGATCCTACGGTTTTGGTACCCTCTAGAATCAATAATCCAAATTCCTTATTCTTAAAGAACTTTATACCCACACTACTTTATATACTAGAAACTCTATAGTTTCTACCCAATATATTGAAGATTTAGAGATTAGAAGTTTGGGTTTAAATATATTAGAATCGTAAATAGAATAAGTCCACGGTGGTGTATAACCAGGAATAAATCAATGAGGAGATCTATGCTATGGACACGTGTGACGGTAGATATACCTAATGCCAACGGACCCTTCAGGCACGCTCGTACAGCTCACAACCTTCACAACCTCTGTCAGCAACCCGAGTTACCCCCAGGCTGAAAAGCCATGCCCGGGGGTGTCCGCACTTCACGCTGCACACACCCCTATCTGGGCCCTATATGAGGCCCCCGGAGGAATAATCCCTAACAACCTCTCCCCGTAAACGTTCCTCGTTCCCCGTTCCCAACGACTGGCACGCCCACATCGAGCAAACTGCCTCCCGCCGCCCTAACTCCACCCCGCGAAGGTGCGCCTGGAAAATTTGAGACAAGTGAGCCGAGAGCGTAGAGGGTAAAAATGAACATCACATGCTGTCGAGCCTTCATACTGAAGCCATATTGCATCCATGAGCCAATAGGTGGATACTGGGTAGATACTTACTCGTGGGATGCCTTCACCTCGAAGCGTTGCGTCTGAGTAGTACTCGTAGACCGCGCTTTGCTCATCCAAACCCGATTCGAAAAGTCCTATTTGGCGGAGTTGAGCTGGTCGCGACTCCCCGAGCATCGTATGCGGGGCGATGTCGGTCGATTCGCCCCGTTTAGACTATTAGTCCGTATCAGCCATGGTCGACACAAGGCATTATTGTGGCGATTGCACGGTCGAGCTTTCTGTGTGGTCTATTCGTAGCTGTTCGATTGTTGCAGATGCAGAGATGGAGATCGTGTTTTACAACATGAAGGACAAGAGGTCTCCAGCCCGATTAGAACTTCAGTTGAAGAAGGCGGTGTCCGCTAACTTGCTGCATTGTCGAACAAGGCTCAGCTTCGACCTTTTGAAACGATTCCCGAGACCGCTACACGCTAGCTTAACCTGGGAAAATTTTGACCGCTCATCGCTGAAACACAGGATTCAAAACCGCAGCGACCTGCTCATAAACCGTAAACAAGATCCCACCGCTGAAGACCGTCCTCCCCAACCTCATCGTCGTTCCCCGCCAGAAACCTCTCACCCCATCATCCGCCAGCACGCTCCGGAAAGCCTCCACGGTACTCGCCCCCTTCGCGCTCTGCGACCTCGTCTTCAGCGTATCGAACGGCTGCGTAGCATACGTCGTGATGGTTCCGGCCACCGCCCCGTTCGCAAAATTCGTCGCCGTACTCTGCGCAATGTGTTTGCTGTTCTCGTAGTCCTTCAGTACATTATACGACCCCATGCGGAAAGCGGTGGCGCCAGCCTGCTTGAGCGTAGTCCCCGCGAAGCCGCGATAGAGGCCCAAGAAACCGTGTTCGGCGTAAACGACCCTCACGGCATGCGGTGCCGAACGGAAGCGTTTGGCCGTCCGGGCATCATCGATCAGCGCCGTCTTGATCCGCTCGGTCGGCGTGACGGCGAAGACGCTCGCCACGATCCCGGCGCTCATCCCCGCCAACAAGTTACGGAGGGGCGACAGCGCGCCCGTGTCGGGATCCTTGAAGGCGCTCTTGATCATGTCGAAGGAGAGGAAGCGGACGCCATCTTTGGCGACGGACCCGACGATGAGCGAGGAGCAGCCTTTGTACAACGCCCTTGCACCCTCGTTGCGGAATACGTCGGCGACGACGAGGAACGGGTTGCGCGGCCGGGACGCGGAGCCTGCGTCGCGGAGCTGGACTCTGGTTTTGGCGAACTCGAACGGGTAGGTTACTGCTGCTTCGATTCCGCCCGCGATGCCGCCGGAAACAAGTGACACGGCCGCAGGGGTCTTGGAATTGTCCGTCGCTCCTGATTTGGGGCTCATTAGGGAGTTTGAAGCAAGCCTGAGTAGTCGGTAGCGTTGAATGCGTTAATTTAATAGCATGACAGGGCCAGCTCCGAAAGCTATGATTTAAAGCTGTGCCGTGTACATACAATTGTTGACAAAAGCAAGTGCACTGTTCAAGAAATGTCTTGGCGTTTCGTCATCAGATCGTGGTGTCATCTCATCTGGGCAGGTTTGCCGAGTCCTCGCCGTATGATACACGGCAGCTGCGATCATACAGTCAGTAGTCGTTGGTAATTAAGGAGTAAGAAGAGTCTGCTCCTGTCCTGATAGAATCTACCTCCGATGTGAAAGCCCGTCGAAATGACTATGGGAAATACGATTAAAGTCTCGGCCCAAAAATCCACAACTCGCCATAGTGGGACTGGGGGTCAGTAGGTCCCATGATATAGTCGCATATAGCGTACACTGTGCTCAATGCAGGAGATACGTGTCCATAGCGAGTAGCGTACATACTCGTCCTATACCAGCGTATGACTCTTTATTCGATTTTTCTCTGATAGAGCCATAGTGTTCTTTTACAGTCATAGCATCCCTTTCATCACATGACATTCTTTCTACAGACACATATCACGAAAATAGCGGGGTGGTTTCCGCACCCTCTGGGAACATTAGTCGTGATTCGTGCCTGAGTGGCTAGCTACCTGGCAGGATATAGGTGCGACCTCCTAGCTAATGACCAGATTTATACCAAGAGGATGACTCGCTCTTCTTGCTCCGCAGCCTCTTTGAACCAGCCAAAAGGGTCAATGCCCTCGCGAGTCGCGTTGTCATTCCAAGTACCGATTCGTTCAAATGTATCTGCATGGCCTTCTACCGGAACCAAAACCAAGCCCTTCAGCATGCAAGATTGAGGTGAGCGATGATCGCATTGGAGGACCGGCAATAGTACATTGTTCTTGGGTGACCATTGAACGGTATCATCGATCTGGCAATTGATCCAAGACTTTGAAGGATCACCCCCACGGGATCTCGTTATCTGAACAATCTTGCCTTTAGGGGAACTATGGAAGCTCAAGTCTTCAGTGCTGAGCAAGCGTCCGCGTAGTTTGATGTAACTGTCACTGACCTGTCCTGTGGTATCCTCGCCCAACGGAGTAGTCCTGGCCTCTAGGACTTGGCACAACTCGACCCATCTCTCTTCTTCGGGATAGACTTCTGGGAAGATTTCGATTATGCCTTCAACAGAAGCCCAAGACCAGGATGGGGCGCGATATGTCCCCGGTCTGTATGTGGGTTCACCGTTTGCTTGGAGACCGTTGCGAGTTGTCCACATCAGCCCAGATGGTAACTGCTTTCGCCAGAGGCCTGCAAGGTAATCATCGTCCCGGAGCGATTTGTAAATGTTGACGAGGCCTTGAATTGCAATCAGTTTGTCCTGCTCCTCGGTGAGGGTGCAGGTGGTATAAGTTTCGACCATTGCACGCCAACTGAAAGAAAAAGTTTCCCTTCGATTGACAGTGTGTCTATGCGGATAAACTAGGCCTTTGTCCCATGGCTGAGAAGTCCGGCGTTGGGTCGGAAAGTTTCCATCTTGATCAACCTTGGCTTCCCAGGAAGGAAATGCCTCGCATGCTTTGAGTTTGGTACACTCCCAAAAAACCTGATTAGAATGGAATGATATCTGACGTGGGGCAAGCCAGCGCTCCTGACAGACCCAGCCACGAGAATATAGCGGGCTACCATTTCCCCTATCAGACTTCGAATTGACATAGTCTTTGGTAAAGCAGACGGTTGATCTATGTGACAGGCTCGAGGTTTGCTTCTCATCAAGAGTAAATATGCCAAGTCGTTGCGGATCTCTCCCGAAGAACAAACCTCCATCACAATTTATGGCCGCTTCCGCCATAATGTTGCACGCAGAATACCGATAGACCTTGTCCATGAGACGCGATTCTCGTCGCCAGTCCTCCATTGAATCTTGAATGATGCACAACGAATCGATCCACAAGTAGCTTACTCCCAAACTGCGTGCAACTTGGACGGCATCGTTGAAGCTACGCGGCAGAGCTTCGATGGGGATGCGGTTTCTCATTGAATCAACGTTGGCGTTTGTGAGCTTTGGAGGCCTTGGCCCGTCTCGCTCGCCCCAGCAATGACTCAAAGTCATGTATGATACCGGAGATAGTTCGTTGGACAGTTGTAGAAAGCACTTCTTTGATGCGTTCGATTGGCCAATATTGATCAGACGAGTGGGTATCCAACTGGCGTTTTCAAAAGCCGGTGTGAATCTACCCGGAGAGCAATCTGGATGGCCTTCTACACAATTCCCATACCATTGCTTAATTTGAGCTATGGTATCTGGGGAACCCGTGCTGTCGCCCAACTCATGGACCGCGCTTCCGTCACATACGGTGCAGGCGGATGTATGCCACCAATCTGTTATTTCCACATCATATTAGCTTCAGCCTGATCTAAACCCCAAACTTCCGCCGAGCTTTTCGCCTGATCGACATACCGAGATGTGGATGAAGCTCGAGAATGACGGCGCGATCGTCAGCGTCACCAAATTGGAAGAGTATGGTTGTAGCTTCGTTCCTGGCGAGTTGCTGAACGCGGTACAATGAAAATGTCTTTCGGTAACGCAACCACAAGGCAAAAGATCTAGCATTGCGCCAAAAATCGAGCCACCAAAATCGCATTCCTGGTTTGGCTTGCATTCGGATGAACCCGCATATCGGTTGTTGGATTACAGATACAAAGGCTGATACGCGACGCTGCTCACTCTCGTCGAATTGTGCCCAATGCTCACACAGAACGAGGCATATCTGGCAGCCTTGGTCGGCCGCTGCCTGCATATCCTCTGACGAGGAATGATGGCGCCTCATATTATTGACGCTGAAGTAATCCAGCTTCCCATACCATCTCACGGCGTCAAAAGCTACCTGGGTGCCAATGATGGGGGTATGCTGTGGTCGGTTCCAGATTTTGAACATGCCCTGACAGGCATCGCAGAGAACCGTTCCAGAACCTGGATCCGATCGAGTCTTGACATTCTCAAGCAGCGTCTGGATCGTGTGGTATACCATTGTCCGTGTATGGTGTTGTAAGAATCCAGTTTCTGCTAACCAATGATATACAATTTCTCTTAAAATCAGATCTCAAGCCTCAATCGACGGCAGAAGTGGACAGACTACGCCGCAGCTGGCCAGAAAGTCGGTAGCTTCCAGCACGATGTATGCTTGACCATTCCTACGACGCTCTTTTCGCACGCAACTGGAGCGAACGATGGTAACGATGTAGCCTTCCCAGATTCTCTATCAAGCAAGATGATAGGAGAGCCTGAAGGAAGAGCACGGAAAGACTGCACTGCCTGAAGCGTCTAAGCCTCAATCCTTCAAGCCCAGAAGCGGCTCGGATAATTCCGTGAAGTTCTTGGCGCGCATCGCTGGGTCAACAATTATGTGGCCGGCAGGAGGCCAAGTCATGGAGGACAATTTGTCTATACATACATTCTGCTTCGCATCAAGTCATGCCTTGATAGCCTTGATGTAGCAACAACGCCAGCGCGGTATAAAATATGTTGTAGACGCCAATCGCGCCCGGCTGCAGGTAGAGTACCCTTGTCCATTTTGAAACCTGAAGTATCATTAGACCAAATACTTACACACCAAATACACACTTGCTCATAACAATCAGACTCTTCTTCTTCCTCCTCTTCTCCTTCTTGCAGAGTCCTAAAAATATTTGCTTTATTGCGAGCGTCAGTTGAAAAGGTCTGTCTGATGAAGTATTGCATACTCCAGTACGAGCCTGCGTACTTTGAGGAACCATTGCTCGGCATGAGGGGTCCCGCATCCAGAGGTTGACATTCTTACACCACAGCCATCTCCTGCTGGGTCGTTAGGAACAAGTTATCACGTACTCAGGGATGCAAAATCCACAAATTAACCTTACAACCATTGGTGACTCCGGAAAGCCTTTTCAATACGACTAATCCACCTCAATCATTCTGCACTCGTCAGCCGGGCAAGACTCTATGGATACTTGTTGCAATAGTACACATTGCCATCCGCATGCTATTCTTCAGCATCTACTTCATCCCGAAGTCGACACGTCAGCATCCCAAATGGACCTACCGCCAGGCATTGACAAACGAGCTGTTGAGAGTGTCCTTCCACCACGTGACTCTTACCAAGTCTATGTTGCCTCCAATGTTCATGCAGTGGCGCTGAAAAAGAACACTTCATTTTAATTAGGCCCCAGATAGGCATCTACGACGGAGTCTTACAACACACAGCGGTGCAGCCAGCCGCCGTCAGAGGTGCCTGGTATCCCAAGCTCTTCCAGCCCGGTGATGAGCAGAGGACAGTTATCCTTCACTTCCACGGGGGATCGTTCCTCTGGGGCACTGGCCGAGAATCCGACTGTGGGGTTCCTGCATCAACGATCTTGAAGCGTACTCCCGCGACAGCCCTCTTCGTGCAGTATCGCCTTGCTTCGGATCCCGCCTGCACTCCGAGGAAATCAAACATTCTTGTGGTCAGGAGAACACGCTATACATTGGAACTCAACTTTACAAAACCATGTAAGCCCACTATCAAGCACGTCAAATTTTCTCATAAACGCTAAAAGGTGCCATAGATACACAACACCCCAAGAAAAACGAACCCTCAAACCGGGAGAACGCACACTGAACCTCGTCTGGTACTGCAACTGTGCCGAGAACGCACTCCCAGATACCTTGACGGACGTCGATGGTCACAAACATCGATATTCTCTTCCAACCGGCGAGATGAGAGACGAGGTGTGGAGCAAGCAGAGGGGCCCAGTTGCAGAGAAGATGCTGCCTCCCCCTTTCCCGGAGCTCATCAACAAGATCCAGCAACCATTTGTCACGGTCATCAGCCACACTACAACACCAAAAGCCTCCTTCTTTGACGGCCAAGTCCTCCTCGTGGGGGATGCACTAACACCTTCTCGGCCCCGCAATGCTCTCGGCCGCAACCAAGCGGCTTTTGGTTGTCTTCATCTGAAAAGAGCTCTACAGAGGCAAATCAGTCTTTCGGAATGCAAAATCCGGGTATCGCAGTATGCACACCTAAATCGGCTGCGAGCTATCTCTTGGGGAACTCGCTTCCAGGTCGGATGGCTTGCCTGTTTCACGAGCGAGATACATTTTTCCTTCAGAGTTGGTGCTTCAGTGGTTGACGAATCGCTGGAACGGACGCGAGATTTGAGCACGTGAGCAAGAATCTGCCGGGGACAGAAATGCTTCAACTCAGATGAGATCAAAGTCAGTGACTTCACTACATAGCAGGGCTAATTACTAATTCTACCCCGAAACTTGATCCTTACCGAATCATACCTAATTACTGAATCATACCCCTAGGGGTTGTTCAGTAATTTATTACTGGGGTATGATTCGGTATTTGATTCATGATAAAAATCGCAAGGTGAAAATTCGCGACCTGGGCCATCCGACCATAGAAAGGGAAATATCTCCGACCGTATTCATGGGTGACCTACCAGCTTAAATACATCGACGAAGCCGAGTGGGTGTTGCGCGTCCCCACGGGGGCCCTGCGAGCCCTACGGGGGCCCTATTTGGTTCAATAGGGGTGTCTGGCTGTCAGCGCAGACACCCCCGGGCAGGATTTTTGGCTTGACAGCCAGACACCCCTATTTGGACCTGGATAGGGCCCCCGTGGGGCTGCTAACAGTGGGCTAAATTTGGCCCCCAGCCTGTCTACACCCAGTCTGTGACTCTCACACAGTCTTCACTCCCAATAGTCTACACAGCAGTTTGGTAATTACCGAATCTACCAGATTTTTACCGAATCACCCCAAGTTTCGGTGTGGGGTGTTCGGTAATTGGGGTTGATTCGGTAGGATTTGTTTCGGGGTTATTGTAATTACTACATAGCACCTACTGGTTGATGGCCGCAACTCGTAGAGTCTCGCCAGGCAGATTGAGGTCGTTATATTACGCCGCCAGTTCTATTACAGGTTTCCCGAAGCGGATCCACTCGCAACAGTGGGACTGTGGGTTAGTGGGTCCATTATGAGGCCATAGCGTTGGTGGTTGTCTGATCAACCCTTCCATCATTATGCGATATGCGATAGTAGGGAGACAGGTGGCCATGGCGAGTACTATTTGTATGGCCACTGCACCAGTAGTGGGCTCTTCATTCGAATTAGGTATTCTCTTTCAGAGCCATATCATTGTTCTCCCTCCCACCCACACCTATGTATAGCTTCATTTTCACTCCAGGGCATGTCGCTCAGACATGGGAGTTTTTCTAGCGCTGGGGGGCCTTTTCTGGACCATTTGCATGTCCAGAAAGGTCTTAGCTGCCCCAGTGTTGGATATGCCCAATCATATATCTACATTATCTACTTGTGCATGCGTCATTTCTGTATGGCCTCATTGTTTGCGAGCACTAATACGCCGCCAGTTCTATTACAGGTTTCCCGAAGCACATCCACCATAGATTAGTCACGACCTACAGAGACACAACAATCGGTTATCGGGGAATTTGATGCGTTGCACTTTAATGTAGCTTTCGCAATTGGATTTCTGCCGTGTCAACGCACTATCCCTGTAAGGGTGATAGCGATACCTCATGCGTTAAGCTACTGGTACCCCTGTCCATGTTGGAATCTATCAATAGACCAAACACCGACCTCCTCAAAATTACCAGGCTCACGTTCTTCTTTCCCCTACCCAGACCTTTCTGCTCTTGATCTCTATGAAGACTTCATCCCTCAATCTGGTTGAATCCAGCGTCAAAGTGTTCTGGACGAGCCAGTAGTCTATCAGCACACAGTTTGACACAGCCTCGAACGAATTCCGAACTATCTGAAAGCATCCGTATTCGGCGTAAGGCAAAGTACTCAGTCTGCCGGTTTTACTCCCTCTTCCTGTTCTTTCTGTTCCAGTGCCTTGTGCGCTTAGATCCACATCAGCTGAGCAACACCTCCAGAATTACAGTTGCCCTGGATCCTGAGCATGGCGCGATTCCAAGATCTGTCAACTGAGCTTGTGCTTGGAATCCTGGAGAAGGTCTTGCCCGGAGACATCGAATCTGTATCTCTAGCTTCAAAAAGCATCTACTGGCTTGCCATTCCGCGGCTCGAAGAGCACCGCAGATTACGAGGGCAATACACTAATTTTCAAGACTTGGTCGAATACAAACCTCCCAGATGGCGTGATGCTGGTGGGCATCTGGCGGATCTTTTATGCGAGATCATGAGTGATGCCAGAATTGGACACTATGTCAAGTTGATGGATTTGAATTTGCGGTACGCTAGCCCAAGGAAGGGTTGGAAACCTGATGCGGTCTACGAGAAGCGAATCACCAGGAGTAGAACACGGCTTCAGCAAGACTCGAAGACCAGCATGGAAATCATCGAAGAAGCTATCCGCGCCACTGAGCTCATACCCACAGAGGAAGTCGATGACTGGCTCGATCAAATTCGAAGTGGCAATGAAGACCCACTCGCTGCGCTCCTGCTCCTACATGTGCCCAATCTCCACACGTTGAGATTTACGGACTCCAACACTTATTGGGCCGAGTCATCATACCTTCTCAAGATGATCCAGCGTGTCGGAGAGCAAGGGTCTGCCGTCAAACCATATCTATCGCAATTGAAAAATGTCTCGATAATTTACGACGAGCGGATCGAAAAGCTTGATCTTGTCAAGGCCTTCATGTCCCTACCCTTTCTTACTTCCATCAAAACAAATTGCCTCATTGTTGACGGTCGAGCGCATGAGGCGAATTCTGCGATACTACCACAGCCCTCGAACGTCAAGGAATTGTCTTTCCGGAGCGGTCTCGTGCCCGAACAGGCGCTTTCCGAGCTCCTGGGAGGAGTGAAGACTCTGAAATCGTTCGCCTACGACTTCACAACCTTGTGGCGTTATGAGAATGAGCCCACATTCGACTGCATCACTCTGATGAAATCTCTAGAGGCTAATGCCAGCCACACTCTCGAGCATCTGAGATTGAGCGCCCTAGACATCGACCCGAGCGGACTCGCCCCTCTTCGAGGGTTTCATGCCTTGCGAGGAGTTGAATTCCACACAGTTCGTTGTTTGGCTGTGGAGGCGAGCAACGGCGCAACCCTCATCGGCGCTTTACCCGCCTCCATCGAGAGTCTTGACATGCGCTGGGGCGACTTCACCTCTGACGAGAAACTGAAAGAAGCATTTGTGGGATTGGTGCGGGAGAGCAAGATTCAGCTGCCCCATTTGAGAACTCTGCGTGTGTCTCCTGCTCATCAAGAGCAATCAGATACTCTTTTCAATTGCTTAGCTTCCAATGAAACAGCGCAGCTTAACAAAATGTTGTCATTCGATATTCAAGGCCGTGACGGCGGCGGAGAGATTCCCGCATGGGTCGATAAAGTCTGTACCTGCGGTGAGGATTGCTTTGGGGATGACTCCCATTGATTAGCCCAAAGTGTTGGCCGTCGGTTAAGCATAACGTAAGCTACTGATGCACTGGGTGACATCTGTCTTTTTAGCTTCGAGGTACACTACTCCGTTGTTTACCAATCGATTGCAGTTCTGTCGCATATCAGACATTGCAATCACCATTCCTCCATGGACTTCCATGATCCATGAAGACGTGAGAAAGGCATCTTGTCTCAAAACCTGCGGTCTACCTTGGAGTTGAAGCGTTGAGGGAGCTTTGAAACTGCAGAGCTCTACGTTTTCAAAAGGACAACACAATTGCCTGCTATGTCGAAAGTTATAAATGTCCGATTTGAGCAATGCAGACGACTACGGGAATCGCCTTGCTGACGGTAGCCCCTTTACATGTTAGGCGCCCTAGTCCCGACTGTGTCCCGGGTTGCAGGAAAGCAATGGTGCCACGAAGTCCCAAGATCAAGTAATACTAGTATTATTTTCTACAAAAACCTAGAGTCATCACAACCCTGGCACGTAGAGCTCGAAAGAATGTTATGTTTGTAACCTTCTGTTGCACGCTTCTTGAATACAGAGAAAACAATGAAAGAGAGGTTTTTCGCACGGGTAAACCTCGGGAGTTGGTCCACGCCAAGACTAGCGCAACTCCAACGACAGCGACCTCACCTCCGCTCCACCAGCACAGCTACCAACCCACATCCACGCACCGCACTCCTCAACCTCCTCGCACTCCGCCCTCCCATCAACATGGCAGGCCACAACAACTGTACCACCCCCACATCCATTCAAAAGCCGCAAGCGCACCGCTAACAGTCCCCTCCGCAGCCCTGGCCATGGACCCCGCGCTGGTCAAATACAACAGTAAGCCTCTCAACCCCCTCCGTTCAACAGCCTCTCAGTCGCGGCCCATGAACCTCCCTCCGACTCCCCCTACACCGCTTGGGAAGAAACGACGACGATGAGGGAGCCCACTGATACGATTGCAGACATGTCGGCCAATCGGTGGAGATACTTCCGCTGGACGCCTCGCACGGCCTGGATCACCTTCGTCTACGTCGTGGCCGTGCCGTCCGTGGTGGGATATGTGGGGTTTGTTACGGAGGTGAGTGGCCTGTTCCCGCCCCCCGCTCTGAGCAGCGATTTTGGGAGAATGCGTGGTGCGGAATTGTGGGAAAGAGAGAGAGGGCTCTGGGGGGAATGGATCACGTACTCTGGACGATTTGCTGATATCTTGGGTCGGTATCAGGGCAAGTACGAGCTGAGGGGTAAAAGGAGGGGCGATATCATTCGGGAATTCTAGGCTTGGGGAAGATGGGAGAGCATTGTTGGGGCGTTTGGTCTGTGCGGACTATATCCGGCATGGGCAATGTGGATGGTGATCGAGGGGAAGAGAGAGCGCGGTGTTTACCCTGCTGAATGCAGCAGCGGGTGTGCAGTGTTAGCCGGCTCCGGGAACGGTGGGGTCGAGTGTCTCCGGCTCAACCTTTGTCCCCTGGCCTTTGAGGCTTACATGGTGAGAAAGAGGATTAAATAGTCCGCGAAAACAATCTTTCCAAAATCCCCGAGTACTTCTCCAGAATCTAGACAGCAATGCAGCACGAGATAGGCCGTTTCTTCCGCGCTGGGCTACGGCATTCCTTTTACAATACATTTTCCAGATTCAAAGCAATTTTGCTTTACCTCTGACATACTTCAATAACCCTTTCGTGATTGAGGACGGCGAAAAGACCGGCGAAACCGCCACCTTCAGAAGGGCCACGAGCGTTGGGTCTGAAATTGGCGCCGTACTCTACACCTTCAAAGTTTCCACCCGAGGAAACAGCCAGAGACGCACGGGACGCTCAATCGCTCATACTACCACCGACGACCCGTCTCATCCCTCAATCGCCCGGTTTCTCCCAGAGCCGCCCTACCCGAAAATCGAGTGGGGACCCCCCTGAGCGTTTACCTCCAGAAGTCCAAAAAGCGTATCGCCATCCCCGAGCAGCCCCAATGCGAGAGCGCGTTACTGGCAACGGTGGTCCTTGCGCCAGAATCTTCGCCGTCTCCGTATGCCCACAGCCCACCGCCGTGTCGAAAGGCAACTTCCCCAAAGGAATCTTACCCCGATCCGTGCGAGCGGCGCCACGGTCCAAGAGAAAACGTCACCGACTCGACGTTTCCTGCCGCACCCCCACTTGTGGAAAGGCGTTGCGGCAGCCCCGGCATTTGCCCGGTGCGCAAGTCCCGGTCGATGTTCCAACAGTGTGTCGTTGATAGGGACGCCGCGATCCGGCGAACATTGCAGAATTGGGTCGGGAGCACGATTCAGGGGTCGGCCGTTAGCGGTAGAGCCGCCACGCTCAAACAGCAGGTTGATTGTTTTGAGTGGTGCTTGCGCTCATAGCGCAAGAGAGCGGCGTAAAACCCCATTCTCCGGCTGGGAGCGTTGGGGTCGGCGCCGTGCGCAAGGAGCCAGCGGATAAGCGATTCGTCGCGGACGACTAGCCTTCGTGGGTCGGGTAAGCAAGAGGGTTCTATGGTCGGGGGAGGCATGCGGGTGATGCGGAAAGCACACTACGTATCCCAGGAATGGAGGCTCGCAATATGCTTCTGCTTTGTTGATATTCCATCCGTGGTCGAAAAGGCCTGGGACGCGTACCTGCGCACGGCGCTTTAAATGCCGTATTTTATTTTAGTTGGGGAGGCTGGTTGGTCATTGGTAGCAGCGCGATGGGCAGTAAAGTGTAAGTGGTCTTTGCAGACAACTCCTGGGCTGGAGCTGGTCGTTGCCTTGCGAACCAGGTAGAGCCTCGGGTGTGTGATCTGTCAAGGTCGCCGATCTAGTTGGCGTCTTCGAGGTCATGGAGCTCATTACCTTCCTTCGTGGCGTTCATTATAGACAGTGACCCTCCTCTTAGGTCGGGCGCTATCGATGGGGGAAGATCCTCAGGACACATTATCGTAGTAAGGGAGTAGGGGATTCAATTTTGATAGCAGCGACAATTGCATGTTGGTTCGGAGCAGTCTCCGAGGATGAAAGAACCCTTCATTGACCAAGGGGGAAGATGGAGGATGCAGAGGAGCCCCAGCTTCCAATATTACCGCGCCTGTATTCCGATACTTAGATATGAACGCCAAGTAGATCCCTGTTATTCTTTCTAGCTTAGAGCCGAACATATTTTGATTTTTCGTGTTATTGCAATTGATCAACGGGTGAAGTGGCACATAACGTGTATAGAAATTTTGAATTAGCTTGGCAACAGAGATGTGCTCCGAGGTACCCACGTTGGTGATGCAACACCTGATCTGGGTGATGAGCACTCAACGCTGATGCCTCCGCTCACCTAATCTCCAAGCTGGGCCAATCAAGAGCGCAGTCTGTCGCATAGATTCTTATCGACTCGCGGCTTGATCCTTGCGCCGACGAAGAATGGGTGAAATATATCTAGATTCTTGTCAAGACTTTTGGGCAGATAGCGAATCGGAAGGTTAGGTTTTCGAGTTTTCTCTCGGCTCTGTGCGGGAAGTTGCGAGGTGACGTGCGTCTGAAGAAAGCGGATGAAATTCCTATATGTAATCAAGTTGAGATGCTGCTACAATTTAGCTGAGCCCTTTCTTTTGTTCCAGGGACGAGTCATCTCCTAGTCCAGTATATAGCGCAACTGAAACGGTATATCGATGGACTCAGTCATCGACGGTAGATTTCTGTCTTGCAGATTGTAGACGACTTACTCCATCAGCGGATTCTGGCTCAAGCTAAGGGCAGACCCGTGCCCCGGTTCATCGCGTTTTCCAGCATCTTCAAACGCGTACTTGACTAGTATTGTATATCTCACTCGATATCCCCGAACTCCAATACACGGCTGCTGCCCAACATATTTTGCTCGAGTATCATCGGACAGTTCACCCTTGCAAATTCTCCTGCCGAGATAACCTGGGTCGAATCTGGGCTAGTATTTCGTCCTAGAAAGTACCTTGTTCTGCAAGAGCGCCGCAGAGAGCGATGGACCTGCACGGCAGTATCGCAATTTGTCGATGAGACTCCGGGTGAAAGTATGTTCACTGACACCCGGAGGCCAGGTCTCAAAGCCACAGGCGGCTACTAACTCAGTTACCCCATTGCCAGTCTCGGCGGTCGAGCTAGCTGCAACACAGCAGTCAAGCAGTATCAGGACATCACAGTCGGCTTCCTCTAGCATGTTCTGAAGCCCAGCCCATTTTACTGCTGGTTATTCGAGCGCATTAGTGCTATGTAAGGATCGTGAGCCGCTGCATTGTCTAAATGCTGCGTAAAGGATTTTCCACACTAACCACGACCAAAACACATTGTCTGTCTCCATTCATACCGCCATGCCCTCCATAGTATATTGCCGAAAGGGTTTCTTTGCATTCGTGCGTCTCAAGAAAAGCACTGAGACACCGTGCAAGTGACTTGTGCGATCGTCGAGTTGGAATTTTGAACTATGCCGCCGTATAATCATAGGATATCTCGAAATATATTTGAACTCAACGATGTGTCTGTTCGCTCCCAGATTGTAACTGAGTAGCAGCACATGAACCTCCTTAGAACGTGACCTTTCATCCCTGGGAAAGGTAGCTGAGGCTGCGTTGGTCAGCGTTTGACCGAACGACTGAAGATATTTCACATGGTAGTCGACCAAGATATATCGTGGGTCCTTCCTACGATCTGATTGATGTTGGTAATAAACGATTCCAAGGCGACAAGGCTAATGGAGTAGATCTCAAAAGAAGAAGGCTCAGCAGAGAGGAGTGGACAGTATCAAGTAGTCGCCGCACAGCGTTGCAAGGTGAGGACTGCTCAATGAGGCAGCGGATTAATGATTTCTCAATGCTGAACCCTCACCCTTTTTATTTAGATGGAGTAGCGCGACATAGCCTTGCAGGCAGACTTGGGCAGCCGGCGCTGATGCTACAGCAGTTCAGCTAACCAACAGCACATAAACTTCGCAAACTCTCAAATATAGACACATGACATTTTGTAATTAGATGCAAGAAACCTTTACATCTGAAATTCTCAGGCCGCGATGAGCCCAGTCGGGGTAGGTTGGGGCAGAGTTATTCAGGATGGTAAACTATGAAAACTTTTGCAATACAAGGTCAAACCTAACAACCTGAACGCAATCTGATATCTTGATTCAAAGCTATGAAACAACTTTTGAATTACCATTCACTTTGGTCGAGGCGAGCTATCAGAGGGCGCCATCTTCTCAATGCCAAGAATCCCAGACCTTTCTGCACACGCTAAGAAAAGCGTCTTCTTCACCCGCCAAGACAAAAAGCCATTGACAGCTCCCAAAATCTCCCTTTCAATCCCACAATCTCTTCTCAAAATCTCTAGCATCAATACCCATTCCCCAACCCCATCCCGCACACCTTAGCAAACAACAATGAAACGGTGACACACACCCCCAAACCAACAAAACCATTCAACCCCCCATCAACCACCCACAATGGCCATGCAAACCGGCCCCGGTGGAAAAGTCGACCGCCAAACCACCACCCCCTTCCACCTCAAGCTCTTCTACCGCACCGGCTCCTTCCACAGGTAAATCTCCCTCCCCCCCCCCCCCAACCCCCCCCCCCAAACTAAACACCCCCACCACGCAGCCTAACCGACTTCCCCACCGCCACCCCCACCGGCCTGCCCCCGCTGCCCCCCCACCTCCAAATCTACACCTGGCCCACCTGCACCCTGCGCGAACTGTCCCACCTGCTCGTCACCGCGCTGCCCACCCTGCTCCCGTCGCCCGCGATCGGCACCCGCCTCGCCTACCGGCTCGTGTACCCGGACACGCACAACAACAGCAACAACAACAACAACGCGACGACGACGACGACGATGGCGCCGGGGCGGTATCTGAGCAAAGAGCTCGGGGACGTGGTGGTGGGGGATGAAGGCGCGGAAGAAGGGCCAGGGCGGGGAAGGAGGGAGGAAGAAAGAGAAGGAGGAGGAGGAGGAGGGGGAGAAGGGGGGGAGAAAGTGGTACGGGAGGGCGTGATGGCCGGACGACTGGGCGGGGAGCCGGACAAGACGCTGCAGGAGGCGCGGTTCGTGATTGGGGATTTCATCTCGTGCGCCATCTTCCCGCCGGGCGCGGACGGGAGCGTGGCGCCGGGCCACAACAGCGCGGGGCGGGGCCGGGGGGGCCGGGGGGAGTTTGGGGGAGAGGGGGCGGGGAGTTTCGGGGGAGGGGGAGGGGGGGTTCGGCGGGGCGGGGAGGGTGGGGGATGGCGGGTTGCCGCAGGGGGAGTGGAGGAGGGGGGAGAGGGTGCCGGAGGGGAGGGGGGGGTATGGGAGGGGGAGGGGGAGGGGGGGGTATTGATTGAGTGTGCAGGGGTTTTGTGCGGGAGGGTGGAGAACGGTGTTGTTGTGCAGACTTCTCGGCTGCGGTGAGATGATGGCTACGTCTTTCACATGCAGAGGCCAGGTTCGAAGAGATGTGGATATCGTACAGGCGGTCGATGTTATTCCAGATTAGGTCTCTGCAACACGGGCAGAGCCTCCGTGATCATCATCGCGTCCGGCCCAACCTCCTTCTCCTGCTCGCCCCTCACGATCCTCTCCACCGTCGTCTCCAAATCCTCATCCACCGGCAAGCCCAGCAGCTCGTTGTCCAGTTCCCTGCCCCGGGCGAAATCGTATCTCCCCCCACCGTAACTCGCCCCCATGATCGCGTGCCCGACGCCACTCCAATCGCCCTTCTCCATCTTCTCCCTGCCAGTCTTACTCTCCTCTTCACACGTCGTATGCTTCACGTTCCATTTCTGATGCGTGACTGTTTGTAGGGCGGAGAGGATCTCGTTCTGGGTGGTGCGGAAGGAGTTGATGAAGACGTATCTGTTTGCTGTTTCGGCGGGTTTGTCAAGGATGGCGGCGGTGGCGAGGCCGGTGGTGGCTAGGAGGGTGAAATTTGTAGGGGTGGTCCCGGCGTCGGATATAGTGGCAGTTTTGGACTTGAGGTCGAAGCCTATGAAACCGTCCTCGAGGCCCCTATACAGTTCATGTCAGGAAATATGAAAGCCGTCAAGAGGGATTTAACATACCAGTCAAAGAACGCCCCAACCACCAACCCCGTCCACGTCAGCCCGTGTCCCTCTTTACTCTCCATGTACTTCCTAATCTCCACCTTCCCCCTATAAATCTCCGCCAGCGGCTCCGTCGTCTGCAACTCGGGCACGTTCGTGCCAAACTCACTCAATACGATCCGCTTCACCCCCGCCTGTATCGCCGCATCGATTATTGTCTTATGCGTAGCGACTTCGGTGATGGGGGCCATATCGACGATGGCATCTTGGTCTTTGAAAGCCGCGACGAGCTCGTCGAAAGGATAGGAGTCGGAGACGCGGTGGATTTTGATGTGGGGTGGGAAAGTGGTTTTGGAGGAGGAGCGGGAGAGGACTTCGATGTCGCCGGCGAAGCGGGGATTGGAGTCAAGGGCGGAGAGGATGGAGGGACCGAGGTTGCCGGAGGCCTACACCGGTGTCAGAGATTGTCAATTAGGGATGAGGTGCCGCTGTTCACCCCGATAACGATGATGTTCTTGAGAATTGATGCCATTGCTGGTGCTTGGAGTGACTGGCCGCGCTGAATGTGAAGTGAGAATTGTTAAGAACCCTCAAGGCCCTCGAGTCGCGAGAATGAAAGAATGGGAATGCGATGGCGCGGGTAAATGGAAAACAGAGGAGATGGCTCAATCTGCTTGCATAAGATTGAGGACGGAGATGAATTACACAGGCGCTTCAGCAAAGAACATGTGTAGAGAGACATTGGAAACAGCAGGGTCAGTCACAGTGGGTCAGTGTGGAAAGGTTGCATCGTATCCAACCTTGAGTCACTAAAGTACTAAGGTAGTAGCCACACGGCGAGACGGGACACTTTTAGTCCAAAGTGTCTTTGTGATAGTGTGGGATATCTGGCGAAAGTGGCAACATAGCAGGCGCCAGCAGCAGTTTCCAACCTTTGACATTCTCAGACTCTCGATAACATGTCACCAAATTATTGTTAATGATCATCCTGACCAAAGGCGATGTGACGGAAAGGCACAGTAATTGTGGACGAGGGGAGAAAGGGCCGAACCGTGGATTGCAGTTTCACTGCTGCCTTTTGATTCGATCGCGAAGCGCGACAGCCGACTCAGCTGGTATCGAATGAGCCGGAAGAAATGGAATTGTTGACATGAAGTCTACTTACCTTATGCCATCGGGCCTTGCATCACTTGTCAGCTTCGCCTTCTGACTTCCTAGCTACCATCCGAACATGAAATGTAAACTCAACGCAATTTCACATCTGCGACTCCGACATTTGAGAGTGTGTATAAAGCATAGTATGAACATCGAGAACGGAGGTGTCAAGTCTGTCTTGATTCTATGCGCATCCCACTCACAGACATCCGTCCTTGCACCTAGCACCTCTCTGGCCACTCCCCTAAAGCCTACCTTACCATTCAGCGCTATAGCTCCTGGCGCAGCCGAATCACAAACTGTATTACTGAGCTCCTATCTCGCAATTGGCATCACAGTCTACCTCCACGATAGTAGAGCCGGGTATGTAGGCCTGGAGTGTCAGATACCTAGCGAGATCTGTAACATACGCCTCTACAAGCGCCCATGAATTCCATCTACCTAGCTGTTGTGGCAGCTGCAGAAAACACGTCATGATTCTGGACGCCGATGGCAGTTTGAGAATGAGTGCAGTTCCAGACGTAAGCGAAGGGTAATAATGAGCTGCGTCGACGACACAATCTGCGTTGTAGGAAGCAGAGATATGTTCCGCGGAAGTCGGAAAGAGAGTCCGCTCATTGCGACCATGTGGGCATACCAGGGTTTGTTGCATCAGATGGCAGACATCTCCTCCCTGTATTGGAACGAGCAGTATCAGCACTCAGCAGCCTACGTGACATCGGGACCATCAAAAGCCAGCCATAGCCAATGCATTTCATTATCACCTAGCATCTATCGATCGAGCAATTTCTCGTCCATGCTCGATATCATACTAATTTCATCTCCCAAACTACAAGCTCTCAGCACTCTCAGGCTCCCTATTCTGCGCCGGCGGCTGAGGGTAATCCTCCCCCTTATCTCCCCTCGTCCCTGCAAACTTCCCCTCTTCCTTCTCGATGGCCCTCTCTTTTGGCTGCGTGTCCTTATCGACCATTTGGTTGCTGCTCCCCACACTCGCTCCCACGCCCGCCAGCCCACCTCCATGTTTCTTGTTCGTGTGTTCTCCGTCGTGCCTCAGCTCATTGCTCGTCTGTCCTTGTCCGGGGTGACCCATGCCCGTGTGCACATCACCGGAGGTAGCTCCGCCGAGGGTCGAGGATGCAGTCGTCTTGGTGGATTCTTTACCGTGATCACGCTCGACCGATGAGTTGTCGGCCTGGCCTGGCACTTCGGATGTAGGGTTGGGTTTGAAGGTGCGGTCGGCGGGGGCAGAGCCTGGAGGAAGGGTTTTGGCGCTGAACTCTGGAGCGGCGTCGTTGCCGACTAGGACGCCAGGCTTGTGCTGCAGAGGTTGTCAGAGATGAGGCAAACGATTAGGATGAGATCAGGATTTTCAGACCTTTGGTTCACGCATGGGCTCATCGCGTTCGATGTGAGAGCCGAATTGACCCGGCTGGTTGCTGACTGCATCGGCGTTGCGTGAGGCGGACATGGTTGCCGATTAGTAGGTAGGGGAGAATGGGGTATTAAGTATCTCTTTGAGGCCCTATAGCGTGGTTTGGGTCGGAAAAGGGTATATGTCGATGGATTGGTTGGTGAAGAGGTTATGAGTTGTGAAAGTTGAATGTGAGGGAAATTTGATGTGGTGTGATTGTTTGCTCTCACACGTCATACTCACTCCTTTCGAAAAACACTACATTACATCATCGACAAGGATGACGCTAAGCGAGCCCTACGAGTAAAGTAAATTCAGCCTTGTATTCAGGAACAAATCCCATCCTTCGACCGCGAGTTTACTAAATTTATCTCTCCTCTTCCATCTTTCATCTTTCATCTTTCATCTTTCCCGTCCATATATATTTCTTTCGCAATTTCTCTTACAACTCTCGCAAATCGCAATCGTCATGTAAATTAGAAAGTCCTATTGCCGTGATTCGGCCCATTGCTGCATCTTGCATATTTCGCTGACCCGGCCACGCTGTCTCGCGCAGCCATTTCGCATCAGTTCTACGTCTCCGTTTCAGATCCTTGGATCAGATCTTCTAACGCCAGGGACCCGAAAGATTGGCCGTCTCGAAACAGGTAGATATCCAAAGTTCGCCCATTCAATCGGCTATCTTACTGTGTGCAGAAGCTTCGAATGATCAAGCATCGCTTGGCGCTTGGCCCCTGGTCGCGTAATGTCGCGTTGCCCACGCCTGTCGCATTGTTTCAGAAGCTAACCGCTTGCATCATGATATTATCGCTTGGTTGTCTCAGAGATAAGCGTATGCGATGCTCGTGTTCGATACATAAATGATGCGTTTCCAGCTGCCAGATGAAAGAGAAAACGAGAACCAGCAGTCATCAAGCAACAAAAAAATTTAAGCCATTGAATAGTCACCCTCAGCGCTACAACACGACAATAGCACTTCAATACCATCGCTTTTCTCAACTTCCCCATGCCTAAAATTTTATTCCAAGAGCCATCCTACGACATCCGAGCCCCGCGTTCAGCCCGTCGAAAGTCCCACGACTGGGAACGAGAAGTGCGGCGGCAGAACCTCATGGGTTCCTTCTCCAGCTGGCTCAAACAGCACACCGCTCCGAAAAGGTCGAAGAGGAGATCATCGGCCGCCCGACGAGACCTCGTACATTTCTGCCACGAATTCTAGACGGACGTCGACACTTGCGTGCGATGGATGTATCGACTGGTCAGTGAGTGAGGGATTTGGTCGGATCGAGGGAACTTTTTTCATGACCGGTGCTGGACGCTGGGTGGATGCCGACACAATTGTTCGAGCCGGTCTCGAAAACGGTCCGCTGTTGGGCGGGCTGAGTATGCGAGTATGGGGATGATGAAACCAAAGCGACGGATCTTGGGCTATCGCTCGTATGCGACCGTCGCACAACTCATGGACAAAACCGGACGGGACAATGATACGACCGAGTGACATGATAATTGGAGGTGGGGGGGGTAGAGGAAGGGGATCGGAAGGAACCGAAACAGATCCTATCAGCAGGGTGGACATTCGAGTGGGTCGCTTGGATAGACGAGACGGGAATTGATGTGCTGGTGATGAAATAAATGTATCATATCCTGTACCATCAGATAAGAGCACGAAAAACATTCTTAGAGAAATCGCACTGGCTGTCCCACCCGATCTGACCGAAACCCTCCCCCCCCCCTCTCCTGTAACAAGATATCGCACAAGCGCCCGAACCGACACCTCCATCCAACCATCCCAAACAACCCCGTCACAACTCCAGCACCCGCAGCGCCAGCTCCAGACACTCCGTCCCGTACCGTGCCCGAAGCACACAGCATTTCTCTACCCGTCCTCTCTGACCCACCACCTTGATCTGCTCCGTCGCACCACTCTTGTGGTCGTAACAAGGCACCGAACTCATACGACTGCCAGGGCTCCCGAAGGAGCCAATCCAGTCCATTCGGCACCGATGGGACATTTCTAGTGACCCCGCCATCCGGGGTCGGTCTTCGATTTGTGGACGGCAGCTCGTAGCGCCCCAATCGGCAGCACGAACCTGTATAGACGGCTCGGCATGACCGGTCGATCGAGTTTCTGAGCGTCTGTCCAAGGTTGAGTGTTCGATTTCATTTCATTCATGCCATGCCGATTCCGATGCCGAGTCGGCCCGGACGTCCATTGCGGTCCCAGGTATGGGAATCTGTTGCGCGAGGGACGCTCCGTGCCCAGATGACGGGAGGCTGGTGGAAGGACGGGGACTTACGGGTACTGGGCAGCACTTACGAGGAGGGACTGGCACGGGAGACCCGTTCATGGGTTGTTCTGCGGGCTCTGGCCCTGCTGGCAGAAGTGTCGAGGGGGTGGGGAGGCAGATGTCTTCCTTACGGTACGTAGTAAGTTCATGCCCTGTTCCTGTGCACGGCAGATCTTGGCCAGGGGAGCCATGGTGGGAGATAGCGAGGTTCGTGGGAAAGGGGATTCCCGTGTTGGATCCAAAATCTGAGATGCTTTCGTGCTTTCTGGAGAGCTGATGCAGATGGCCGCGGTGAAGTAGGCTTTCTGAACGGATTGTTTTCCCCCGGGCAGAGGCTTGACATCGACCTCTGAACACTTAGAAAGCCGTATTGGAAATGTATAATTTATATGTCTGGTAGAACTTGATACGTAAGGAGACAGTTGATCTGAGATGCACGCGTCCTTGCACGTTGGCTGATCCTCTCGGATCGCTGGACACTGCACAAGAAAGAACATGAAACACGAGAACAGACGGGAGGCACTTCGCAGACTTGTCCTGACTTGAGATGACCAACGAGCGGAAGGTCATTTCGGCTCTTCATATAACCCAAGAGTGAGAGTTTTAGAGACGAAAAAGTGCCATCTTAACGACTGGCTGGAATTCCAATCCTTGGTGGTAACACATTAGCTCAGGTCCATATGCAAAGATCACTATTCTGTTGAGTTGATAGATTGCGCTTGGATCTCTGGACTATTGCAAGTACCTATTGAGGTTCTGGTGTTGGTTCTGCGATCTTGGAGGGATGTAACATTAATGGTAGAAGAGCCTCTAGAGGCAAGACTCGGAGAGCCCCTAGGATCCCTGGTTCCCATCCCCACCTAACACGCCTCAAGTGGGACGATGCCACAGAACAGCACAGTCTATGAAGTGGACGTCCAGCTTGATCGGCGCACGTAATTTGTCTATTCGGTACACTTAGCCAACTCCACTGCCCTCAAATTCTGCTGTAGCCGACCTGAGAAGCAGATACAACAGATCGATTGGATGGTCTGTTGGAATGTCGCATACAAGGCGTGTACTTGCTGGATTTGGAGAAGCGCGAGGACAAAGAGCGCACCGTCTGCAGACATCTGATAGAATGATGCCTGAGACGACGCAGCAAGACTCATCTCTTGGTTGCCTTAAGGGGCACTGCTACTATCGCTGAAGCCTTCCCACTCCTGATCTATCAGCTGGTCCGTTCCGGGACTTTCAACCTGTCTCACAAATCCCGCAACGAAGAACCCTTGGGTACCCTCTTTGGTGCCTTTCTCACAACGAATACAGGCTTCGGCGATCTCTGCCATGTCAATCTCCTCATCCATAGCAATGTCAATGCATGCCTCTACCTTGCCCCTCATCTTCCACATCTTCATTCCACAAATCTGTTCCTCTCTTCGTAATATTTGCCAGCCTCGTTCTTGGGCAATTGAGGAGCGTAGTGCCTTCATTACCACATGCTCATTCTCTTCTGCGTAGAGGGAGCAGGTGGAATACGTGATCCTGCGAGCTTTTGGAAAGTGGAAGGCGTGCAGGAGGAGCTTAAGCTGGAACGTTGATAATGCAGTAAGTCGACCTGAGAGCTGGTCTGACGGCTTGTCTTCTCGAATTGGAATCTCTTCTGATACGTCGTGGACATTCAGGGTTGTGTCGACGGTGGGTTTCCTCTTCCGCTTCTTGGATTGCACGGGAAGTAAACCGCTAGTCTCCTTGCTAGGGAGGAGGACATTCAAAGTTTCGTCGCGCCCTACGATCCCACTACCTGAGCAGCTCGGGTCAAGTAGAAGTGTACCAATGCTGTCCCAGGGGGTCTTCGCCGGATCAGTCCTCAAAAAGTCTTGCCCTACCTTTGCTATTACATGGTCCTGAGCGCCAGCCGTTTGAAGGAGCGTCAATAAGGTTGAAGCCCGACCCTTATCCCGCTCGTAAGCGTAAATGTTGGGTATTGCTGCAGCTCGACCTCCATCATGTAGGATGGCAGCAAGATGCGTAGTCTTGTTTCCCGGAGCAGCACAAGCGTCCAAGCAACCACCATCTTCAAATTTAGGGCAGAGTAGATAGGCAGGGAAGCATGAGGCTTTGTCTTGTAGTATGATGTGTCCGTTGAGGTAGGCAGGGGTCTTGGATAGGTCTGTAGCAGGCGGCAAAGCGAGTAGGTTTGGTACATGCTTGTCGACATGTATGAGCTTCTCCGCGGAAGACGGGTGATATCTCAGCAGTTCTTCCAGAGACTGAACGGTCTTGTAGCCGGCGAATGTAGTTTTAAGTTGCTCATCCAAGTCGGACTTGATCGTATTGACTCGCACCCATCGAGGATGAGGCCACTCCCCAAACCCAGCTTCGCTTTCAAGCCCAGTGGCCACAGCGCTTCCGTTGTATGCCCGCTTTTCTCCGCCGTCCTTTGCCTCTATCCGTTCCCGCAGAACCTCGATAGACGAAAGTCCCTTTCTCAGCCTGGCTTTGGTGAGCTCTGCATGGAGCCGAGCCTTGTGTCTCTCAACGGCAAGCCGTAGGGGGTGCGATGATGGAGCAGAGATACCCCGCTTAGCAAGAAGGAGGTCATGGACCAGTAGTAGAGCAAGGTTTGGAGTCAGCTACAGGATAAATGCCTCCTTGTCAGTTAGTACCTTCCCAGCTGAAGACAATTTGCTTGTACGTACCTTTCGTTCGAACTGCAGGAGCCGAGATTTTTCAATAACCTCGGATAGTACTGGGCTCCATTTTGATGCCTCGGTCACCAGAGCGAAGATCTGCTTTGGGGGTGACTTGTGGCCTTTGGAGTTGAAGACGCGGGATTTCAATGAGCCTGCTTGATCTGAGTTGGGCAGCAGTAGAGGTGCTGCATCGTAGTACAGTGACATAGTTTCGTTGAAAGTATGGCGACTTCATCGACGGGGAGAATAATTCTGAAGGAATCGCAGGAGTGAGCTCCTGAAGCAGGAACTTTCAAAGTGAAGACCCCTCGGACGTCGATTCTCTTGAAGCCTCTCGGCAAACCTTCCCAAGCTGTACGAGTACGAGTAAGCGGCCGACGCTGGACGACGAGATTTGGCCTCAGTTTATCAATTCCACTTAGAAGTTAGAACCCTCATCATGAACCTGTGACCAAGGGGGCCGTGAAGTGACCCGAAAGTCTAGTCCATCGTGTCTCTCAGTATTGTTTGCGTAGTGCAGAGACTGCCATTCTACATTCAACATCTTACATTGCTCTCGGTCTTGCCTGAACAGCAGAGTGGGCTGCTCAGACTTTCGACATGGAGCGGTCTTATGTTCGGTATTCGGTGTTTCTATGGGGAGCATGCATGGCTATCGATGCCTGCTACAACGCATTGTCCTGCCCTTCGTGAAACTAAGCATGCTGGCTGGCCCGTATGGCGAGTTGTTGCACCTACTTGGAGATGAAGCAGGCAGCCTATTCGCGTGGGCCAGAATTGAGGGGAGGTGGGTAATCAGATGGGACGTTGTAAGGCCAAAAGAGCTTTCCATATGTTTGCTTAGATGATGTGAACCTGCTATGCTTTATCTCATTCTAGATGCAAGATGTGTAATATTCAGGTAAAGCAATCGCTTGTAAATCTGCGCTGATGGTGAAAAATAAGGCCGAAGATGGAAAAACTGTAGATGTTGCCACCATTTGCAAAGTGAGGTTTGGCAATGTTTTCACCCCAAATCTAACCAACTTTCATCAACAGCACGCTGCAACATCAGGCTCACAGCCCCTACACTGCACCAGTCGCCCCTGTATTCATTACAAGATGATTATGATGATAATTGACACACCCTGAACAAATTTACGTGATCGCACAGCCTGCAAACAATTAAATCGCATCTGACGCGTTAAGATCAGTCCAGCTCCATCTTTCAAGCTCATCAATCCCTCACATTCAACAATGATGGCAAGCCTATCAGCCAAAGACATGGGAAAGGATCAAGTGCTGGATGGCTGGTGCCGCAAGATCCCCAAATCTGGGGGTGGGCCTCCTCTGAGCCGCAAACGAGTCACAGAATTTTATCAGACATGCCATCAACTCATCCAGCTTCAAGAAGCACCAATTACCCATGAGGTCATCACTAAACTTGCCTCTGAAGGAGGCCTTACCCGCGTTGCAGAGCTTGTCAAGCTCGCTGAGCTATCATCAACGTACGTCCCTTTCTGAGCAATGGCATCACCTTGGGTGTCCAGTTTGGGTCTCTGTGGATGATGGGAGACTCCGCCCTTCTCCTTCAATTCCCAACTGCCTTGCTAGTTGGTGTCTCACCATGAGGAGCGTTGCTGACCCTTACGTCTGCATAGGCCTAGGGAGACGAACGACATCTTACTGACCATCCTGATACCGTTCCTTGAGGCCATTACCCACAAAGATGTCTTATACTCCATGATGCTCGAGCAGATGGTGGCCAATATATATGTCTTCTTGTATGGAATAGGCGGCCGTCGAGCCACAGCGCTCTTCGGCTTTATAGCAGAGGCCCTCCAAGCCGAGCTAAACACGGGCCCTACGAATGCACTTTACTCGCGCACTCTCACCGTCCTTGCCGCACTTCTCCGAGTCCTGGAGTGCAATCATACTGCGTCTCCCTTAGAAGACCTCCGCTTCGTCGTTGACACCCTTCAAGCCTGCCTCGACGCACTATCGAACACTTTCCAGGGCACTTTGATGGAACAGGCCGCTTCACACCAAATGACGAAGGTGCGGCGTCATCTGGACTATGGAGTGAGCTTGGTACCCTTCCAGCAAACCAACCCACCCGTTCCAAACCTTGCAGCCGCCTTCGAGATTGCGCTAGATGGCCCTGGTGCCCTGTCTTTAGCGGGGCCTAGGCATGACAACGACCATAGCATGATTGAAGATGTCAGAATACTACCAACTCCTCAGGAGATTTACTCACTTCGTACGGAATATCTCCCAACAAAGGACCCCAGCAGGTGGCATCTTCCCGGCATCAAAGGGCTGCTGGACCAGCAATTTCGTCTGTTGCGCGAGGACACTGTGGGTCAGCTCAGAGACTGCGTTCGAACGGTAATGGAGAGCCTGAAGCCTCTCAAGACCAGAGATTTGACGGATACTGACGATGAGATCGGCCTTCGCATTCACAAATACTCCAAAGTTGTCCTTTCCACTGTCGACTACCACAATAGAGCACAGCTTCGGGTTATGGCCCAGTTTCAACAGCCAGAGCATATGAGCAGACGAACTGCCGCAGACCGTAGGCTATGGTGGGACAGATGCAAGCAACTACAAATTGATGCTCTCGTGTGTCTTGTGGATTCTGAAGGCCATTGCCTTTTCTTCTCCGTTTACGATCGAAAGGGTTTCGGCCAAGCTGGGCAGCTAATCACCACAGAAGCCCGTGGCATTGAAGGCAAATCGCGTGAAGATGAGACGAAAGTACCAAATCTCTGGCATAGTCCCCGGCGTGGAACGGTCACGCTTCGCTTAATTGATATGGGCAACCAAGACTTCAAGCAAATGTTGGGCAGAGATGTTCAGTCGTCGAACGTGGAACAAGTGATCGTCGAATTTCCAGGAGTGCTTCTTCCATCATTTCAGCCCACGCTCGAGGCCTTACAGCGCATGAGCAGAGATGTCGAAATTCCATTTTCCGACATGCTTCTTCCCAATCAAGAACAAAGCCCAACTCAGACATCTTGGCCCACCTACGCTACTCAACCTGGTTTTTCTTTCGATTTAAGTCCGATAGTCGCTGCAGGAAAGCCTTTATACTTGCAACAGAACGATAAATTCGACTTCGACAGCCTGAAAGAACGATCTACACTGGACGATGCTCAATGCAAGGCATTGGTGGGGGCACTTTCCAGGAACCTTGCCCTCGTACAAGGCCCACCAGGGACCGGAAAATCGTACATCGCTGTACAGGCCGTCAAAGTACTGTTGGAATGCCGCGAAGAAGCGGAGATAAACCCTATTATTTGCGTGTAAGTGCGGCCGTTTACTATGATGGTTCCTTCTTGTCAAGCTAAAACGCCACCAGATGCTACACCAATCACGCGTTGGACCAATTTCTCGAGCATCTCGTAGAGGGCGGCACTAAGCAAATTGTTCGTATAGGCTCCAGATCCAATTCTACAATACTCAAGCCTTTCACTCTACGTGAGATCACCACTAAGATGGAGAGAACGAAGACTGAAAATCTCGAAGTCAAGCGTTCCCGGGGAAAATTAGAGAAAGAGGGTAGGCACATTGTGGACTTGTTCCACAAGCTGAAGCATGTGTGCACGTTGGGGGGGGTATTGCAGTACCTGGAGGTGGAGAATGCTGACCACTACGACCAACTCAAGGGTACCGAGGATCCAGACGGATTTCACATTGTTGGACATCAACGTGGTGACCGACTTAAGCAGTGGCTTGAATCTCCAGCTGCTCCTTCGTACGCGGGGCAGCAGCTTCGTTCTCTAGAAGAGCTCGAGGACATCAGTATAACGGATATGAGCAACAATGAGCGCAAATCTATCTACGAGCATTGGGTTTCGGATTCTCGGCAAGATCTCACGGAGCAGCTTGACGACAAAATTGGTAGATATGTCAAGATCGACAAGAACTTACAGAAGTGTATTCAAGAAGTGGATTTGAGATGCTTGAAACAATCCCACGTGATTGGGGTCACAACTTCCGGGCTGGCCCGTAATGTTGACCTGCTTCGACGACTGAAACCCAAAATTCTGATCTGCGAAGAGGCAGGAGAGATACTCGAGGCTCATACTCTTACCGCGTTCCTCCCTTCGATTGAGCATGCGATCCTGATTGGAGACCATGAGCAACTTCGTCCAGGTGTGCAGAATTACGACTTGTCACTCGAAAATCCGCGCGGTGAGAAGTACTCGCTAGATATGTCCACCTTCGAGCGCCTGATTACGAATCCTGACTTGGAGGTCCCTTATGATACCCTCCAGACCCAACGGCGTATGGACCCGTCGATCAGCGACCTGATTCGGAAAACTCTATACCCGTCGTTGAAAGACCACGACTCAGTCCTAGCATATCCTCCTGTGACAGGAATTCGAAAACGCCTCTACTGGCTTGATCATCGAGAGCCCGAGACTAGAGAAGACCCCACCCAAGTGCTGCAAAACTCACAATCAAACATGTACGAAGTGGATCTAGTCCAAGCATTAGCAACACATTTTGTCCGTCAAGGTGTCTACAAGAGCAACGAGATTGTGATTCTTACTCCCTATGTGCGCCAGCTACTCGAGCTTCGGGACATGCTGTCAAATACCTTCGAGATTGTCATCGGAGATAAAGACCAAGATGAAATTGCCAAAGAAGGCCTTGATGCATCCGACACGAGGCCTATTGTCAGGCATAAAGCCATGCTAAAGCAGATGATGCGGATCTCGACGGTCGACAATTTCCAAGGAGAGGAGTCCAAGATTGTCATCGTATCGCTCGTCCGAAGCAATCGAGAGAAGCGATGTGGATTTCTGCGAACCAGTAATCGAATCAATGTCTTGTTGAGGTGAGTCTCCTAAATCAAGGATCGGATTTGCGGCTGATAATCTTCGAAGCCGTGCCAAATACGGAATGTACATCATTGGAAACTCGGAGACTTATACCCAAATCCCAATGTGGTCAAAAGTGATCAAGCTACTAAAGGGTGCCGGCAACATGGGTCCCAGCCTTCCACTTTGCTGTCCCCAGCATCCAGATACATCTATTAGTGTCTCAACGCCGGATGATTTCCTACGCAAAGCGCCGGAGGGAGGCTGTGCCGTCCAGTGCGGTCTCCAGCTCGACTGTGGCCACCTCTGCACATATAAATGTCATTCCGAAACCCGACATCAATCTGTCATCTGCCGCGAGCCTTGTGAGCGCCTTCATGGTGACTGCGGTCACCTTTGCACCAGGTATGTACATTTTCGAGGACTATCCTCCTTGTCTGTACGCAGTTGTGAGTCGCTTGACGGGGTTTGGGAAGGGAAAAAGCCTTCCAGATCCCAAGTCTGCCCTAAAGCTCAAAATCCTTCTCGAAGAATTTACGCTGATTGTGAAATCCTTCTGCAGAGCATGTGGTGTCGATTGCGACGATTGCCTTGCACTCGTTGAGGATGTACAATTGAACTGCGGTCATACTGCAAGTGAAGTGCCCTGTCATCATATGTCGGACCTTTCCTCAGTTGAATGCCAATTCTATATCGAAAAGGTTTTGCCTAGCTGTGGGCACAAGAACTTCGTCAGGTGTGGTCAGAAAATTTCGAATACACCTACTAAATGCGAAACGCAGTGTGGCGTGGATCTTGCTTGTGGGCACCAATGCTGCAAGCCATGCGGCGTTTGTCATTTGAAGGGCACTGGTCTTGGTATTCATGGCAGCTGCAATGCCCCGTGCGGGCGAGTCAGATTAACCTGCGTTCACCTTTGTGAAGCCAGTTGTCATGGAGACTCGCCGTGTCCACCATGCAATTTGCCCTGCTCTATAAGCTGCTCGCATTCGACATGTACGAAGCGGTGCTGCGAGCCATGCGCGCCATGCGCTCAATCTTGCACCGCAGGATGCTACCACCAAGGGTACTGCCAAATGCCATGCGCCGTACCTTGCGACATCTTGCCTTGTTCTCTTCGCTGTGAGGAGGATTTAGCTTGCGGACATCAATGCCCTTCGGTATGCGGAGAGTCATGCCCCAGTACCGAATTTTGCCAGCAGTGTGCATCTACCACCGTCAAGCAAACACATGTCGACTTTGGAAGCTTAGGAACTCTGACATATCAAGGGATCGACTTGGACGCGACACCCGTCATTGTGCCGGCTTGTGGCCATTTCATCCTAATGACTACGATGGATCAACGCATGGGTGTTTCTGATCATTATGAGGTGTCTAGTAGCGGAGTGCCGGTCGCTTTTCGCTCGGAGTCTCTACCTCTAGCGGTCATCGAATCGAAAAGCTGTCCTCCATGCCAAGGCCCACTGCGCGATCTCAACCGCTACAATCGTCTCGTTAAACGGCCCAAACTCGATGAAAGCACCAAGAAGTTTATTGTTCATTCAAACAAGGTTTTAGTCCCCTTGGCTACCAGACTTCAACAAGAGGAGACTCGCCTCGCCAAGACCAAATCGACGATGAGCGCCGGTACGACAGTTGTTCAATCCAAATGTACCTCTATCGTGCCAACGCTCGTACGGCTTGGCGGTCCCAGAGGTGTGTTGTTCCACAACATCAGCGAGCTATCCGGTCTCGGCTCTCGATGCGGGCCTCTGCTTGCATTGCACCATGAGATACTCACGTTCTTGGGGCGAGTCAGAGAAGATGAGCAGCCCTTCGCAGAGATCCAATGGACGGTAGCTCAACGACCCCGTGCGATGCATAGAGCTACAGTACTTCAGACAACAAGCAGCCTGCTTATAAAGGGTCTTCTACTACGTTGCGAATACGATATCCTAACCGAGATCATCAAGATTCATAGGGAACAAACCCCTAGGATGGCGACACAGCATCATTGGCTCACGTTAAAGCTGTGTCTTGACCTGGACTTCAACCGTCGGGATTGTCGCGATTTGATCAACGAAGCAATTGAGAAAAGCCATCCCATCATAGACATCGAGGCTCGTCTGCTCTTTGCTAAGTTCGTCGCTTTGGAGAGAATAGCGTCAATTGATCCGGACAGAATCGAGGGTCTACTCCCTCAAGCTCGTCGACAGATGGAGATAGCCAAGCATATAGCGAAAAATTCGCCCATCCTCGAACAACCAGATTCACCGGATCTGGAAGTAGAGAACCAAAGACTGGAAATGGAACTACAGAAATACAGCATGCGGGAGGGTGAAACAAATATGAGATGTAAAGTACTAGATTGCACCAAGCTTTTCGCCGGAGCGGTCTTCTGGCGGAAGCATGTTGAGAAGTGTCACCCCCAGTGGTACGAAAAAATGAAAGCGAGCGTAAGCTCCAGTGCTTCCAGCTTACTTGCGGAGGTTGAAGAGGTGGAGAAGATGTTGCAGGAGGTTACGGTTTCTATGATTGTGACTAGTGCAGAGAAACAGGCGATGTATCTCGTAATGGCTCAGGACTACGAAGGTGCGGGAAGATGGTATCATTGCTCCAATATGCATGCCGTGAGGATAATCTTCCAAGTCGCAACGCGCAAGCTAACAGTCACTCAGTTCACGATAGAAAATCGCGAGGCGCGCGTGGGCACATTGAAGTGCCCGCAATGTGGGGAACTTGTAGCTGGGCCGTCTCAGGAAGTGGTCGAGGAAGTGCCGAACGCTGTCGATGTTTGAACACCGGTCCAGGGATATGATACTGTCGGCGCAATTTGAGCTGCTGGAAATGGGAATGTGGTGAGCATGGCTCGGATAGGTTTATATCGGTCTGGAAGGGAGGTCATCCGTGTGCTCGGCTGAGTACCTTGAGTCAGCTTACAATGTTGGTTGCTCGTGTCACTAAATCACGTGCTGTCGAATGTAATAATGGTGTGCAGTCAATTTGCCCAAAAATTAGTAACGAAAAAAGATTTCACTTGTCAAATGACTCAAGCGATCTGTTCCGTGTACCAGAGAGCCTGTGCTGCAGACGACTAAGATTTGAGTGATGAGCGTGATTCAAGTGCCGTTTAGACAGTCGATAGGGCTGCCCTTGCTGGGGTGTCTTCGATGAGGCCCGGATACTGCAACAGGGCCATTAGAGCACTCCTGGCCAGCACTCGAGAATGGAGCCGTGGGGGAAGTGTGTGTACGGGGTGGTGGAGCAGACTCCAGGATGGGACAGGCGGATCACCAACTCACATCTACACAACCAAATGGGCAACACCGCTCAGCCTTTGCTCGGATGCATCAAGTTGCACTGGGCAAGGGGCTGGGAAGGCTCCAGTCTTTGAGGAGGGTGGATGTTCGAAGTCGGACACGGGGAAGATCTTTCGGTTCTTCGCACTTTTGCAAGGATAGTTTCGTGGACTTTTGTTCATATACAGGCTCTTCTCGTTTGAAAGAAAAATTCTCTGAGGCCTGACAAGCCACTGCTTCCAAAAACGACATCAAGCTGGGCTCGGGGGTATCGATAGAGAACTCAACAAGGGTAAGCTCGATGACAGAGGTTCCAATGTACGAGCTGTGTTTTAATTGAGAATCTGTACAGCTCCTCAGCCAGAACTTGAGTGTACGCTGATGCGCTGATGAGGTATTAGGCATTTCTGGTTGTGGTCGTAAATTCAATTAACAGCTTTTACTTCCTGCTTTGTTGGAGCGCACGCGTAGACAGACAGGGGATTCACTTACGCTGAAGCTGTTTCATTGCAAGCATTTTGATTCTTGTCGTGGATTCAAAATACATACAAATGACTTGGAGACTTAGCTAGAAAGCCTACTGGTAGCGAAGTTTCGTGACGACGAGTAGAGAACCAGTGAGGGTATACAGTATGTTGAAAATGATATTGACGGTGAACTCAATGACGCTGTAAAGTTGGGGCATCAGCGCCCATGTATATAGTATGATATTATACGACCGAGTAGGTGGCTTTCTTTAGCAAGTGGGCTGTCCGCAGGTACCTGCCTGTAGGCGCCGCCTGTTCCAAATCTCCCGCGCATTCCTCCGCGTCGAAACACAATGGTAGGCCCGCGCCCATTCCGAAAGCCAGCTGTAGAGGATTGATGAACAGGACCAACAGGCACCAGATTATTTGATCGACTCCATGATGGCAATGTTCTTGGAGATTAAATACGGGAGAGAAGATTCCCGGAATATTATGAAGGTCCTTGAGTGAAAGGAGAGGGCAATGCTTCTATGCAGCATTTTGTTCATCGGAAAGCAGATCTCGACGACTACGAGCCAAAAAAAAGGTAGTACGCCCACCTCCACAAGCCATCGAACCCAATGCGACACTGTTCAGTGCGACCGTGACGGAAAAAATCGCGAGACCTCTTCAGATGCGAGTGGTTCACTCGCACTTCTTGAAATTGGTGTTGGGAAGAAGGAAAACTTCGAATATCGCCCTAGACGAATTCTTCACATTGGCACCGCCATAGTCATAGTCTCATGAAGGGAAGCGCACACTCTGTTCCAGGGAGCTAGGTCATTGTCTGGGCCGAGGTGTTCAGGTCCAACCATGACTGAAAGTTTTGCACGACGTGGACTCCTCTCGTCTTGCCTAGAAGATAATTTTTGTGGGTGTCTCTGGGAACCAGAACAGGAAGTCTCACAGGCGCATGTTTCGATCTTATCGGGGTACTTCAAGCTCTTGTGGATGTTCCTCGGCACTTCGCTCTTGCATGGTCCGTATTTTACCCTCTCCCTCTTCTGCCGACATCTCCTACCTTTCTCGTGCGCTTGCTACTTCATATCTTCTCTCTCGAGCCTCCACTTCATATTTCCGACTTTTTTTAGCTTCTAACTCGGCCTTTTGTAGAAGATAAGGTTGCGTGTCTTCCCAGGACTGGCCGTCTTTTCGTGACGTTGTAGTCTTGTCATTTACCGATTTTTGACCTTTCCGGCGTCTATACCACAAAAAGGAGCCAGCTAGGAAAAGAGCAAGAACAACAACCGGAACTACGACTACCAATGGCCACCTTGGTGTACGTTGGTAAGCTAGGGGAAGATAGTGGCGTGGGGTTTGCCGTTGGTAGTGATGACATTGGCGATGGCGATGATTTCGATGTTGAAGACGTGTTTATTGACCGAAGGCTCGCTACGATTGCTGGAGCCGCAATGTCAATAATCTTTGCGCCTTCGGCAGTCGTCAAAAATACGTCGCAGCTATCGAAACCTAAGAGATTTTTCATTTGTGATGCAGCGGTTCAATGAAAGGAGATCGGATTGGCCGTAGCTGTTTCCATGATCGAGTACTGCGGTGAGATCGAGATAGAAGAGCCCGAAGTCGTGACGCATATGTCATTCGATATGAATGCTGACAATATTGAATACGCCGTGAAGAGTATACAGACATTCGGCTTCGTCTCTGTTCAATCTTGTCAGTGGAGAGTGCGCTGCGAGGATATATAGACTCACTACATACTGGTGTCATCTACTAGAACTTCAGTGTAGGCTGGACTAGAGTGCAGCCATCGCCTGTGATCCGTGTGTCAGAATTAGTAGCATGTGTTTCATGAAATGATTGTCAATGCACACCACAGCAGCGGCGTCATCGATTGGCCAGTATCAAGCCCGGCTAATAAAAGGTATCTGCAGTATCAAGCGCGAAGTCGTCACGGATAATGATAAACGGAATTCAGACTGAGAGAGCAACGATTTTCTTGCGACTCCAAGACTTGAGATAGAAGCTCTTGAAGCGTCGTGGTGGGGACCAACGAGGGACTGGAGTGATTGTATCCTGGTTCCACGCTATAGATTTCATTCACTAGCTTGCATCCATGGTGCTGGCAGCTAGGGGAGCCTGCGTTGATTTTCGCTTACGAAGAAGGCCTAGCGCGAATCCTTCGCAGAAGAAGAAGGACCAGCAGTTCTACTGAGAAGGCCACGGTACGGGGCGTATTTAGCGGGTGTTCTGGGTTGCAGACGTCGTTCGCCCGGATATGACTTCTTCGGTCCAAGGATGGTCGGATCTTCTCGCTCTTTCCGTTGCTATCCTAGCCTAGGCTCTTGCATGCCCTATATCTTGTTCCATCTTCCGTGTTCTGCTGCCTTTTAAGCTCTTCACGTACCGTCTCGATGTCCTACCTCCTATCTTCCGTCGTTAGTGCTCCTCGCCCTCTAAGTCAGCTTAATTTGATGTTGTGCTTCTTCCGATCAACAGCCAACGCTTTACATTTTTTCTCGATGCAATATCGACCAAGGCCTTCTTGGCATCTTTGGCCAATGAAAACGGAAAGTTCGTTTCAGATTTTGACCTAAAAAAAGGGGGAGACAATTTCACACCATATTCCCGCTTCGAACGATATTTAAGTCAAGATTCCTTTTCTCTTTGCACGCAATGACAAAGATGAAGACTACTTCATCCTATCGTAGCGAGATGATCGCTGTCTCATACAGGGAGAAAATACAATCTTCGCACGGCTCATGTGGTGATACCCCTACTCTTTCAACCCGTGGAACCGATCTGACCTTCCACATGCCACTCACTGGTGGTCGCCTAATCGAGGAACCAAGTCACCAAATACTTAAGGACAAATATTGAGAAAGCGAGAAGCATGTATTCTGCACGCAGAGCGAAGACACTCGAAGCGTAAGACTGCGCTCGATCCGTAGCGATCTTGTGCATGTGAAGAAGTCAATCCATGCAGGTCCAAAATGGAATTTTGCGCCAAGACAGATGGGTCCTTTCCGAAAGTCCTGCCCGAACAAATTGCCCTGCACCTGCCGAAACTATGAGTATCAGACGCGTTAAAGAAATCACCCCCACTGATATCACATGCAACACACGAATTCCAGCAGATGCGTTTGAGCCAGTTGACCTCAAAATCGAAGGTTCATGAGCCATTAACACAATACTCTACTGCTAAGTACTTCCTCGTCGACTAGAATATTCCTTTCTTCAACACACTTACCAGCACGACTCATTGACCCCTGACTTTTCCAATTATAATTTCCTCCTTTTCGCGAGTACTAGTGCGGAATGATGAATACTACGCCGCTCTGATCCGTCACAACTAATATGTCACATGCTCTACACATGTCGCCACTGGCACTTTACATCGAGCAAGTCTCCGGTCAGCAGCCAGTGTGTCCATGTCCGGATCCAAGAGTGACTACATATCCACCTTCGCCTCCAAAGAATCTAATATTTGACTCGCTTCACTCCACACCGATGCTCGACAATACCCGAACAAATCGGATTCTAGTCTACCCCGGATCCTTCAACCCACCCCATCGAGGCCATCTCCACCTCCTCAAGCATGTGTTCCTACGTGGCGTCCATGATCTCAACATCATAGCCGCCATCATTCACCCCGGAAGCGACAGGTGCGTGTCTAAAAAGGTCCAAGCAGCAGATGGGAAATTCATGTTCGGTAGAGATGAGAGATGCCTTTTATGGAAGCAAGATCTGTGTTTCCCATCATGGGCGTGGGTGTACGAAAGCAGTACGACCCCATTTACGACCTTCTTGGAGCGACTCATTCTAGCGACCAAGAAAGACGGTTTTTCACTTGAGTTCGTGCCTTTATACGGCGCCGGTATGGGATCGCCTAGCAGCCCCCCTGGCCCCGTGTACGGTTGTAAGACAGTCATCTTGAGTGATGCGGCAAGAGCGGCTGACTTTCAACGCTCCTCGGGCCGCCTGAGAGATTTCTTCGGATGCACCAAGTGGAGAAGGATCCGTGTCGACCAGGATGAACTTCGGCGTCATGCGAGGGCAATGGCACGCTATGCGTTGGAGTACATGAAGACGGTTAACAGAGGAGAAGCCTTGGGTATGTTGAACGATGGTATGTACGAGAAACGATCCATTCACATTGGCTGTTCAACGCTGAGATATCCCGGCACAGGTCCTGGTTACGTGGAAAAAGCCACAGAGAAAATTGTTGCCAAAGCAACAGAGGAACTGAAAGCCGTCATAACATGCCGACGAGAAGTGGGAGGCCGGACACTTACTCTGCGCTTTGTGAAATGCGAAGACGTTGACTCCAGGGCGGAATACAACGACATCAGCTCAACGATCTTGCGTAAGGCTATGAGAGAGAAAAAGGGGGTCAAGCTGAAAGAAGCGCTGGATTGGATGGCCCTCAGCCCGCACCTTCTCTGGCGGTACCAAGCTCCTTGGATTGACAAAGCCAGGCTCGGGACGGGCTGTTGCACCAGTTTCCAAGCGTTGACTGAAGAATTCCGGGTGCCTGAAGAATCTACGTTCTTTGAAAAACCGCCGTCGCTTGAGGAGCTCGGGCTAGTTGAAGCGGTTCCTTCGTCACTTGAGAAGCCTCCACCGCTTGAAGACACTACGTCGCATGATCTATCTCCATCTTTCGAGGAAACCCAGTCACTTGATGATTCCCTTTTGCGAAAGGAGCCTTCGGGTATGACTAATAAGAAGAGGCGTTTTTCAGAGACTGAGCTCGAAACTTGGCGGTGTATGAATAGTCTTTGCCGAGGACGGGGAGGTTTTTTGAGAGTCACTCGGTGACATTTGTTGATCGTCGGCTGCTCGGAACACAGATCCACCAACAAAGCCTCTCACGATTATCATCTCAGAGGCCGTCACCATTTGCTTGGTCATTTTATGATAGGGGCGAGAGCGCCACGCGTCTTGCGGAACGTCTGAATCAGACGATGTATGCTTCCTAGGACTTTTCACATGCACAGCTTGATGCACGGCGAACTCAGAGGCCTGGTTTTAGTAATAGAGAGACCTCACACTTGCTCGAAGATCCACATATCCTGAGATAGGGAGTCCAACGCGCAATGAAGCGTGTCGCAAGCGCCGGAACGAGGCGAGTCTGTGAGATCTTCTGTTTCGCTCGCCCTCTGTCCATATCTCAGCACCAGTTCTATCACATGCTATGGCACAAAATTTATTCGCGCCTCTACCCAATTCGCGGAGGCTCACTGCAAGTGTGGCCGGCGTAATCGTAATTCAAGGTGTTACGATGCAAAAATCGACTGATGGAGGTGACAGTACGGCGATAGTTGTCTTTGCATTTTCAACACGTGATAATTTCGCATAGGGGGGCGCGCTTCATGGAGAGAGACGCGACGGTGGTCGGAGCCATATTGTGTGTCTGTGTTTGTAGTATTGCTACCCGTAGGCACAGAGGGTTGATCCCGGGACGAATATGCCGCATGGGCTCTGAGTAGATAGGATTTACTGTTCGGTGAACTCGTGTAGAATGGAGGGGGGGGAGGAAGAAGAAGAAGAGGAGAAGGGTCCTGCATGCGTAGTAGCTGCTGCTATGCTGTAGACACTGTGATGGTTTTCATTGCGTTGATGATTGATGCTGTTGTTATTCCTGTGATTGATTCCCCACTGATTGTTCCTCCATAGTCCCACGATCGCATGGAGAGTGAGAAGCTTGATCTGTACCCACAACAGGAGGGTTTCTCACTTGTCATTCTTGTGACACACGTTGTCCGCTCACTCCTTGGAAGAAGAGACGATGCTCTCTTTTCAACCAGATTTGATTGGTCGAAACCGACACCTAAGACATGAGAAAACAGAATAACCGCAGCCCAATGATAGAAAATGTCCAGTACCGAAAATAATGTCCCTCCAGTATCATTCATACCTTAGCCCTCATTACTTTTTGTCGATTGCACAGTCACATCGGTCCGCACCTCAATCCCATCCCTAGCCCGTCGGCTCGCCGTCTGCATCTCAATGTCTTCTTGGTCATTTATTTTGCGTCCCCGTGAGTCTGTACCAGCGATTCCATGAAGTTGCTGTATACCCGAGAAGCCGTATGCCGCATCAGACAAAGACATGAAATTGCGCTGACTGTCGCTGGGGCTTGTTGGCTGTCCAAGGGGCTGAAAAATTGCTGACGGCTGACCTCGTGTCCAAGATCTGCCATAGGCTTTGCCTCTGGAGCCCCGTACAGGGGGGTCTGGCTCACCCGAGATAATAAGGGATAGAATTGGTCGAAGAGAGGGGAGACAAGCTGTGACGCTGTTTAGCTCCATCGTTTGTAGCGCGGACATGAACGCCATACCAGCGACGATTGCCATATTGCTCTCGGCAAGACTCCAACTAACCAAACTTGCGGAGTTGTAGTCTACGTCCAGGGAAATGGTATCCAATTTGACGATAATTGTAAGGCGAACAATCGAGATCACTGTAACACTGATTTTGGGTTAGGAAAATGACTGCCAAAGTTATACGGTATGGGAATCTCACGACTTACAAGCCACCAAGCATGAACGTACCCGCCAATACTATCTTTTGCGAGGTTGTCGCGTGTAAGCGCCAGATGTACGGAACCGGCAGTAAAAGCAGTGCAAGATCCGTCACGATGTTGGGGACCGAGTTGCCGAGAAAAAAATACTTTGTGTTGAGGCACTTTGCGTGTATACCTTTATTCCAAAATCCCGAGATCGGAGTACATTGAAGCACGGTAATCAGTAGCTTGTGAGTCTTGGGTCAGCGAATACCATTCGAACGGATGAAGGCACTTACAACGGCGATCTCCCAGCATATCGTGACAGCTCCCAGTATACAGCACGGAACACGAATTGAGGCTCTGAAGAGCCTCCAATAAAATGCCAAAATGGAACATTTGACGACGCCGATAGTTAGAAAGTAGAGAATTTCTCCTGTGAAAAAGTTCTTGCCGAACGTGGTTAAATAATCCTTTGGAAGAATTTCGAAGTGGTGCCCAAACCCTTGGTGGAGCCCTATTGTATGCTTCTTTAGTAATCTGTCAAGACCCCATTGACGAAGACTTTGGCAATCATACAGACGATTACAACGGTGAAGAAACCAGTAGCGAGCAACTGTCAGAAGAGTCAGCGCCTGGAGGAAGATTGGGTCTGTGTGCCTATTGTGATCTCTCACTAATGCCACAACTGCAGTCCAATCATCCACCCAGATTTCGGCTTTCATCAGCCTTCTCGCCCACAATCGCAACGCTACAGCTACCGCCGCCATGACGTATGTGGTTATGGCGGCTGCATAGCATTGGGGTGCTTCGCTCGCGTATTTGCCCACGACCGTGGGGACAGGGGAAATGGAAGACATCGCAAAACAAGAAATGAATGACAAGTCGAATTGAAGGAAAAGCAGGAAGGAAAGGAAGGCTGGACATGGTTAGAGAGTCGTCATCGATGAATTCGACTGCAGACTCGTGGCACGTACACATAGCAGGCAAGTAAGATTGTCAAGCTGAATGCAAAGGTGGCATTGACGGCTCGGAGACAATTCCCTCTAAATTATGGAAGAATCGCAACTAGAAGATGGTAGAGGTGGGTGACCATTTTTCAGGTGGGTTGCCGTTTCTACCTAGGTGGCTGACCGTTCCTCAGTTGTGTGCGGGATTTTGCTGTGAGTCCTCAAGTTTTACCCTGCATGGAGTATGCATCCGCGGGAGCACAGACAGTGAGCCGGAAGCCGAGGCTGAGGCTGGGAACAGTCTAGACACCTTGCAAAGACGCGCAGGACCTGTCAAAGATTTCGCCATAGACGACGAGAGCTCCTGGTGTGCACAACGCATGGCGCAGATCCCTACACGCTTTTAGTAGTAGGATCCGGCAGATCGATCGTATTCCGTGAGCAAGGTATCATCAGCTCCCGCTTACATTGATGTAGGAACCCGGCTTGAACGGCTTCGAGATGAGACGATGGGGGATCGGCGGTGGCCGAGGTCCCTCAGTCCCACCAGGTCCCTTGACATCCTTCCACCATTACTACTGTATACGTATCTGGCGTCGTGGAGAAAACAGGACGCGAAGACAAAATTGCCTCTTCTGCTAAGCAGTGAGTAGACGAAGTATGTCGCAGTGGGCTAATGACATGCAACGAAACCCCGCTGCTGTGGGCTTGAGTCTCGTTCTGCCCTCTCGATACGCCTGCGGGATGATGAAGGAGCAATCACTCGTCATTCTATTTTGGCAGTCGTAATCGTAATAGTCTCCACAACGTGGCAGCAATGAATACGAGCAACATCAACGTCACATTATGCTACGTGATGGGAATTTTCCTCTTCCTCATCCTTCTCCTTCCTACACGCGATTATCGAGCGGTAACTTTGATCTACTTACAGAGCTCCTGCAACATATTCCTAATGAAATTAACTTGACGTGCTTACGAATAGCAATACCGCGAACGCCGATGTACTGCACATGCGAACCCTCCAGAGTCGGCGCATCTTTCTATACCAGACCCCGTTGTGCCATTGTAAAGGTAAAGCTAAGAATTAGGTCACATTGTTCTCAGAATTTGCTGCGTCACGGGCAGAACATTTACATCCAGAGGGTCGTTGATCAATCACGCATCATCAGCGTTCTCTTCGTTTTCCGGACTTAAAGGTTGATCTCGACCCTATCCGTGCTATAAGAACTCCGCGTACAGAACCCAAATGAGAGCCTTCTCCATCGCTTCTTCAGGCCAGGTCTGCTTTTTAGAAACTACTCGCACAACCTCGCAACTCAAAAATTAGATAGAATCGCAACAATCCACATTATCGTGGGAGGAGATCTGGGCCGTAGGCGCGGAGATCTCAGAGAGGCTATGCCCACCATCTTTTCGTTGAAACCCTGCACGGGTTTCTTGGGTTTGGTCCCAAGGTATTGGATGGCCAATGAAAGACCGCGGGGCTGAAGCAGCCCCCACAAAAACAGTCTCCGTGAGTGTTTCGTCTTTCGATACTATGGCGATAAGGACGAGCGCGACCCTTAAAAATAATTCAATGCCGTGCAATTACTTGAGAGAGTTGATGATCGAGCGCAAGCATCCCTGGCGATCAAATCACGAGGGTATGGAAAACGAGGAGAAGAAGATGGCCTTTGCCAAGGCTCTATGTTCCGATACGCGCTCGGCTGCAGCTAAGCTAGGCTGAGTGCGGTAAGCGCGGCTCAGCCTCGTGGGCCGACAAAATAGCTACCTTATTTATCTCTTACTCCTTTCCATCCCACTATCTTGACATCCAGAGGCCGCAGTGCTCTGAAAGCGGCTGGAAGAGTCTGATATAGTTCTAGGCTTTGTGTACAGTCCAGGTGCCATGGATTGGGCTGCATTGGTACGGGGAACTTTATACTTATCCTCTCAGCCACCTTCATCCTTTTATTCCCCTGTGCTGTGAGCATCCAACATCAACCATGGCTCGTCCAAGGAAGATGGCATCCTCAAAAGAAGCTTCCCAGACCCCAATCACGGCCAAAGGGGCGCGACGTCTCAAATCTTGGGATGAAATCCCTTCTTGGCAGCAAGATAACGAGTATATTCTATCAGGCTATCGACAAGCAACTGGATCTTTCAAAAGTTGCTGTGAGAGTCTAGGATATGTCCACAACGAGACTGTCAACATATATTCGCACGTCATTGGCGCAGCCACGTTTCTCACAGCACCAATATACTACTATCGAGCTCTATACCTGCGCTATCCTTTGGCAACTCAAGCTGATGTTTTCGTCTTTTCCACCTTCTTCTATGGCGTTTCGATCTGCTTCATTCTATCTGCAACGTACCACATCATGAGCAACCACAGCCCAGAAGTGCAAAGGTTCGGGAACCAGCTGGATTATCTCGGAATCGTGATCTTAATGTGGGGATCTACCATTCCGAGCATCTACTATGGTTTCTACTGCGATCCTCGACTCCAAAAGATCTACTGGGCCAATGTCTCTACCCTCGCGACCCTTTGCGTAGTCGCAACGCTGCACCCCAGATTCAGACATCCTGACATTCGGCCCTACCGCGCAGCCATGTACGCTGGGCTTGGGCTTTCCGCCGTCGTATTTGTCATGCACGGTATCTTGCTACATGGCTGGACCGTACAAAATCGGCGCATGAGTGTTGATTGGATGGGCCTTGTGGCTTTGTTCAATCTGATGGGTGCAGTAATCTATGCTGCTCGGGTCCCAGAAAGGTTAAGGCCACTGAGATACGACATCTACGGGAACAGCCACCAAGTGCTACACGTCGCAGTAGTTCTTGCAGGACTAGCGCATATGCTTGGATTATCCAGAGCTTTCGATTACCTTCATACACATGGCTCAGTCTGTACATAGCGCAGTTCTTGGATTTATCCTACTCTGCCAAATGTACGAATTCTACAAACAAAGACAAGTATAATATCGATTTGGGATCCTCCCGATGTCGAACAATCTTCATGGCATAATCATAGTCACGGACGACCCAATCTTGCAATGTAACCATATCCGCGAACGAGACAGGCCGAGACCAAATAGCAAAATGGTTTATATGGAGATGCCAAAACCAACAGCAGTGCCCAAGGGGCCAAACATCACGATACGTCGATCGCGTACTCCAGGCGACGGAATACAGACGAAATGGATAGTAAGTTCCAGCTGCGCAGCAGAGACTTCTGCAAAGAAGGTGCTCTATGTGCGAGCGGGGATGGACGAGCACGTAGGAATTTGCGTGCGTATTGCAGCTCAAACATTTTCTTGGAAAAACGCCGAGCGGCGTGGCGCAGTTCGATCTCTGGGAATACGATGCTTGCATGTCGGATTTAAGGAAGAGGCGATCCGTACGCCGCACAAGAGTGGAAGGATTAAGCGGAAGTCTTTCCGTTCATATCATTGTCGAGGTCTCAGCACCGGCTTATAATATGAGTCATAAGGCAGACTTCTGTCCTCCACTCTCAAACTCACCTCAATAGTGCAGACTTTCCAACCTCCATATAGAAGCCGCCCACTCGATCTCGGTCTTGCCTCATCCGACGTCCCACTCGCAGCGAGTGCCGCAATTGAAGCAGTAAACTCGGTCCCGGAATCTTGACGCTCTGGGCCTTGCTTCACATGGCCGATGCTGGGACGTTCCTCTCTCTGCTGTAGAAGATGAGGTTCCACGTCAAAAGACGAAGTTGGAGAAGGTCAGCCTAGCGCACCCCCCCAAATCCAATGGATTCTGCGAGCAATTTCGATTGCACGTTCATTGCTATCAGTCTACCTGTTGCTCCGCGCAGACAAAACTTATGCCATCACTTAGCCGAGATCATGTCCGCCCCGTTTCTAGACTTCAGAAATCTCAACATTGCGGTGATATTCTCATCATGCAACATATCACCGTTCCCCCCAAAGCTAAGAGATCCTGAACAGGAAACACGCAGCTCTTTGATCCTGTTGCTCAGATTGCTGAGTCTGGTACTGAAGATCCGTTGAACGTCCTTGAGCAAAGTGTCCCACTCTTCGTCGACGGCGACAACGATAGCTTTCTTTACGCCATCATGCGAAAAGAGCAGAGGAAAAGTGAGCTCGTAGTACTCAAGAATAGAATATCTGCCCTGCGAAGTTGCATAGGAGAGTCTCGAGGCACGTGTTGAATGATTGGGTTTGAGAAGGGCGGAAATGGGGGGATCTGGTCTGTCGATGAGGCTGGATGTCTGGCTGTCCTGACTCATATATGATGGGGGGCGGTCGTCAACTGTATTGGCGGCCATGATGGCTGCAGTGTATGCAGGTAAGGAAGATAGATTCCAGAGCTGGTCGTAGACTGGTATGCAACGGCTCTCAAATGAAGAGCCATTGACAGGTGCAAAACAGGTGGCTATATAGCTCGGACTGGACACCTGTCGCTTACCCCTTGCAGGGGTCCCGACAAGGCCCTGAAACAGGCTGAAACAGGCTGAAACAGGCTGAAACAGGGGCATATCATTACCCACTCAGCCCCATTGTGTCGACTGGTACACTTGTACGCAATGGAAGAACATTTCTCCTAGCTCTTCCTTCGCTTCACCTAAAGCCCCTCAGTCTGCCCTCAGAGCAGTCTGGGGCACCGAATATTCTTGTGTTTACACCACTTTTCGGAACCAAAGGAGCAACGCACAAAATTGGAAAGCCCACTTGGATTCCGTCTTCCTGTATCATCTCGTATTAATTCTCGACAGCCTCACAACTTTGCGCGAGGAGCTGCGAGACTCGGAAAAGGAAGCAGCAGAATACAGACTCAGAGATGAGCAGGCAGTGGATGGCTGACTGATGCACTGTAAACACGCGGCACGAAGTCTCAAGAGTGGCGTTTCCGTTGATGCTGAACAAGCGGCTGTGTGTGCGAAAATGGCAAAGTGGCAGGAAGTGTGGCGCTCATCTTCAGGTGACCAAGTCTTAGTTCTAGAAGGCATGATTGACGATCATTGGAGTATGAGAAAGTCTAGGATCAAGCATGCGTTGGTCCGGGAGAAGGCAAGGTAAGGCAGTATGAGGTCGGTTGCGTCTCGCTATCCGGATTCGCTTCAAGATCATGCCTGGTGTCAGGTGATCTCCTAGAGAAAAGTAGTTATTCATTCAGGAAAGGAGGCCATTGTCGTCGTTTCATTGTCACAGGAAGCTACTATGCAGACTTGTCTTCTTTTTCTTTATAATCAATGTCTTTGTTCAAAATCAATTCATTGTGCGCGTCTCGTCGCTGGCCATGTATATGAAGGTCAGATGGTATCGCTCTGGCATTTCTTTCAACGCTTTCTTCCAACCCTATCGCAACCACGCGCATCGGACATGTCGGATCTTGACCAAGTACCTCAACAGATCTACGGTCTCGATCGGTGCGCTTCTAGGGTTCCCGGAAATGCGGTATATAAATCTGTGGCGTCCTACGATCAAATGCTCGCATTTCTAGTCAAAATCCGGATCACGCTCGCAAAACCCTCTCTCGACAACATGAACTACATTCTCGCCAACCAAGAACCACTCCACGAGGTCCGACTTGCCATGAAACGCCTCTCCGAAAACTTCACCCGGGCGGCACTTGCTTGCGACGACGCAAAGAGGTGCACCGAAGAGGTTGCGCGCAGGTTCCAACAAGCCTGGGACCTTGTTGATGTCAAAGCCAATGCTACTGCGAATCAGTCAAGGTATGTCAACAACATTTCTCAAGAAATAGCAGAAGTATGGCGAACTCACACCAGCGCCCCCAACAAGCACTGGAAAATAGTCTTCGCTTCTCTTGTATACGAGCTCAAGGTAGCTATCGAAAATCGTCAGCGGATGCGCTGGGGTTCGGAACATGCTGAGAAGAGAGCAGAGCAATGGGAAGCTCGGTATATTCTAGCGGTCGACAAATGGCGCAACACCTATCAAGACGGCTTGCACTTGGAAGAAGCATTCACAGCCCTCCGGACAGAATTCTTGGCTGGGCAGTCGCTAGCGGAGATCTTTATGCGAGAGACACGAGAAATTGGAGATTGGATCAGTGTTGGTTCGGAGAGCGAGAGAGTCTGGAGGATCGATCAGGCTCTGATACGGGAAGAAGAGAGGGATACCAAAAATTACGGTGTCATGTCTCGGTTTCAGAAGTAGTCCCGGGGCGGTTGAGGTCACAGAGCCTCAACAGGTTTGCTTCCTTTCTCACTTGTACGCCCTCAACTGGAAAGCAGATAAGGTAATCAGACTTGATGCTCTTCTTTTTCCTGCTTGCACGGCTAGCTAAGGTAGTAATGTAGTTTTCCAGAGCCCGGCTCGCGCAAAGAAGCTTCCAACCTGAATTTTTTGGGATAAAACCCACATTTGCATGATAATCACTCATCACTCGTAAATGCTTAGTTTGTATTCAACCAGTATTTCGAGGCTGCCAGCCATTGTCCGACCCCCAGCTTCTCGGCTCGGTCTTCATCCAGCAATATTTTGGCGGATGTGGACACATGATAGGATCCGTGATGTCCACAAACCTGTACCCGTACAAGCGACATTCCACTAGGGAGAAGCTACGCGCCGTACTGGCACCCTACCGGTTATGTCACGCAGAAAGTGCTGTTCTGGAACCTTATCTCCACTACATCTCACCCATCTCTCATACCCTCCCCCAAAACCATGTTACCGCCCGCCTATCTCCCCCTCCTCCTCCTTCTTCTCGCCACACCCAGCGCCACCGGCATCCTCAACATCACAGACCTCCTCCCCATCACCAAGCCCCCCCCCAACAGCCTGACCCTCAACCCAATCCCCAACCCCTTCCCCGTCCCCAACACCGACATAACCCTCGACTTCGCCACCCCGCCGCACCTCGCCCCCCTCCTGCCCCAAACCGACGTCACCGACTGCTTCGCCCTCGCCAAAGTGCACTTCGAGACGCTGATCCACGAACACGGGGACGGGCCGATCGCGTACAGCTACGAGATGACGTACGGCCGGGTCACGTTGAAGATGTTTTCGGAAAACGCGCCGATGCGTTGCATCACGTACGGCGAGGCGCTGTCGGTGCTGTTGGGGATATCGTTGAAGATGGCGAGGGAGGGGTTTGAGTTCAGGCGTCTGCATGTGTTGCAGAGTGATGATGGGGAGTTGCTGGGGATGGCGGTGGTGCGGCCGGCTAGTCTGTGAGGCGAGGGTGGTACGTTTTGGGAGAAAAGGGTCGGCTACGGAGTTTGCGGTCACGAATGCGAAATTGGACTTGTGTTTTCGCGGGCTCAGTGGACATGTTGAGGGAAAGGTGACGGGACAGGAATTGAATTAGGTACATCGATTGACTGATTGAAAGGGTTTGGGGCAGAGGGGGAGTACTCGCCGCTTGCCATCTCTATTGTACTATTGTCTTCATCACCAACTTTCTTTGAACCTGTGCGCTCTCATTCAGTTCTTTTCACGTCTATGCCCATGTAATCTTAGGAAGCGAGGAGGATCTTCCGAGTCCGCTATGAGCGGTGGTTTGTCTGTTTACCTTCATGTGAATTTGTTGAGCAATATGGACTGGCAGATTTTGTTTTCGAGTCCTTTGTTGTGGTCAGCTGACGCCATTTGTGACTTAGCTTGAGGATGTAGAATGGCAGACTTGTTATGAACATGCTGGCGGAAAATGGGGATTTCGGAAAAGCTTTCAAAGTTTTGAAGTCGAAGATTGAGATGGCACAGGTCAATAGGGGCAGAAATTAGGAGAGGGGCACAGACTAGATACTGCTATCGTTCAAATACTTTCAGATTGTGGCTGAATTTCTGCACAAAGAAGGTCTTACACGGAATACAAAGAAAACATGAATTGAAAGCGCAAACAAAGCTGATCAATACTTTGGCAACTTGTCATAAGGTCCTTGTCTGTTGAACAATCCACGCCAGCCAACAATAACACCCTAGGCAATTTTACTCTATCATTTCTTCCCGATCTCATTGGCGCCTTATTCTTTGACGTCGGCGAAAAGTCGCAAGAGCCGTCGTAGGCGTTGTCAAGGTGCAACCACTGACTTGACGGAAATACCACAAATGCGCAGCAACATTTGGGATGTCCAAAGCCGTAGTAACGTCTGTATCGTAGCCGGCCGGTGGCTCAACATCCGTGATAGCCATGGCTTCCTCATTCCAGTTGTACTCATTAATATCATTGACAGTCACAGAAACATTGTTGCCTGAAGTGATGTACCATTGCGGCCAGACATGGAAATAGCCGAAGGGAGGCAAGCCTTTGAGCGGCAGACCTGGTACAGGATCGTGAATGTGGGATACACGGTAATTATTTCCCATCCCCTGTCTAGAAATGTGCCGAGCGAGGAAGTAGTTTCCGACCCGCGGGGACCTGTCAAAAACTTGCTATTAGCTTTCTCTTGGGTTTCACATTGGTCAGTGGAAGTTCCTACCCAAAGGTATACAAGTCTAATTCGAGATTGTAGGGGGGACCTCGTAGAACGGTCGCTGCTAAAGTAGCAAGGGCACCACCAAGGCTATGCCCAGTAATCACCAGCCGATTTTGAGGATTCTGACGGACAACGGGCAGAAGAGCATTGATGATATCATTGCTGCTCAATTTCCAGGTGTTCCAGAAGCCGGAATGAGCTAGGCAGACTACAGGGCAAAGACCGGTCGATGTCATTACGAGCTGAGCATCTCTTATGAAGTCCCCAACATCATGTGAGCCTCGGAAAGCGAGGATTGTAAGATGATTGCTATTGTCGGTAGCGATGTAGCCCGTTGAACTCCAACCCAAAAATCCCGGAGGACTAAAATGCGTAATGTAAGCAATCTAGCCTGGTCGAATCCGTATTTCGCGCGTGGAAAACACTCACTGAACGAACTCATATTCAGTGATCTGGTCTAGCGGATCCAGGTCAGGGCACACATCGTTGTCACAGGCAAGTCTCCGCCCGCCCTGTGGATAGTTGTTATTGTAGTCGCAGTAACTGGCGGCTGCATACTGCTCGAGGAGAAGGAAGTCGTTCAGTTTCGACTGGGCCACGACTAATATCTCGTGTCAGCAAAGGCAATGTGTAGTATTTGCGACTCCAACCTAGAGCGACCCACTTGAAATATTGGGCGTTCCATCAAGCGGAGCAGGGAATTCTGGCGCCGGATTAAGTATGGTAGGGTCTGTAATCTCGCCATCCGGAGCGAGAAAGCTGGGGGGTATTGCAGGGTCCAGAGTTCCGTCGGGCTCTGTAGTTCCAATGGAATTGACTCCGCATAGTGTTAATGCTAGCACGAGAAGCTGGTTTGATGCTTCTACTTTCATGATTTTCTATTCTCCAGTCTGATTGAGGACTCTTTGGTCGAGGGTCGATTGGACGCTGATGGGAGAGATGTTGATAGAAAACGGATGCCGATGAGAGGTTTTTATACTACTTTCATCCTTTCAAGATCAGCAGTCTTATGTGCTGCGCAGTACAACGCTCCCGCATAGATCGCTCCTTCTCTCCCGCCCAGAGACACTCCCGCCCTCAGTCGAGCCGTGGTGGTGGTGGTGATCCATGGCTTCCAGGCTACCCTCGGTGTTCCCGCACAAAGACACTCCTACCATCATTCAAGCCGTGGTGATACATTCCAGCTCACTCTCGAGATTCCCTAGCAGACCTATCGAAGCGTTCAGTATGCATCCGTTGACCTGATACCGTGCTTTGGTATAGGCAGATTCTGTCATAGCTTCCAACAGATAGTCTGGCGGCACGGGAAAGGGAAGTCAGCCGTTCTTGTTTGCCTTTCTAAGCCCCAAAAGTTGAAACTCGGGTGGGCACTGCCTCGTCACTTATCAGCGGCATGAACGCGCTAAGAGTAGGCAAGCAGTGAGAACACAATCTTTGAGCCCGAAAACAGGATGGTCTACACTTCGATTGTCGGAATCAACTTGGGATGATGTGTTCTTCATTGCTAGGGTAATTCAAAGCAGGAGCGTAATGCAAGGATCAAATCCTCTCTTTGGGTATTATTTGAGCAATCTTGGGAGTACTTGAACCGCTCGAACTGCTAATCTTTCCCACGGACAGGAAGTTTGAGACCGCTTTCACTGTCGACCTGTCCACCTTGACAGATACATATAATCTCATTGACTGTGTCGCCAAGTCCATGCCAGCGCACTTGATTACGTTAGCAGCTTTCCTGCGACCAATCAGCATCTTACACCAATATCTTCGCTAGCACAACGGGTAGTAGACATGCCGTACTGACATCAAAAGTCTCGGATTGAAACATCGGCAGAAACATTGCGCGGGAAGTCGAGCTGCTTGAGTTACCTTCGATTCACGCTGCGCCTCCACCATATGTTGTAGCCGAAAGGGTCAGATCGAGGGGCCCCCACGGCCACAGCAATGACAACCTGCTGGGACCCTCCGGCATCAACGTTAAGGTCGATGGTCAACCCGGAGATGGCGGGATTAGTGTAAGATGTTCAGACAGACTAAATGATGCAATCCTCTTGTCTCAGTTCAAGGCTTGCAGGCTGCAGGCACGAAGCAAATCCTTGCGCGGGACCAGGCAGTGTGACTTGCGCACCTGAAACAGATACAAGCGCACGAGTCACGCTCAACGGGACATAAAGCCCAAAACAACCAGGCTTTTGGTGAAAGACATGGAAGATCTCGAAGGAGGTCGGTCCAGCTTCTCACGGCCGCTTCCAATTGCCATGTCTTAGCACTTCCTTGCACTCCGGCGACTAATTCTGGAAATCGCAACTGTCACCTGAGACCTGCGGATGACGAAATGGATGTTCCAAGCAGCAGGGTTACAAGTGAGACATTCGTAAGTGCATGCAACATTCTTCATTTTCAGACTCACCCAACTACTCTATGATCTAAATCCGCACAGCGCAAGACGGACACACCAACAATCGATCTTCCTGTTCATCAGACGCGCCAAGGCCTGAAAATCTGTTCCCTCGTGGGAGATTCGCCCGTTTAGCTGTCAAGCGGAAAAGCCGTACGCGCGAGCTTTGCCATGGCCTTCGAATCGCCGTGGTAGATGCGACCGCTTGGAAGGCGCTTCTGAGGAGTCTGCAATGGCTCTAAATTGCAGCCTTGTGATCTTTGCTGCTTTCAGGATTGACCACAAAAAGGCATCGGATTCCCATAATGCATTGCTTGCTGATATCTGACCAAAACATCCTACACTGACACACACCATGCTGGGCACAACTCTCTCACAGGTGTCCGCCACTATTGTCCTCGCAACACAGATATTACTTGGAGCGGCATCGTCTTCTCTAGGTCTTGTTGGGCAACCTCACATCGGCACTCTCAATGTCACAGAAACGAGTTGCCGCGGTAGCTTCTGGTGCCCCAAACTCAATATCGGTTACAATCGCATCAACATCTACTTTCAAGACTGGATTAACTACACGATGTCCGACTCCGACATCTACGGCCCCGGCGTCCAAATCGCATGCGATACAGTCACCATCGCTTTCCCTCCCCTTGGAACCTTTGCGTTTTGTGCCTCCACAGCGGGCGGAAATGTGCCGGCGGCGGGAATCAACGGTTCTCTGATCAAGCAAAAGATGGAGGAGCTGCGAACCTACGGCTGCTTTGCCTGCGGGAGTGTCGCGATTGCAGAGAGTGGCGATCCGGTCGAGAAAGGGGTGTTCAAGATTGACTTCGTTGCGGGTAACAAGGTGAAGTGTGGTAGAGAGGGACAAGTTGTTTGTCCGCCTACAGTGCCGAGCGTGAATCGTGAAGGGCTTGAACAAGGACCGAGACCGGAGCTGGGCACGTTCAATGCTACTATTGATGATGGCGCGATCACCCTTGAGGCGCTCAATGTTCAAGATTCTTGAAAGCCTGGACGGTAGCCCATTGAGAAGCCAACGGCAGAACTTTGTCCAAGAAGGCGCTGAATACTACTGTTGCAATGATATGAAGAGAACCACACCTTTTAAACAGTGATACTGTACGAAGAGAAGTACACATTTATAGCTGCTGTCTTGAAGGCCCATAACCTCGATCCAGTGCGCGTTATGATTTCTAAAATCATAATACAAACACGAGAAACAGACGCATTGAAAGTTTGTCTTCGCGAAAGAGATCAATTACAATTAATGGGACTGCATTTTCTTAACTCACGTTCATATTTTCATGAGGTTTATTATCGTCATGCTGTCGCTCTTGTGAAGATTTCACAAAAGAAAACTTGATGAGTAAGATAGAAAAGGCAGCGCTGAAGTCACCTTCCACACATTCGATACACACACCCATCACCACTTAGTAACCACATCTTTACCTCATCCGAGGATCGGATACTACTAGCGACTCAATGATACCGTCCAGACTGACCCCGCCCTCAACGAGTGTGTTGGACAACAAATGATCCGTGGAACCGAGTATTGCGTCAGCACTCACGTCCGCTACCGCTTCAAGACCCTCGTAAGTAGTTTCTTGGCCCCAGTACCAACATGCAATGTAAGTGCAAGTTGCAGCAATGCTCTCCGGGCAACAGTGGGGGGCAATCATGAGAGGAGTGAATCGTTCGGCGAGTCCCAGGGCTAGAATTTTGATTCGGTCATCGGTGAGCGAAAGTCGATTGCAGTAATCATTGCAGAGACCCTGTACCTCTTGTATACGAGAGGTCACAGCACTCACGGCGGCGTCACCGGTGTCTGTAGCCCTTTCGCCGTCATTACTCTCGTCTTCTTCCATCGCGTCGTCATCTTCATGGTCTCCATCTCTGCCGTCGTCACTCTCCTCACGGACGTCGGTCTCGAGGGTCTCCCAACTCAAGTGGACACCGAGATCTTCGCGGAAAGATTCACCGACGAGCTGATCGCACACGTCGCGAACAACTCTGTAAGTGGACCGGATGTCCGCATACTCCGCCCCCATCAGGCTCTGGATTGCTCTTCGAGAAACGGGCTGACCGGCAAGATGAGACGCGATGTATAAGCTCACAGCAGCAACTTCCGATTGGGACACGTACCTCGAGGTTGCCGGATAGCTTAGCAACTCGAAGCCTGTATGGATCAAATTGGCTGCGATGTGTTGTGATAGTTCGTCGAGTGGGAAGCTCACCCGGAGTCGGTCACAATACTTCGCGCAAAGCTTTTTCATTGCGAGCACGTCTCGGCTGCTCTGGATTTGGTCGTCAGACATCTCATGGCCGCTTAAAGGCCAAACCAGTATAGCGGGATCCTCTAACAGCTGAAGGATAGCGTCATTGATGAGTTCCTCCCTTCTCCCGTAGATGGCGCTGTAAAGCTCTCGAATGAAGTCCCCGTGGATGTCATAAGCCTCTCGAATGAGATCACCGTCGACATCTCTCACCCCACAAATCTCCCTGGGAGACCTGGGATGGCCTGAAATACACGAGGTTATATAGATGCCCAACGCGACTATGCTATTTTTACAGTATGGATGGACGAATGGGATTGGGACGTCAAGATCCAAGGGGGTTATAACGACTAGACGTGAGACATGATGGCTTATGATCGTGGCGAGATCACTGATCGGTTCGTCCAGGCGAAGCTGAGGGCAGTAGTATTCGCAAAGATTCTTCAAGATTTCCAGGCGACCCTCTTCGTCATCTTGGTCGCGATCTTCTTGCTCTCCATCAGGGTCGCGATCTTCTCTACCTTCCACGATGGCATGCTCGAGATATGGGCGATGCTGTGCGGGAAAGAACATCTGCCGACAAAGGGGGCAAGAATTGTTTTCTTTGAGCCAGATGGAAATGCAGCCTGAGCCGACAACGTGATTACATGGCAGACGTAGTTGGAGTTCGATGAGACCTGTTTCTCGACTCATCATTCCAGTCTCTTGAAGACATATAACGCAATTCCGATCGTCTGACTGTACGCTATTAGCGGTCTGAAGCAGTCTGTCGAGAAAGGCTTCCGCCATAGTGAGATTTGAGGTTGAGGGTCGTGGAGTTCTTTTCCGAGTTTGCTGAAATTGAAAGATGTGGGAGTGCGGGTGATGCTGGAAACTTCGAATCAAGACAAAAGGGAGTGAATACATAAGGTAGCACCTGCCCGAGGGATACATCACAAAGACGGTCTCTGTGGCTGGAGAATGGTGTTGTGCTTACTTCGAATGTGTGAGCGGCTTTGTTCCTTCGGATCATCTTAACACGGCCTATCTAATTGTTAGCATTCGTAATGCAATGAGCTTGACGAGATCATTTTGTAGCATATGAGAATTTTCCCATCCTCTCTGATCTACGAATATGAAATTCTGAACAACTAACCAAGCAGTTTGTTCGATCAATACTCAGTACATCGACCGCGAAACAGAGATCTCAACATTCCTACCAATTCACCAGTTCACCAGTGCAGGAAAATATCCACTCGTTCCATCTTCCCCCTCTTGGAGCAATGATGTTGTACACTAGCCACAGTAATGAATTTCACTTCCACACCTGATACTCCCAATATTGAGCGATTTCTCTTCATCATCGTAAGCCTGTTTTGTTCGCTCGAAACAGTTTTCTCACTGTCTTGGCCTCAAAACTTGCTTCGGTCTTTTTTGTCAACATTCCTTGTATGAGAACAAATCTGCCGAGCATGTCATGCATATAACCAAAATCCAGTTCACGGGGCTGGTAGAAACAGCAGAAATCACCATGGGCCGAGCCGCTGGTGTAATAATTGCGACTTATCCCATCGGTGAAGGAATAGCGGACGCACTAGGAGCCGCAGTGGGACCTTTTTTTGTTCTTCTGGATATGGTGGAGGGCCAATGGGCGAGCGCAGCTTTGTGCGCCGTAGGACTCGCGCTCGGTGTGGTGCCAGAATTAGGTTTGCTCATCTTTGAGCGCCTCCATTATTTTCAAGTCACAAAGGTTCAGTATGCAAGCGACGAGTCGGTCGTGGGTAGCAGACCTTACTTTGGTATATAAGCCGTTTATTGATGGCGGAATGACTAGGGAGACACTGCTTGGTTTCAAACTTGTTTTTAGCCGCCGAGGAGATTTTGATGATGGGGAACCGACATCATGTTCTGCTCAACACTGAGGGAACGCACAACAACACTGTGCTACAACCGTACACTGGGGCGTGATGCAGGGCTGACTGCGGCGGCCTCATAAGGTAAGGTTCCAAGAGCTACGCTTCCTTCGAAATAGACCATCGTTCATATTGTATCTTTCATACAGTCCACTTAGCTTCATCCCGCTGCAGTTTTATCTTCGAGGTTGATATGTTATGCCAACCATTGAGGGTGTAGTTTGATCCTATCTAATAATTCCGTTCACGCTTGGCGTATTCCCAATCTACACCACCAGTACTGACACAAGCCTTTGTATCGCATCCGTTCCTCGTTCAAGGTATGACACAAAAGTATGTTCAAAGACTGCACAATGAATTCTCTTTGCGCATGCTACCCCAACACAAAGGTCAAGATTTAATGCGATCTCCAATCCATCAAAGGGCTCTTGATCCAGCGTTCTATTGTATATAGTCGCTTCTTCGATCGAGCATCTCTCAATCTTATCATACCCATTGCGACATCCCATCTCCACGAATTTCAAACATCCACTCTCGATCTCTTGCAATGGCCCAGGAATTTCTCGACCAACTTCTTCGGATGGAAAACACCGTAAAAGTCGACGAGCAGGAAACCTGCATGGTGTGTCTTGAATCATATGGAACGCTCAACTCATCTACCGGCGCTATCGAAGTTCAAGTCCGCCTACCATGCAGCCATCTAGTGGGAACCATCTGCATTGCGACATGGCTTCGAGATAACAACAGCTGCCCTGCTTGCCGGGCAACCTTTTTCCCTGCGCAACCGCGGCCGTATCTCGAGTATGGAATCATAAACGACCGACCGTCCGCAAATACTTGGAGGATGGGAGGCCCCGATGAAAGGGTTACGCTTGAGATTTGCGACTGGCTCTGCGAGGAGCTTAACCTTGCCAGCGAAGTGAGCTCGATGGCTCAGTTAATCACTCGCCCTTTATCGCGAATGCTCCGGGGACATTTTCACTCACCAGAGTGCAAAGCCGCCGTAAGCGTCTTCATTGCGTGGTTTCTCTTAAATCCAGGCTTTGGGGCTGGTTCGGTCGATATCCTTCTTCCAGACGTGACACATAGAACGCGGGTAGGCGAAGAACATATTCGCTCTACATATCGTCACATCTACCCCAACCGAATGGAACTCATTGACGCGGATCTTCCCCCTGGCCTTGCTAGACTTCACATGGAGGGTATTCTAGCATTCTTGCCTTCTCCCAATCCCGAAGACAGTATCGCCAGCAGCGAAGAAGGAGAAAACGACAGAGAAGACGAAATCAGCGAACGTGAATTAGGAGATCTCGCGGAGATCAGTGAGCAGCTTAGTGCAGCAGTAGGAGGAGATGAGGATCTTTTTGACATCGTCGAAGATCTTGCGGAGCAGCTTAGTGCAGCAGTAGGAGGAGATGAGGATCTTTTTGACATCGTCGAAGATCTTGCGGAGCAGATTCTCGATACAATGGACGACGAGTCAGAACTGGCTGATCGCTCTGAACAGCTCCGGGGAGCCGTATGCACGTTCATGGCTTGTCATCTTATGGGCGCCGAGATCTCGTATAGCGACGTTGCGCGTATACACGGCGTGAGTGAGCGTCTTCTTCGCGAAGCTTACGCTTACATCTTTCCTCGACGCAATAACCTCATTGAACCCGAGACAATTAAAATCATGGGTATTGGCAACCTCGAAAGGGTTCTTGGCGCCTTACCAGCTTTGAACTGGCCATCTCTATAGGAACTGTGGCTGAGGGCATGATCGATAGAAAATTAGAGTCTGCGAATTATCATTTATTACTTCCCATACTCGCTTCATATCATTTCCTCCGGCGTAGTAAGCGTCTTCTTCGCGAAGCTTCGCTTATATCTTCCTCGACGTAATAACCTCATTAACCCGAGATAACTAAGACCATGGTTTGTAACCTCGAAAGGATTCTTGGCCTTACCGCTTTAAACTAGCATCTCTATAGGAACTGTGGCTGAGGGCATTCATAGAAAATTAGTCTCAATTTTATTTATTACTTCCCATACTCGCTTCATATCATTTCCTCCGATAATACAGACAATTTTTATTAAGAGGATCACGACTATTGGCAGAGGTCGAATATGAGAAGTTCTCCAATAAGCAGACGCTATGTGACTCAACAGGCATTTGACAATAGCAGTGATAACTAGCAGCTGCCAGTGAATCCATGTAGAGATCAGTCCTTGAAAATCCCTTCATCTCACAACCAAAAAATTTCATTCTGATAATAAATCCATCCGCGCTTTTAAACCTTTAAGAAAGCCATGCCTCACCTCACGCCGCTAGCTTACAAACTGCACTCTTCACCATCCTCCTTCACTCTTCCACGATCCTAAAGTTCAACACCCTACGCTTTCCTTCTCACCAACCCATCCACCTCATCTATAACCGTTTAACCACCAAGAACACCCATCAACCTCTCACTTCAAAATGCCTAAAGGCCAAAAATTAATCGACTGAACCCCTGAAAATAACGCAAAATTAATGCTCACCATCCTCGTCGTCGAAAACGTGTATCCCAACTGCGAGAAAGTCGTCGCAGCTTTCGATGAGCTTTCCTATGCTTCACATCTACCGCGGTCTCTCGCACACCAATCTCACCACAGGCGGTGCCGTCAACGCGATGGCCATCTCCAACCGTCTCAGTCGTCTGCGCAAGAAGGCTGCTGATGACGGTCTTCTGCCTAAAGCAGGCGCCACGGTGCCTGCGAAGGGACCTAAGGCCACTGCTGCCAGCAAGAAGGAGAATGGGGGGAAGAAGGGTGGGATGGTCGCTGAGGGTCCGGAGTGAGAAATGCTTCCTGCTTACAGACTTTGTTTCTCTTCATAGATCACGACTGACTAGATTCTTTCGAGAGGCGAAAACGAGGCTTCTGACCGCAAAGGCTCCGAATCCTCTTCTATCCGCAAGGGTTCCGCCAAAAGCCAGAAAGTGCTCACCGGTCGCGTGACCAAGGCTCGCACTCCCGGCAAGAAGAACGGGAAGAGCAATAGCACGATATCTAATGACGCTGAGGTTGAGGTTGGAGATGATGGGCTTGACGATGGTGTAGGATCTAGGGCAGAAGATGGCGATGCGTTTGAGAAGAATATTGCTTTACGTATCAAGAAGGAGGACGTTGATTAAGCGGTCCACAATGGCCTCGAAGTCTTCCTGTGCGATGAGATGGCTGCAACGAGCGCCCGCACCTACGCAAGTCTTCTTCAGCATTACAGTGATGGGGTGATACTCCAGGCAAGGCACTGATCTAACAGACACTGAAGCGAAGGGGACAACTTTTCGCTCGTCTCGTCGTACCACATGCGCGCGTACGTAGATAGCAATTGAGGCATTGCAATTATTACACATAGCCACGACATCGCTCACCCAGTGCCTTAATAGATTGCACTCGAAGCCATACCGAAACTCGATTTGCGCCACGATAGCCTTGTCCAGCAAAGTCGGGCGCAACGCTTGTTCGCTGTACGCCGGAAGCTAAAGCAAGATCTGCAAGTTTGTGCTCCGAAGTACTATACTGAGCCAATCAACCATAGCTAAGGTACTTGCGCAGAAAAGCCGCAGCCAGTACACTGAAAAACTGGACCGCCAGTCCCATCTTCGTAAGCAAAGATGGGAAAGGATTGTGCATCCCCGTATGAGTCACGCATCTGACATGAATGTGACGTGCGAGATTTAAACTGGTCAAGGCTACCTAATTAAAACGACACAACTGCCAAATGGACGTTTCCCATGGCTACTACACTTGACAGAGAGTCAGAAGTCCAGAGAGGTAAGTAGAGAGCCATGGAAACTCCTATTCCCCGGAACGACAGCACGATCAGAACACGACGGCTCTCCTCCGAGCAGCGCAAGAAAGCGACCTCATTCCTCTTCACGAATTATTCAGTGACGAAGATGTCATGAGATACTGGTACCTACATCTTCAACACCCACGAGCCAAGCAGCCCTTGCCCAACTAAGACGGTCCGCAGGTCCTGTGCCCCCCACACCAGTCTGCTACAGACCACGACCTACCTCCACGGAATGCTAGCCTCTCCCGCAAACGGTTCGCTCGACTTCGTCCTCGTCCTCGTCTCACCGTCATCCCCGACGGATCCGGATTCAGACCCACCTCGCGGCAAGGTGATCGGCAAAGCCGGCATCTGGAGCCTTTCGAATTCCGAAATCGGGTTTCTGCTCCACCGCGATGTCTGGGGCGAAGGGTACATGGCCGAGGCTCTCACCGCGCTGTTGGGCCCCAACGGGGTGTTTTGGAAGAGAGGCGTAGAGGGGGTGGTGGCGGATGTGGATCCGAGGAATGAGGGGAGTATGGGGATCCTGAGGCGGTTTGGGTTTGTGGAGACGGGGAGGGAAGATAGGACGTTCGAGACGCATTTGGGGTGGTGTGATAGTGTTTATTTGGAGCTGAGGGGTCGCTTAGCGAAGCAGGAGTCGTAAGATGTGGAGGCTCAAGAGTGGCTGTGTGAGACGAAGGTTTGAGAGGAAGCTAGAGGGCGGTAAGGCAAGACTTACTTCTTCTGAGTCGACTCCAGCGCTCTGCTCGGAAGATCATGTAAGCCGAGGGAATCTGCGTGGCGGCCTCAAGTGCGAGGTTTGGAGGACACTTTTACTGCGATTGGCTAGTGGATTATGGTACAAAGCAGTGAGCCGACCGACGTCTGTGCGTCATGGAACAAGCTGCAGGAGCCCTGGGTGATATGGAGTGTTCCATAGAGACACAGAAAGGGTTGCTTGTACAGCAAGATATTTCTACTCACAAGGGAAGAACCACGACTTAGGAAAAGGCAACAGAGTTGCATCGAATTACCCACGCAGTCGATCTTCTCTGACCAGCAAACCTAAGTTTTTGGATGCCAACATTCATGCCCTCAAGAACTCCTCGACACAGTCAACAAAGCCACCAACGTTCTCAATCATCGGCAAATGTCCCGCACCTTCAACCTCCCGGAACACTGCATTTGTTGCATTCGCTGCGACAAATCCCTTCATGACTTCGCTGCACTTACCGTCCTTGGCCCCCACAACAAAAAGGCCCGGCAGCCTGATACCCTTCAGGTTCTCCGTCTCGTCATAGTTGTAGAGAATTTTTGCAGAGCTTTCCATTCCCTTGGCAGACGCGGCAGCTACCATGGAGATGGCCTTCTTCCACTCTGGAGAGCCTCGGCTCTTTGGAGTGAACCACCGCTCTACGGACTGCTTACCAAGAGCCTCCATGCCATGATCCTTGGCGAATTGGATGCGTTGATCCCAGGCGGCCTCATTCGCCTTGTCGGAACAAACGGCGAAATCACATGCTATGAATTTCTCCAAGCGATCTGGATATCGGCTGGCAAATGCAACAGTGGTAATTCCCCCCATACTGACGCCAATGAGTGCATGTGCTTTCTGTATGAGTAAGGCTTCCAAAAGAGCTTTGATATCTAATGTGACGACGTCGAGCGTCAACGGTTTGTCACATCCCTCGAAACGATATCCACGGGTGTCTAGAATGTCCATGTCAATTACTCACGACTGAGGAAATGAAAGAGTGGTAACAGCCTACCGTATCTAAGAAAGCGAAAACAGGGAAAACGCTGCTTCAGAGGCGCTATGGCTGCATCCCACATGTGCAGGTCACAGTTCAGACCATTGCAGAAGATCAAGACAGGGCTTGAATCATCTACAGATCCTTCGAGGCGATAGTGAAGGCGATAACCATCATGTGGTATATATGTGTCGATAACCTTCTCCGCACTCGCGAGATGCAGAAGATCTCTCGGTGCCGCGCCAAATCTGTAGCAACGCTCAAGCGTCTTCCGTCGAGTATGCGAGCTCAACAAGGAGAAAATCTTGGTCCTCCATGGTGTCGATCTTGCATTTTGTATCTCAGGACTATCATCAAGACCGTTCTCTAGAGTGTAGTCGTGCACTGCAAGGAATTTATTTATGGGTACATGGGTATCCATATCAACCAAGCGGTAACGTCGACTTCTTCTCCAACCGGGGACTTTTGAGAGAAGTTTTATGTGTTCCTAGAGACACGAGAATGTTTAGTAGCTCAAAAGAATAGGGTAGAATCATCTATTTCCATGACGCAGATGCAACTTACCTCCTCATACCATCTATGCAGCCTGACTGAGATGAGCCAGTTGCATTAACACCAGCTAAGAAAAGGTTGCCTTACTCTTCTTCATCAGCCATGTCTTTTAAACTCATCTCAACCCAGACTAGCACAGAAGCATCTTCCGAGAAGCCGCCTTTCGTGGAAATTAACTCTCCGGCTTTCCTCTCTCTGGTGGGTATACCACTAAGCACTCTGACCTCTTTCTCTGAGCGATTGTCACGCAATGCCCTGTAAGACGAATCTGAGAGTATGGAAATACTCGTAAGGTCGTAAAAGGCTAACCAGGCTGTGGTTACGCCGTCTGTTTCTCGGTATCTGGCGCCTGTACTGATGCACGGTACTTGCAACCTCATGGGGCCACTTGGCTATTCAGCGAGACGATGCACCCCGCAATTATCCAATTCGAGACCTACTGCTCGTTGTTATACCACTCATGAAACCTGATGGTGTAAATTATGCATTCCTGCTAGGTCAAGGTTGGAGCGTACTCGTCCTCATCGAGGGATGAATCTGGCTGTACGAACACGGCCAGCATTCCTCTCGAATCCATATCACCCGGCATGATGCTATTGCTAATTACAACAACTGTGTTTATGCGGATTTGCGTGTTCTTGAAGACGTTGAAGAAGAGAAAGAGTGAGCAGGTCTATGCAGTGGAAAGGAAACCTTCGGCCCGACTCCGAGCGCCACATCCCGCTGAAAGCCAATCAATTTCCCTCCTTCGTCACCATGCATCCTGCCTGCTTCAACTTTGTGCAGCACTAAGTGCAGCATTAGGTTCCCGCAAAAGATACCGTTGTAGGCAACAAGTGCCAAGTGAATGCACCAGCATGGGGCTCTCATATCTCGAGGCTGCTGCGCCATCATGTTTGGTTCGGACTCCTACCATTTGCGCCATCAGCCATTTACTATTGATTTTGGACGCACTGCAGATAAGTTGCAAATATGGGCTACGAGAAAGATGCGGCGCCGGTCTCGCACCAGATAGAAGCGTACCCAGCCGCGTCCAACGAAAATCCTGAAGACCTGGCCGGCCAGCATCTACTGCCAGCCCCAAGCAATGATCCGAAAGGTAAATAGCTCCCTCAAGGGAGACTGAATTGCTGAAACGAGAACCAGATCCCTTGAACTGGCCAATGGCACTCAAAATTCTGGTACTCATCCAAGTCTCGCTTCTATCTTCCCTAGGCGGAATCAATACAGCCATGATCAACCCAGCCTATGTTCCCATGGCCAAAGAACTCCACATCAGCACCATCAGAGCTAGCTACCAAACTACAGTCTGCATAGCTCTAGCCGGAGTCGCGCCATTTCTCTGGGTGCCACTGTCGAACAAATACGGTCGGCGACCCGTGCTTTTAGGAACTACGCTCTTAGCCTTCGTTTCTATACTCGGATCCGCTTATGCAAAAACGTTCAACCAACTCATTGCTGCTCGAGTTCTCAATGGTTTGTTTCCTGCCGTTTTTGCGCTGGGGCCTGCTGTCGTTGTGGATATGTTTTTCGTCCATCAGCGAGGCAGAGCCATGGGAGTCTTTACTGTGAGGGAACACCGCTGTAGAGTGGAAGTTCTTGCCCGCTGAGATATGTCTAGGTCACTACTGTCAACGGATCTCACATCGCTCCCCTACTGGGTGGCCCTATAGGCCAATATCTCGGTTGGAGATGGTGCTTCAAGTTTGGTGCGATCTGTGACGGTGTCATGTTTTTCATCGTTCTATGCTGTCTACCAGAAACGCTCTATGTTCGACCGGAGGCAGAGTCACAACGACATCATCCCAAACCGAAGTACAGTAAGATAGCCTTCCTCGACGGTCTCAAAATCCGAGACCGAACACCAGATACTCCCCTCCGTTGGAACCACTTCGTTCTCCCCGTATTCAGATTGGCAGGTAAATCCCGCGTCGTCTATCCGGCCCTCTATTATGCGACGCAATACGGTTTTGCGTCCATCCTGCCCGCCGTCACTGTTGCGAGTATCTTCAGCAAAGAGTTCAAATGGGATACTCTCCAGATCGGGCTCGGCTACGGAGGTGCATTGACCATTGGCGGGTCATTGGGAGAGCTTGCTGCGGGACTGGTCCTCGACTCGATCGTCAAAACGAGGATGAGGAAGACTGTCCGTTTTCAGCCAGAGATCCGCTTGCAGGCGATATGGCATGGGGAGATTCTCGTGCCTACCGGTTTGTTGATCTATGGGTTTACAATGCAGGACAAGACATCGTGGGTGGGACCGCTCATGGGAATGGGTAAGCCGCACCCTCAAGCCTCCCTTTGAGCTTTCACCCATCTTCAAGGCTAATCTCCCGCAGGCATCGCGGCTTTTGGCCTCCAAGTCATCACCACGACCTGCTACACCTACGCAACAGACTGCCACCGCGAACAGAGCAACGACGTCGCTCAGCTTTTCAACTTTATCCGCCAGACTTTCGGCTTCACTTTCGCCTTCTATGCCGTAGATCTGTGCGATAGCATTGGATACCAATTCACATTTCTGTTGTTTGCTATCCTTGGAAGCGTCTTGGCTTTCATACCAATTCTAGGTCTTATCGGGAGGGCGAAACGTCAATTGAGGGAAAGGAAGAGCGGCGTAGTCGAGAGGGTAGCGTAAGAAAGACGCATGTTGTCTGGGCGAGCGAATCGCTTTGATTCCCTCAAGCAAGAATGTCTCTTCATGTCATTCAGCTTCCAGAAGAGATATTTTCCGTTCCGAGCTGACGCTGAAAGGGTTCACTTTCGTGGTGTGTTCAATTTTCCTAGCTACGGAAGGTCTATCTAAGGTATGAACGAAAGCTAACCACATAAGGCTAGCCTTGATGGCTATGGCTAAAGAGGAAGCCGCAGCTCCCCACAGGGCGGACGAAGTGTGATTGGCTACGCCTAAACAGGAGGTCATCAAACAGCCGAGGTCCAGATGGCCATACGCTAGACTATAAGAGCTACGTCAAGCGCACTGCATCTCTCCGCATCCACTATACGTATTCTCTAAGTAAACAATCAACAAGTTGTGTATTACATGATGGCACCAGTCACAAGAGGCAAAGATCAAGAAGCGATGAAGCCAGAGCAGAAGGCCAAAATCACGCTGTACTGGTGAGCAGTTCGAAATTTCTATTTGCAACATCTAGTTTGTCCCAATATGAAGAGCCAAGAGCGGTCCAGTACTTACTCCTGAGCTTATTCCTTTGATTTTTCTCCTCATGTCAAGATCACGAATGCGTTTTGTCTGCTCGCAACCCTTTTCCCCTTCATTCACCTATCGAGTCCCACCCGTCCTAGCATGCCCGCTCCCAATTCCTCTTTCTTAAAAAACAAACATACACTCTAGAGCTCATCGAGAATCCCTTCGACCCTTCCACTCATCTTCCACTTCACCCCCTCATCCACAACCCCCCTTCCAAACTCACAACCCCCGAACCCCCCTAGGCTCGAAAAATCCCGCTCCCAACGCATCCTCTGGCTCCTCGAAGAGCTCCACCTCACCTACGCCCTCAAAACCTACAAGCGCCAAAACATGCTCGCGCCCCCGGAGCTGCGGTCCGTGCACCCGCTGGGCAAATCCCCCCTCGTGAGCGTCGAGTCCGCCGACGACGACGCGACCCCGACGAAGAAGCCGCTGGTCCTCGCGGAATCCGGCTTCATCGTCGAATACCTCATCGACCACTTCGGGCCCTGGCTTGCGCCGGAGCGGTACGCGGGCGGCGGCGGCGGGAAGAAGGAAGGGGAAGGGGTGGGGGAGGTGGGCGGGGAGACGGAGTCGTGGGTGCGGTATCGGTATTTTATGCATTTTGCCGAGGGGAGCCTGATGCCGTTTTTGTTGATTGCGATGTTGTTGAGCAGTGGGTCTATCCTTCCTTCCTTCCATCCATCCATCCATCCATCCATCCATCCATCCATCCTCCCCCCTCCCCCCGGCCCCAACTCATCCACTACGCACGGCTACGCATGCATACTGACTCCGAAAACCCCTCTCCAGCCATCAAAACCTCCTCCCCCTTCTTCATCCGCCCGCTCGCCCTCCTGATCACCGGCGGCATCGAGTCCAAGTTCCTGACCCCGAACCTGAAGGCCCAATTCGACTTCCTCGAAAGCCAGCTCGCGACTTCGCCGGACGAGGGGGAATTCCTCTGCGGGGCCGACCTGACGGGTGCGGACATCATGATGAGTTTCCCGCTCGGTACGTAGGGGGCGCGGTCGGCGCGGGTTTTCTTTCCTTGGATTAGATGCTTGAATCGATGTGGCTGGGAGGGTCTGTGCTGTATAGGGATACGTTTCGAGAGCCAGCAATTCTGTTCTTATCATTGTTGTTATTATGAAGCGGTGCTAATTCCGGGGTATCGATCTAGCGGCTGCGAAGTCTAAGGGACTCTTCACGGAGAAAGAGCATCCGAAGCTGTGTGCGTATGTTGACAGACTTGAGGCCAGGGACGGGTATAAGAAGGCTGTGCAGAAGATTGTTGATGTGGAGGGGAGCTATGAAATGTTGTAAGGACGGAGGGGTCGTTGATGGGGTAGGGGACGGTAGTGATAAAGGGTGCTTGGTGATGTCATTTCGCACGTAACTGTTTATGATGGGAACAATGAGTTGGAGATGTTGATCGGAAACGTTGACTCTTATGATTAATGATATTTGATTGTTCCAGTCTTATCAATGATAATCAATTTCTACACAGACCTTCCCGTCTATTTACAACTTCATCCACAAAGCCATCATTTCTATCCTCCATATCCTGCCCGTCGCCTATCTCCGCCAGCACCCATACATCCGCTTTCCTAAGAATAACCCTTGGGCAATTCAGGCGGCGGACCATGCGCCGCCATCATTTCCTCAAAAGCCTGCACGAATTCCCTCGGCGCATCCGGCTTGAAAAGCAGTTCCAAGTTCCGCCACGTCTCTTCCATCTTCTCGTGGCTCCTCTCTAGCATGGTTGTCTCAAAGTCCTTGATCGCGTCAAAGAGCTCCGTCTTCTCGTCTTCGGCGCTAGCTTTGACAATCGCTTTGCTCAGATCCAAAGCGTCGACCATGGCCAGATTGACCCCTTCGCCTGCGAATGGGGTCATCAGGTGCGCCGCATCGCCCAGCAAAGTGAGACCTTGTCTCGAGGTCCACGAGAAGTCGGTGGGGAGCATGTAGAAAGGGCGGGCCACGATGTCCGGGTTCGCGTGAGTGATTAGACTTTTGAACTCATCATCCCAATCCTTGTATTCCTCTTCCAGCATATACTTCTTGGTTGCAATCGCATCGGACCAATCCACACCCACATCTTTCAACCACGTCTCGGGCTTCTGCAACATGATGTATGTGCGGATCGAGCCGTCGCCATTGCGCTGCCCCACCAAGCCTTTCTTGTCCGAGAATGCGAGATAGATTCCCTGACCCACAAGCTTTGAGATGGCAGGATGCAGGGTGTCGACGGAGCGAATGCGCGTGTCGAGGCAGGAGATTGTAGAATAATGGGGTTTGGTATCTGAGAGGAGGGGGCGGACTTTGGACCAGGCGCCATCTGCGCCGACCACAAGATCGAAAGTTTCCGTCCGGGTGTTAGAAGTGGTTCGGAGATGGATCTCGTGCTTGCCGTTGCCATTGCTGCTTGGGGATATCGAGCGCACTTTATGCCCCCACTGTATCGCACCCTCGGGCAACGAATCGAGCAGCAATCCGCGCAGCTGTATACGATCCACTTCCGGCCTATTGCGCCCTCCTATATCGACCTCTTCCATGAATAGCTTTCCATGTTTGTCGGCCACGCGCATGTCTTCGCCTTCACTGCGAGCGATTTCCTTCCACTCTGAATAGAGACCAGCTGCTTGGAGTGCGAGTTGTCCGGACTCTTCGTGCAAATCGAGAGAACCACCCTGCTCTCTGCTGTTGCGCGATGGCTCGGCCTCATAGAGCACGAATGGAATGCTGGCGAGGTGAAGGAGACGGGCGAGGACAAGGCCGCCAGGACCAGCACCGACAATGGCGATACGTGGGGTGGTAGTTGTTGTTGTTGTTGTTGTTGATGAGGAGGAGGCCATGGCTTGAGGAGGATCTTTGAGTAAAGCAGAATTGATTGGGAGCTACTTTCTTTGATTGTTTGGAGTAGATAGCAGAGATAGTGATGTTGATTTAAGTATAAGAAAGTTGATAGTGGACAATGGAGATAGAACCTACCTTTTATCACGTACTAATGCTGGCAAGTTCAGGAAACGCGGTTCCCGTAGTCCAGGCCGGACTTTTGACAAGAGTCCGCGAGGAGTCCGCGCCAGCGAGAAGATGACATTGAGGAGACGACCATGATCAGAGACTAAGAACGGACTCCATGGAGAAGCCCATTGCGAAGTCGATGCCACCAATATCTCCTAGTAGATTTCCGTAGATGATGGAGAAGCAAAGGAACTTCAAGGAGACGCTGCAGAGATTTGCGCTCAGTGAAGACAACCGAAATACTGTAGTACCCCAATGTCATCCCCTATTGGCTCTAGAGTGATCGCCGCTTTATTGCGCGCAACGCGGGTGAGAGTCACGCTAGTCTGAATGATTCGAGCTGATTACAGGTGACAAAGAAGCCTACTCGGGGGAGCGACATTTTCAATGTGAGTTTACACTCAAAAGAGTGACGAATATGAGTATAGGCCAGGAGAACAAAACAAAAGGGTTAAAGATTGGAAGCTCAATATTGGTAGATCCTTGGGGGAAATGGAGCAGTGGCCGAGCTTTGGATGGAGCCTCTGGCACCCCCAGTACCGCGCGGAGGGAGGACAGCGGGATCTCCGTTACAGCTAAGGTAAGGTAGTGCTGACATATGGCTAGCGGTTCTTCGCCTTAGCATTGTGTTTCGCATTCGAGTCACTCATTACCGTGACCCATAGACGGACTTTCTTCATCACGGCAACGAAGTTGTCAAATCCGATGGACAGGGGCCCATTAACGCCGGCAATACAGAGGTTGAACTCTATAACGACAAGCCCTTGTCAAGCAGAATTAATTCTTCTTCTTCAGAGTCCCCCATACAGAGACAGAGCTTTGCCAAACCGAAGTCACCATGTCTTGCCCAGATTGCTTCAAGGGTTCCGTCCACGATCGTGCCGAACCAGCGGGTCAATTCGAGACTCTCTACGGTTGGAACCCGTACGTTACTGGCGACGTCAATGCTAAATCAGCCGTTCTATACCTTCCAGATGCTTTCGGCTTAAAACTCGTCAACAACAAACTCCTCGCCGGCCGCTACGCAGCTGTGGCACCGGGTGCAAAGTACTCATTTCCGGCCTGCTCTGGCAAGGCGGTGCAGAAGCATCTACCATGGACGCAGTGGAGACATTCTTAACACCCGGCGGCAGTTTCTTCACCAGACTCTGGTGCTTCTTCCAAACTGGTCCAGTCATCATTTCCTTCTCCACCTTCGGTGCCGCCTCCAAAGCAGACCCCGAAGTCTTGATGTACGCCCGTGCCATGCACGCAGACCTAGCACCAGGCCGAAAACTGGGTGTTGCTGGATTCTGCTGGGGAGGGTATGGAAGTACCAACTTGTGCACGGAGAAGGCCACCGAAGGCGGTAGCGAACCGTTGATCGATGCTCAGTTCAACGGCCATCCCAGCCAGCTCAAGACACCTGATATGATAGTTGACGCGATTGCGGCCAAAGTGCCTTAGAGTCGTGCTGTTGCGCAGCTGGATATGAGATTCACCCAGAAAGTTCGCAAGAAGTTGAAGCTGCAGTGCGTGCGAAGGGCGTTCCTGCAGAGGAGAATCACTGCGGATTTGTCGTCCATAAAGATTGTATACACGGATTTTGTGTACGAGCAACTCCTGGTACTCCGAATATGGATGGCTACCATGCTGCAACCAAACAAGCAATTCTTTGGTTCAACAAATACTTGAAATAAAGCCAATTGGAGTACTTGATGGAAACCTCCAAAAGAGCATGCCCACCATGCTATCGAACTTGTTGAGCGGGAGGTCTTGCTGGTCCGGAGGACTTGTTGATTCGAAGGACTTGAATCGTCGAGAATTTGCGCAATTGTGAAAGCCCGCAAAAACTGGAGGAACCCTGGAAAATAACGTTGGAATTTGCTACTACTATTACTAGCTAAAATTTCCGTGGTTTCTGTTGTAAATCTAGACTTCGTAGTCTGATCACTACTTGGCGGTCACCTTTAACAACCTCTCAGCATTCCTATATGCTATGCCTTCCAACACGTCATCGCTGACCATACCCTCGGCCTTTAAAGCTTTCAAAAACGCCAGCCCGGCTTCGTTCTGAACGAAGGGATAGTCAACGCTGAACAGGATCCGGTCAGGCTTACATTGCCTCAAGACAGCCGCCATGGGCGCCAAGAAGAACATGCCCGAAGTCGTTATCCAAACATTTTCGTCCCAAACCTGGCGCAGATTCCTCTTGAGCTTGAGGCCTAGATGTGGCCATTGTCGCATGGTGATGGCCTCGATGCGGTCGAGTTGGAAAGGCAACATCTCCCCAAGATGCCCTAGGACGATCTTGAAGGTAGGATAGCGGTCGAACAGTCCCGCCGCAAACAGCCGCAAGAAATGTACCGCCGTCTCGTTATGCCAGCCCCAGCCATACTCGCTCAATGATTCCGCGACGGCGTCCGGATAGTTGCCGTTGTATAGCAACGGCTTTGTTTGAGGGTTAGGCGCCGGATGGAGGTACACCGGTACGTCATGCTCCGCAGCTGCCTCAAACACCGGCCAGAAGAAGGGATTGTCGTAAAACCGCCCCTCGCAATTGCTGTCAATCAAAGTACCGACGAACCCCAAATCCTCTACGCAGCGGCGGAGCTCTCTGCTTGCAGCCTCGGGATCTGCCATGGAAACTGTCGCAAATCCTCTGAATCGACCAGGTCGAGCTTCCATGAGATCACTCAGCTCATTGTTCACCTTCACGCACGTTGCATGGTCTAAAGCAAGTGAATTCGGTGCGTGGCTGACGATCTGTAAAGACACGCCGCTCTCGTCCATGGCCTTCAGTCGCGTCTCCCCGAGTTCCATGAGAACGGGAGTTACCATCCCTACCAGACCATTCTCGTCATTGGGGTGCTTAGCATTGTTGGCGACATAAAAGTCTCGGACAGATTGAGCGAGCCAATGCTCTTCGAGTGCAATGAGCGGGTATGGAAACGCCATGCCTGTATGATGCTTGCTTTGCCAGAATGCCAGATGAAAAAAAGGGACATAGGCCAGCCAAAGATTGCACGTCTGGCTGTCGTACTGGAACGAGTTGTAGAAAAAGTCTTGACGCAAAGTAATACATGGGCTTGAAAATCAAAATGATATCCTATGTTGGCGGATTTAGGAGTCAAGAGACCCGACCGGCGGAAATAGGAATTAAAGAGAACCTAAGAAGTTAAGGCGAATTCACGCGTAGACAGCGTTTCGTTAACGATAATTTTACAAGTAATTACTTCTAGTTCGCTGTTAGTACGCATATGTGCAACACTCTAGCCTCATTTAGGGATGCGTAATGACTGACATTTGACCCCTATGACAGTCATCTGACGGTCATACGGTGACAGGCCGTCTGACCTGACAGATGACAGCGCTAACCGTATACCGTAGGTGTCTAACCGTAAAGATGATAAGGCTAACCAAAAATAGGCATAGTAGATAGAAGCTTGGCGTTATCTATTCTTAGCTCAATAAGATACCACTAGTGATACTCAGTTTCAGCCCTGAATATCTCTGAATTCCATCATACCCTTCGAATCCCACGCTTCACCTTACTACAAGCTCTTTGCAGTGCGGTCATTTGAATACATACAACTGTCAAATGACCGAGAAGGTCTGACCTGACGTCACGTGTCATATGACAAATCCACATCCCTAGCCTCATTACTCACCACAGTTCGCCACTACATACGTACCTTAGCGAGTAGCAGCGGCCTTCTTTTACTGTATATATACGGTAAATATACGATTGTTTTATTGAGACGTGTTAGTAGGCCACCTCCGCCTTTAGACGATAAAGAATAAAAAACGAACTAGATAATTAACGGTAATATATCTTAGTACGTATTAATAAAAAATCATATCGAGTTAAAATAACTATAATATTTTTAATAATCGTATGGGAATACGCTATACTTAGTATGAGCTACTCTAACGCTAAGATTACCTCAATATTAATTTTTTTTAATTATTCTATCTATTCACTTACATATATATTTATTTAAGACTACTTTAATCTATTTTAATCTTTTTAATTACTTTAATCTTAATTAACTTTCTAACTCTTTTATATAGTAGCCTTAAATTACTTAATGTTCTTATTTCTAAATATATTATATATCCGAGACTCTTTAATATTTACCCACTTTAAAGCTCTTAAAGTTCTTTTTAATTTTTTATTTCCTTGCGTGTAATGATCTAAGATCGAGCCTGATGAGAATAATAATATCTCTCTTCTGAATCATCGTATTAATTTTATTTTTCGAGTTACTCGAGCTATTGTAACTCGTTAAATAATATCTAATTCTCGCTTAACGAGTAGACCTAAAAAAAAATTGTAACTTTTATAAATATCGAATGATAATAAGATATTCTCAATCTATCGAGCCGTTATATATATTAATAAAGAATCTATTTTTTAGAATCTGTAAGCGCGTAAGAGTAATTATCTTTAAGAGGAATCTTATTATAGCGATATAGAAGCTAATTATAGAGCACGTTAAATTAAGTAATTAATTAAGTAACTTTAAACTTTATTTCGAAGGTAATAGAGACTAAGATCTATTAAATACGTTCTTAAATAACGATATATAAGTTAGATATCGTTATGATTATAATAGATAGATAGAGAATAGATGAGTTAAAAAAATTAAGAAAATTAATATTAAGATAGCCTTAGCGTTAAGGTAGCCCATACTAAGTATAGCGTATTCCCATACGATTACGTTTTATAGATTAAAACTATTACGATATCGTTGCGATATCGTTACGATATCGTTATAAAACCAAGAAATCGTTATAAAATTAAAAACTATTTCGAAAAGAATAAAAAAATTGAGAATCCTATAATAATAGTTAAGGTTTATTAAGAATAAGATATTTACAAAATTAATAAATTTCAAATAAGAAATATATTCGTTGATTCGAACTACGAGACTAGCTTACTTTATAAATTTTTACTACTCGATTAAATTTACTTAAGTTAAAGAAGAGTCTATTTAACTATATAAGATAATTTACGTAATCTTTTATTACTAAGATATCTATATAAATATTATTATTTTATTAATTTATAATTACTATCGTAATAGATTAAATTCTTCGATTTAATATATTAAAATTTGATACGCTTATTAAGAAAAATTAATTTACTATTATTTTAATAAATATATTATTAGAAATATATAATATATTTAATTCTTTTTTTAAATTATAGTTATATTATAAAGCTATTATTAGAAAATAATAAATCTTATTAATTTAGTTAAGGTACGGTTAGTATAACTTATAGTTCTTCGCTAAGATAGTCGATAACTCTTATCTATCGAACTTAGACATCTTTAACTCCTTTACAATAGATCGACTTTATAGAATTTCGAGTAACAAAATACTATAAAAGTTAGCTTAGAGTTTAGGTAATGAAGATAAGGTATAAGCGTAATAATTAGAATTAAAGGATGGATGTTTTTTTGAGAGGGCACCAGGGGAGGAAATTGAAGTTAGTAGGTGGGTCGATACGAGTAAAGCGGCGTGCAAGATCCGAATGACTGGGCTGCCAAGACCTCAGCCTTACGAGTACAACGAACACGGACGTCTGGAAGTTCGATGTCGAACAAACACCTTCAACAAACCTGAGTGAAACCGCCCACCAAGCACCTCCACCAAACACCACAAACACCGCCCACCATGGACTTCGCCTCCCTCATGTCCGCCGAGATCTCCAAGTCCTCCTCCAAACCCTCATCCTCACCAACCCCCACCCCCACCGAACCCACCAAAAAGTACCTCAAGCGCGCCGAGCTCGAAGCCCACCGCCAACAAGCCTACGTCGACGAACAAGCCGCCATTCAACGCGACCGCGAATCCAAACTCCTCAAGAAGCGGAAGCTCGACGAAGAAGACGCGGCGCGCAACGCCGAGAGGGACGGGAAGCGGCGGCGCCTCGCCGAGGAGTCACGGATCCGGCGGGAGGAAGAGGAGGCGAAGAGAGAGCGGGCGAGGAGGAAACGGTTGGGGCTGCCCGAACTGCCGGAAACGACGACGGCGGAGGATGGGACGGCGGTCCGGGGCGGCGAACCGGACATCCCAGACCCGGACCTCGTGGCCAAACTGCGCGCCCTCGCCGAACCCGCCCTCCTCTTCGGAGAAACCCACGTCCAGCGCCTGCGCCGCTACCGCAGACTCGTCGCCCCCGGCCCCGCCCCGCCCGCCATGACGAGCGGGCCCATCCCCACCACGCTCTGCCTCCTCCCGGAAGCCGAGATGAAAGTCTCCCCCACGCTCCCCAAAGACGTCGACGGCCGGACCTTCCTCTTCCGGCAACTGGCCTCGTACTTCACCATGGTGCTGACGGAATGGAGCCGGGCGCTCGCGCGACGGGAGGAGGGGGTGAAGGAGAGCCACCAGGGCCGGCAGGCCCACGGCGCCTACGCGCAGTCGCGCGCCAACATGGCGCCGCTGTTCCGGAAGTTCGAGGCCGGGCAGCTGGAGGAGGGGATCCTGGCGCCCATGGTGGAGATCGTGGTGGCGGCGCAGGAGCGGCGCTACGTGGACGCCAACGACGGCTACCTGCGGCTGTCGATCGGCAAGGCGGCGTGGCCGATCGGGGTGACCATGGTCGGCATCCACGAGCGGAGTGCGCGGGAGAAGTTGCACGAGAGCGACGCGGCGGCGCACATCATGAGCGACGAGGTGACGAGGAAGTTTCTGCAGAGTATCAAGCGGTGTTTGAGCTTTGCGCAGACGAGGTGGCCGCCGGAGGACTTGATGCAGTTGATGGGTTGATTTGGGCTTGAATTGAGCCTGGATGGGTAAATGATATCCTCTACTTAGGTGAACCTGTAGCCTGTCTAGGATCAAAAGCCAGTGCTCAATGCTGAAGACATACTGTCTATATCCATTCGACTCCTCCCATATCTAGACCCCCGGGGTATACCTCCGTGCTAATGCGTCATCTCATACAGTTCCCACAGGGACGTCCTCCCACCCTTCAGGGGCTAGGGTCCCATCACCAGAGCCCTGTCGTGGGGACTCCCTCTCATTCCAAAAGCCGTTATTGCACAATGGTGCCCAAAAGGCAACCCAGCAGGCGCAGTCCCATCAACTCACAAACCCCCTTCCCATATTCCTACCCCTCTGTCCACTGACCGCATCCAACTTGACAGCACAAAGCACTATCTCCATGCCACCATCCTCCTCTCCCCGGCTGCCTCTTGAGGAGTACTCCACCCTCGGCTGGACGCGCATTCGCCACTGACCTTTCCTCACTATCCATTCGCCAAAATCATCCAGACTTCCCCTTCTCTTCCGTTTCTTCATCGGAGGGGGCCGCGTACTTGAAGGGCGCATTGTAGGATTAGGCCAGGATTGTCCTGGCGCCAGGCTGGCGGACGAAGGTGTGGCTGTTTCTGGATTATATTCAAGCTCTTGTTGGTGATCTAGAGCGCTTTCATCCATTGTGTGTTCTTGGCCATCGAGTATGATGTGTGCGTCTTGCCCGATACGAATTTTGACTCTATCTTCACTCAGGGGCGTGTTTGCTGGACTTGCCGGGGCAGCGGATGCGCCGCCTGAAGACATCATGAGCCCGAGTGGCAAGTTGTGGGGCAGGTTCATTTTATCAGCAACAGTTTGGAAGAGACTAGATATGCGCGCTTTGGTATCACCGTAGAAATCGGCGCGCATGCTGCGGAAATCGATTTTCGTCTCTTGACTTCCTATTTCGACGATGGCTTCGTAGCTTGTCTCGTCGACGAAGGGCCGCATATAATTGACCCAGCCACCCAAGGGTGATTGGTCGGAGGGCGAAGCGTCGTTGACGAAGGAGACACCGGATTTGTGGAGGTCTTCGAGCTGCATTATGATTTCTGATTTGCCTCGTTCGGCATTGTAGCTTATGGAGTGCACAAATAATTTATGCATGAGGCCTTTGAAGCCATAGTACTTACAATCGCTGAGGAGCTGTGCGCGATGCTCCTTGTCGCGGATTGTGAGAGGGTAGCCGCGGGATAGATGGATGAGATCCTCGAAGGCTTTAGGGGAGCGGTTCGGTACGCTTTGCGGTTGTACTGCTGGAGGGCGCATGAGACCTCTGCTTTCGAGGCCTGGAAATGCATCATCACGCGAGCCGAGGAAGCCTGCAAAGCCGAGTGAGAAGAAGTTGGAGGAGTTGCCGGGACCGGAGAAGGTATCGCGGGGTATCTGGAACTGTTGACCGCCTACTGAGACGAAGATTTCGGCGTCGAAAAGCTGGGATATGAGGCGTTGAAGGCTGTAAAATTGTGCGTCGGCGTAGAGCCTGACATAGTGAGCATTGTCTCTTGGAAGGACGTAGTAGCCTGCAGTCACATTAGTGATATGCTCGGAAAGTGCCATTTTGATTGCTGTACCTTGTAGATGCCGGCATATATCGGCGAAAGTATCCGGATCTCGGTCGATAAACAGCGTCTTTGTTGGTCCATTACCACTTTCATCTAGTCGCAGCTGCTCTTCGAAGTAGTTTGAGAAATACGAGGGCGCTCTAGGGAGTTCAGCTATAGACACCTCCCTATTCCTGAGAAGACGAGCTTACCATCCGAATTGATCGAAGCTCCTGACAGCCTGAACAGCCTCCACCCGATCTGTATAGAAAACGCCTTCGCATGGGGTAATATGGAATGTCCGTTTCGCATCAGAAGGTCGCCTGAGCGCATCACGCCCGGCGTCCTAATGGGCCCTTTTCCGTTCGAAAGAGAGGAAGCAGCTGAGAGTGTGATCTTCGTCCCTCCCACATTTTCTGCTGTAAAGTTCTCGAATTCGGAGCGCGACGGTCCCGATACGCTAGAAGAGACCATTGAGCCTCCTTGTACATCATCTCCAACCCACATGTCTTGTGCGAGATTGTCCACCGCGAGCTTTTTTGGTGGAGCAGCACGCAAGCCAACCTCCAGCTCTCTCCGCCACCTGAGATAACGATCAGAGGGCGAATGTAACAGCCTTAGCACCGGAAGCCCAACAGCCACGCGGCAGGAAAATTCCGGAAAATGTGCTGGGAGGGAGGCAGCTCCGGCTGACGTGTCGGAAAGCAAGGATGTCAAGGGCGTAAGCAGCCAATTTCTGGTAGGCGAGCCAAGCGAGGTACTTGTGCAGAGATCAAGTTGCAAATGAGCGGACGACCAATGATCGAAAGAGCGCGGAAAAGACGAAGGTGATCTCAATAGGATAGAGGGTGGTTGAGCATGCTGGAAGGTCCGGCAGCAGTGGCCGCTCGCTGTGTCTATGAAGCTTGAGTAGCTGTGACAAGGCTCGTTAGTCAAGACAGAGTAGTCATGCTCTTGATATCACGTTAACTATCCGAGCTGTCAATTGGGTATGTGCACGTAAAGAGAGGTTGTCTCCAGGCGCAACAGATGGTAAACGATGGGTTGGCCCTCAATTTTCTACATGCGGGGGTCTAAGCGCGGTGGTGGTCTTGGCTCTACCCCCCCTCCCCCTCCCTCCTTTCCCCATACTTTGCCGTATCAAACTCATATTATTACAAGATCTCTCATCCTAAGAGTATAACCGAAGAAGAATGGGTGAGTGGAGGAGATCTTCATCGTCGTTGAAAGCGGCTTCTTGAACCTAGCAACATCAAGACAGAGCATACAGTACAATTGATCTTCAGAGAAGCCAATAGAACTTCCAGAGTCCTGGCTCTCCGAATACAAAGTTGACCACCAATCAATTCCCCCTCGTCTCCAATCCCAGCCCAGTCCCATTCCTCCTCCCTTCAACCACAGCCGTCAAAAGCTTCCCCACCGCCTCTAAATCGCCCAATAAGCCCACATGTCCCCTCTCTGTCCTCACTCTCCCACCATTTGCACAGACGTACCCTGGAGGCAACATAGCTGCCCGAGCAAGACAGACACCATCGCCACTCGCAAATTGCAAGTCTTCATACGCATCCGCGCGTCTAATCCCGTCACGGGAAGCAACGCGAGCGGCCACCACGGTTGGGGTATTGTTGGCGTAGAGAATCGCAAAGGGAGGGTAGCGATTCTTGCAAGTATGGTCCGAATTGTGGGCCATCTCCGACTTAAACGCTACTGTCTGGTCGAGCGTGCGTTGGAGATAGGCGAGAGCGTCAGGGAGAGGAATGGTGCTCTGAGGAGCGTTGCCATTTTTAGGTAGAGAGGAAGATGGTCCCATTTGAGGGTCGAGAGAGCGGGCGGATGAAGCGTTTGCGATGTCATTGACCTTGGTGGAAGCAGTGTTGGCGGCATCTGCGAGAGGGGATTTGTCGTCTCGTGAACGAGAGACGGATAATTTCCTGCCTGGCAATGCGAGGGAAGGGAAGGAGTTAAGCATGTCAGCCATTGAGCCCAAGAGACCCTTGTTCTCAGGAGGATGTGCAGCAGGCAGCGCAGGAGCTATGCAAGGTGACCAGGCATACTGCTTCCAATGTTCCACGTCAAAGAAGTTTACCGGGTACTCTTCCTTGGTCGCCTTGTTGATAAAGCATTTGCCATCTTCTGGCAGCAAAAGAAAGCTACTTCGAAGTGTAAAATTGACCTGTGCAGTAAGAACGTTTGAACTTAGAAGTACTTCATCTCCGTTCCGTAAAGGCCCAAGAATGTTGACACAGTGTTGTGGAACACCAGCAAATATCACGCCCCTGAAGAGCTCGGGTCGTTGATTGACTGAATGTCGCGTGATCAGCCCTCCCATGCTGTGTGCGAGGATGTTCGCTCCTCGTTTGTGGTCAGGCACAGCATCCGCATTGGATGGCAGTCTTTCGAGGAATTCGATGAGCCTCCGACTAAGCAGATGTGGGCTTAATCTCCAGTCATAGCCATAGTCATGTACCCGTAAGGTACCATCTTGAGCATTTTTGCAAGCCCGTAATCGCTTCAGAAGGCGTCTCCCCATATCGACAGGACCGATGTGACTCAGCATGCCTGATGCATAGATGTGATCTTTCATGTTCTCTTCGTCTTCTGGCTGGAGTCCCACTTCTAGATCAACCTTGCGAATGTTAAGACCGACTTTGATAGGAACCCATAGCTGACGATTAGGTGGCTTTGCAGATCGCAGTACAGATCCTCGATATCCACCCATAACTACCAGATCCCCTGTCAGATGTTCGAGAGCCTGCTCCAGGTAAGGATGAGTTGATTTTGGCTTTTTATCCATTAGGGTGCCGTTGCCCAACAGTTGTAGGCCTTGAGGCGCTGTATCATGCATTACATGGGCTCTAGCATCCGCAGTTGCTTCTCCATTCGTCATTTGCATTGGGCTTTTGGCTTCACTCTGAGCCCGAGGCCTTGTGAAATCTGGGCGAAAAGAGTCAAGATTAAGGGTAGATACATTCGGCATTCTTGGTAGTCTGATGCTAGAGTCCTGAAAGCTGTCTTTTATCGCCTTCATCCTGCTGTTGACCTGATCCTGTACATTCTCCCATCTACTATCGTCGCCAAGCGAGGAACCTATAGAGGTAGCTCTGCGAAGCATTAGAGACTGATCAGAAGTGGACCGATGTAATCGTGACTCTTGGGGGGACAGGGCGATCTTATCAGACGATGCCCTTCGACCCCTCGTACTAGGGGTTGGGCTCCGGCGCGCATTTGATTGCGGTTTCAGGCTTGTGTTTCCATCGGACGACAAGCTGGGTGCTGTGTCATCTTGTCCCTTCGCAAGGTCACCACTTGGCCGCCTTTCGGGTTGATTCCAAAAGCCGAAGCCTGACTTCATATCAGCAAAGGTACTGGCTCTTTTCTGCCTCGTTGCATCTCTGTGTATTGGGGAGCGCGACCGGGTATTGCTAAGTATTGAGGAAAGGCTGGGGATCGAGATGTCTCTGAAATTTGGCGTCTTGGGTAGAGATGGGAGATTGAAGCTCGAAAGATAGCGCCTGGCATTCAGATCTGCCAGCATGCTTGTAGGTCCGATTGCCTGGTGATCTTGACCATGTGTCTTCAATTTTTCGAACGGCTGGGGCTCCGCTCTCCATGGTGAAGGAAGGGTGACGGAGTGTTGTCTGTTCGTCGATGTGAAGGGTTCCTCAGAGGAATGACGAGGAGTCGTTGGCTCTTCATTCACACCAGCATCTTCCTGACTATATCCATTGTCATCGGCAGCGCCGTCGAACATGCCGATTTTGTCCAAGCCTCCCATGGCCGCAGCTTTTTCCGCAGCGGGTGTCTGAGGAGACAACAGTCTTGTCTGGGCTCTGTTAATGCTGACGCCAACAACTGAATGTGCATCCTCTTCAAGCATTGGAGTGCCGTCTTGTTGCTCATCTGGAGAAGAGCCATCGCGATCAGAAGGAACAATAGACAGGAAACGCGGCTCTGGCATTTCTAGGTGCAACGGCTTGCCCGATGAGGCATTTGAAGTTGCACGGGTCCTTGCGGAGGCGTCTTGGGGGGCGGAGGATGTCATGGCCGTTACATTGGCGTAGCAAATCCAGAGGGTACGAGCAATGAGGGCGATAGCAGTGCTGCTTGGTTTCGAAATAGGCGGATGGACTACCGTGAGACTCAATCAGGAAGAAGATCTGTCGGCGGCATGGCGCCAAGTATCATGTTACAGTCACATATTCTGCGGTGAAGAAAAGAAGCATCAGTAAGCATCATTCACGCACTGGGGTAGTGTTTGACCCGCTTCAGCCGGGTAAAGTATCTGGCCTCTCATCCTTGGTGAAGTAAAATACAAACGTATTTTCGGATGCTGCCTTTTCACTCGCTATTTATCTCCCGGTCAATCGCAGCATTCCTGGTGCCACTGAAGGGACGCCCATTTCAACTCATTCCGAGAAGGGCATCAAGGCAAGCATCAAGGTCCTTGCCAAGATATCATACACAACCACCCTAGCCGACGGGCAATTGGTAATGTATGGCTGTATGAAGTTTAGCCGAGCCGTCTTAGTGGCTTGGCTTTCCCGGCTCCGAGGACCCCCAACGCTGAATCTTCAACCTCCCTTCCTCGACCACTCATCCTTCCATCGACTTCACTGTAGGCTCATAACGACCTAGATACACCGTATTACTTTCATGCTCCGGTCCAAGAACAGCTTCGACCTTTCATAATAGCACAGCAGTAACAAAGGGTTTGCTCAAACGTTGCCAAATCCATCCATCTGTCTGACCAGCCCAAAGTGAAGAATTTCTTACTCCTGTTCCGGTCCTTGCAACGCTGCACATCCACCCAAGCAGTATCAGCAAAATGTCAGGTCTTGACGTCGAAGCTCTACTAGATTCCACCGCCCATAGAGCTCCTTCTGAATCCAAGGAGCGTCATAGCAAAGACCGCGATGATCGCTACAAGAGTGACCGACACGACCGTGACCGTCATCGCGATGGCAGCCACCGGGACCGAAGCCGCGATAGAGAGCGGCGTCATCGAGATAGAAGCAGAGATAGAGTGAAGAAGGAAAAAGATGTTGACGGAGATGTAGCGATGGAAAGTCCGAGAAGCGAGCGTACAAGCGGACGTGAGGGTCATCGAAGCAGACGAGACCGTAGTCGAGACAGTGATAGACGTCACTCACGCCGTCATAGGGACTCCGCCGATGCTGAAGACTACCGTGGCTCTGGAGGAGACTTCTACCGCGGAGGTGGGCGCGCTCGCACTCGATCAAGATCGCCTAATGGGGACAGATACTACCGACCCGGTGGCGATCGACCTCGCCGTGATGAAGATGACAGAGTTCGAGACAGAAGCCCTCGTCGTGACCGCAATGCTGAACGAAAGCGTACCCCGAGCCCCAAGCGCAAATCTCCTACACCGCAGCCCACGGAAGATGAGCGTGATAGAAGGACGGTCTTTGTGCAACAGCTAGCTGCGAGATTGAGAACGAAAGAGCTGATTGCATTCTTTGAGAAGGTCGGTCCAGTGAAAGAGGCACAGATCGTCAAGGACAGAGTCAGTGGGAGATCCAAAGGGTAAGCGTCTGAAAACCAACCCCGTATGCAGAGTATTCACTAAAACTTGTAGTGTTGGTTACGTTGAATTCAAAAAGGAGGATTCGGTTGCTCTGGCTATCCAGCTTACAGGCCAGAAACTTCTAGGCATTCCCATTATCGCCCAGCTCACCGAGGCCGAGAAAAACCGTCAAGCTCGCAACCCCGAGGCTACCAGCAGCAACCCCAACCAGATCCCGTTTCATAGGCTCTACGTAGGAAATATCCATTTCAGCATTACTGAGAGCGATCTACAGAATGTCTTCGAACCTTTCGGCGAGCTCGAATTCGTTCAACTACAGAAAGAAGAACAAGGGCGGAGCCGAGGCTATGGCTTTGTGCAGTTAGTACTTTCAAGTCCTCATTCGCCGTGTTCACGCTCACCCCTATGCTTTAGATTCCGAGATCCCAATCAGGCCAGAGAAGCCTTGGAGAAGATGAATGGCTTCGATCTTGCTGGGCGGCCCATCAGGGTTGGCCTCGGTAACGATAAGTTCACCCCTGAATCTACCGCAAATCTTCTCCAGCGGTTCCAAGGGCAAGAACACCAACGCAACTATCAGGGATCCGCCTTTTCCGGCCACGGTGGTCGTGGCTCACAAGCAGGTGGCGCAGGTGGCGCCTTCGATCGTGCTGGAGGCCGTGACAATGAAAAAGGTGGAGGAGGCGCTAGTGCCCTTGACGATACCGACGTGGCTGGAGTGAACTTCAACAATTATAGCAGAGATGCGTTGATGAGGAAGCTTGCGCGTACAGATGACCCGGCACCCGAATCGAATGGTGCTGACCAGAAGCGCCCGGTCGTCAAGCCAAAGACAGAGAACAAGCCATTGCCTGTCAGCGTCAATCAGGCTAGTAGATGTGTTTTGCTCAGGAACATGTTCAATCCTCAAGAGTACGTCTTCGCTTCCCTAACTCCTATTTCTGCCTTTTCGGTAGACCAAAATTGACAGTCCTACAGGGAAGAAGGTGACACTTGGATCAGAGAGCTCGAAGACGATGTCCGAGCTGAGTGTACCGAAAAGTACGGGAAAGTCGTTCACATTTCACTAGATCAGAACACCGCAGGCGACATCTACCTCAAATTCGACCGCGTCCAGGGCGGCGAGAACGCCATCAAAGGCCTGAACGGACGTTTCTTCGGCGGCAGACAGATCTCAGCTCAGCCTGTTGTCGACGCAGTTTATAGCTCGCTGTTCTCGAGAACTTCTGCGCTTTAGGGATGCTGACGGTATAGCTAGTATGCTTGCAGGTGGTACTTCGGTGGAAAGAGTGGTTGAGGGTGGATGTCCAAGGGATGTGGTTGCACTGACTAATGCCTCTAGATTCAAAAACAGCTTTGCATCGATGAGGAGGCAATCTGGCGGACAGGCTAAGTGCGCATTAGGTCTTCTTGCTCATGCAACCTCGTAGGTGGAAGTAATAATGCGAATACAGGACTTCGTTGCTGTATTATCATTGTTCCTTGATAGATTCATATGCTATGATACACTTTCAAGTCCATTTTGTGATGCTTCCCTTGATGAAAAAACGCCGCGATCCCCTTCCCTGTGCTAAACATGGCCGTTCGAGAATGAGAGAACGACAAAGAAAGCATACCTTTCCCCAGCGCCTCTAAGGCAATCAAGCTCTCCCTTCGGCTAGCACACACGGACATGTAAACTCCGTGTGTATCTAGAGAGAAAATATACGAGTGTTAACGGATGCTCAAAGAGGGCACTCATGCCAAAGCTCGTCGGCGAGAATATGGGCTCTCAACCGCATCCAGCTGCTGCTGTTGCTGAGGCTGCTCAGGTTGCTCTTTTTTGGCAACTTTTGGCCAAAGTCGACAGCCCCCGCTGTTGTGAGCTCAGGTTGCTCTTGATTTTGGCCAAAGTTCGTCTTGGAGAAATTGGACGACGGCCCCCCCCTCCCGCCCCCCCACAACACCCCGGGCGGGCGGCAGTGTTCTTGTGTATCTTGTAAAGCTTCTGAACTCCAAGATGATACACTGAAAGGGCTGACAGCCCCAAAGTAACAGATGTCCCAGCATGAGATTTGGGGTAGCTCGACGGTGAGATTACCAACTTGGGTAGCAAGCCTCGCGCAGACACAAGATCATTTTGGTCGAAACCCCTGGTTGCGGAGATTGTGAACGCTGTGCATGCTCAGCAGTGGACGGTCTCCTCGGTCGCTTGCCCCAACCGGAAGCTGCTCGACATCAGGTCTCTCTGGACGCTAACCGTTCCTGACCCGGAAATAGAGCCCAGGGTTGTAAGAATTTGGTATTTTTAGTGGCGTCGTATCTTTTATCACTTCTATATCCAGCAGTCTCTCCACGATGGTCTTCCCTATCCCGAGATCCCAGACCTCTATAGACAACTCTGGAGCGGTTGACAAACGTGAAAGCAGGCACGTCTTGAATACACCCAATTCCTATAAGCGGTTATCAATAAAAATTAATGTTCAAGAAAGCAACAGCGTCTTGCTAGATTTGAAAAACTTGCTTTTGGGGGAGGAGGTTCAAAGCAGATTCTCTGCTAATTCATGCGTCCTTCGTCCGAATCTTGAACCATGATGGCATTAGAAAAGAGGCTGTGAGGTACTAACGAGCAGTGACAACCATCCGAGAGTGCCCTGCCTGATACCCGAAGAGCATTGAAATCCATCACAACTCATTTATGTCCCGTGCATCGCTCTTCGCTGTCTGTCTTGCAAGGTCTCAGACCTCTCTGAAAAAGGCGGTGAAAAGACCGGCCACCACAGTAGCAACAACCCCCAAAACATCTCAATCTTAGAAGGACCGTGTGGGAAAGGCTTGCAGTCACAGAACTAACAGCATCTGCAGGTCTCAGAACTGCACCAGAAGATCCTAAAAGGGCCAGTAACACAATGGTGCAACGGCCTTTCAAAAATGCTAGACTTTCAAACCCTAGAAGCACGTGTTAAAGGGGCTATCGATCAGAGAAAGAGCATCCTTTCAGATACCCCAAAGCGCTGTGAGAGCCATGCTAACAGAATTCCAATCCCCAAGGGACATATAGCGAGGGACGACAGCCACCAATGAAGGTAACAAAGGGAACGCAAACAACCACAGTAAAACGTGTCGGCAGGGTTTCCAACCAGGAAAGCAACAACACCTTGCCAAATATTGGCAGAATCTTATGGGGAAAAGGGCATCTATCCAGGAAAGAATACCATCAAGATCACATTCAAAGGTTCGATAACCACCATAGAATGCCTTGAATGACTAGAGGGCCACATACTTGTGTAGGAGAAAAGGGAACATGCCCATTGAGAAGCCATAGGAATCACGAGAGAAGAATTGATTCTCACAAAAGAATCCATTGTAAGGGCAAACAGCCACCCAATAGGATACGAAAAGGTTCATCATCAGAAATTCTGATCTCTTGCATTCTCCATTTTTGAGGATCGTCGCCGTACACTGAACGAATACTGCTCGCTTCACTGATCCGTCACTTTGGGTTAGCGTCTCTTAGCGTGATAAGTTCGTCTACTTCTTCGCCCACCATCCCGTCTTTCATTCTGACAACAACCTCTTGGTTCCATCCGTCACAACTCATCTTCATCAAGGTAGCAACAGCTACACTACACATCTGGAGTAGCAAGCACCTTGAAAAGGCCAGAAGCGTCACAGAGTAAGTCCGTCACGTCCGTACTTCGTCACCTCACTTGGTGTTGGGCTTTGTGCTCGCCTTCACGTCATCAACGCCGAGCTTCGCACTCTTCTCCCTCTTATCGGTGCCGAGCCTTGTACTGACCTTCACGTCATCAACGCCGAGCTTCGCACTCTTCTCCCTCTTATCGGTGCCGAGCCTTGTACTGACCTTCACGTCACATAGACTTATCACAGCGATGTCTCAAGAGTCCAACGCCGGTTCGCGTCGTACGGAAGGAGGACTGGCAAATGCGTTGGAAATCCTGACGGTGGGCCATCAGCCCCGTCAATCAGAACATCTGGTCGGTTGTTTTCTTCATCAGTGTACTCGTTTTTGAGTTGCTAACCCGTCGTACAGCGCAGTGATAAGGTGTTACTCGGCGAAGTCCAACGTCACATCGGGCGTTTGGAGGAGAAGATCGAGCAAAACAGAGCGCTATTACTGCAGAAGGACCGTGAGATTTCAGACCTGGATCACGCAAACAAGGACGTGCATGATGATCTTGCCCAGCATAAGACAAGACTCCGAAAGGTGGAAACGGAGAAACAACTACTGCTTCATGACATCAGTCACTTGAACCAAGAGATTGATGCGAAGAGTACTGCGTTAAAGAAGTCGAATGACGACTTCGTTAAGGCGCAGAAGACCATCAAGGTCCAAAGTGATCTGATCTCTGGTGCGAAGGACGGACCTAAACCTCACGGCACTCCTCAGCGCTTTGGCCCTCCTGCCGGTGCGTACAGCCAGGTGTACAATCAGCCGCCTCCGGCCTACAATGCTCCCAGCGGTCGCTTCCCTCACGCTCAAGCTGCCACAGCGGCACAACATACAGCTCCTGGCCTGCGTCGTCAGTCATCCAATCATCCGACCTTTCAACCACAACCCTTGTTTAGCACTCCTGCCAATCAACGTCGCCCATCTGTGACTCCGCCAGCGTACAACCCCTATCAAAGCCAGCAAGGCGTGCTCGTCCGACAGGACACCGACCAAGCGTCCGGAGTCGATTTGATTGGAGACTTCACTCCACACTTCCACCTCATCGAAACATGGACGCACAACTACGTCAGCGTCCCCGATCAGCATAAGGACCAGTTCATATCAGACTCTCTACGCAATTGCCTCGCCGTAGCCACCGATCCTCGCACAGCCATGAAGCTCATGACCTCCAGCAAGACTCGACCCTTGCTCATCGCGCGCGTTATCAACCAGCTTATTGTCGACTTCGCATTCCGTCCTATGCTCCTCCGAGGCTTCTCGCCCTTCTACGACAACAAGATCTCGAGCTTTCGCGGCCAGCTGATGGGCAATATCCCCTCCAACGTCCGTCGTGCGCTCCTCCTCGCTTGCGCCGAGACAGTCGTGGATATGACTCAGGCAGAGGGTTTTGAAGGTTGGATGGATCGCAACATCACGCCCAAGGTTCACGACATGTGGCACCTACTCCAACCCCTCTTCGCTCACGGCACCCCTCGCGATGCAGCTTGGAACGATCTGAATCGGATCTGGAGAGAGGCCACCCGCATCGGCATCCTGATGCTCTCGAAGCCGTGCATCTACACGCTGGACTTCCCTCCCATGGGCCCAAACTCTTACTTCAACCCGAGCAACATGTGCAACCGCGACCAAGATTTCACGCAGAACCCTCAGGCCCTCAGCAGCATGGCCGTCTCTGTCCGCCTTGCCATCACGCCCATCATCACCGAGACGGACTTCATGAAAGACGCAATCGAGGCGAAATGTCTGCACCAGGCCATGGTTTTGCTTGCCATCTAGGATGGAGTCAATGACGGATGGATGGCTTGGTCCGTAAGAGAAGGAACCATTGCTCTTAGTGAATATTATGGCCATCGATTCCTTTTTCCGTGTGACTTCTTGCAGTGAGCGGGGAATAGACAACTCCACACAACAGCATCAGATAGGCTACTCTTGCATATCGAAAACTCAATAGAAGGCGTTTTTAACAAACCAGTTCCTCGTAATACGTAACAGTCTCAAGAGAATTCTCCTCCTTTTTGGACGATCTGACGGGCAACACCCCATTTCAGATATTCGAGAGAAGCTCTGTATATTCTCAAATATCACCGATTGTGACATCTGTCGAAGAGTTCTCCCTTTAGGTTTAGAGGACTTGACGGCTATAAAACCATGACAAGTAATGCATGATTTTGCTTTCCGATGAGGCTTTCTCGGGAAACGACCCTCAGATATTTGTAAAGATTCAGCTTCCTCTTTCTCCCGGAAAGTGGCAAGTCATGGGCGTAGGAGGTCCACAAGATGGCAAGCGGATAGCTCTCGTACCTAGCCAAAAAATAAAGGATAATGATATCCTCACTTTCACCTCTCCAAACGACTGTGATACTTCATGGGGATCTTCCCCTACAATAGCGTTCTCTTCCCTCTCGGATCCATCGCCTCCCGTCTCCTCCACTCTCTACTCTCCTTCGTACCTAAACTCCCGCCACCCCCTTCATTCCTCCTCTCCCAGCCTCCCAGTCTGACTACTAGTGCAGTAGCATTATCGCCATCACTCCCCACCTCCGTCGCAAAGCTCACGACCTCTCTTGCACCCAGCTCTGGGGTCTTTGCTTCTTTGACCAGGTCTACAATCTCCTGATCACCAACCCCGCCAGATACGCCGTCGGAGACCAAAACCATGAAGGCGTATTCAGAAGGTGCGAGGTTGAGGTGGCGGATTTCTGGTTCAGCCGACACGCCCATGCGTTTGGAGCCCATATCGCCGAAGGCGCGGGTGTTCGCGAGACCGGACATGCGTTCTTCGCCGAAGGAATCTGTGACAAAAGAGGCGGCCCAGCGGCGGAGACGTTCGCTTTCGCTTGGGGAGGAAGGGTGGTGATTTGTTGTTAGCGACACGGCTTGCCCGTTGGAGACACGGGAGAGGAGGATTCGTGTGTCGCCACAGTGGGCTGTATAGAGCGTGCTGGGAGTGGAAGGATGCCAAAACGGTGTAGGTGTAGGCGTCGAGATGAGCGCAATAGACGCCGTAGACCCGCCTAGGAATGGTTTCCTGTGCTGCGCGGAAGACCGCGGATGCGATGGTGAGTGTAAGTCATCGTTCGCATTGAGCGGGCGATCGGAAGCCACAGGGTCATTATCGTCACTAGATAGGCGTAATTGGGCGAGGAGGAAAGATAAGTCGGTCTGCAGAAAGGCGTGGGTTAGGACCGTTGCGATTGAAGGTTTGGAGTCTGAAGAGAAGGCCGTGGGTTTGAAACGCCGAAAGTAGCCTCCTACAGTCTCTTTCCAGGACTTGATAAGGACGGTCTGGAGCCTGTTGGCTTTGGAGGGGTCGTAGCTGGTAGAGTCCGTGCCCTTATCTTGGACTTCTTTTCGTCGCGATCCTGCTATTTCCTTTGCTTCCTTATCTGCTTCACTTGCCGTGCCATTGAGCGTAGACTCCAGCCCATACTCCTCCGCCGTCTCCTCAATACTCTCATGCAGCCTCTCCCTTAGATATCCACTACACTCCGTTCCCCCATGCCCATCAAAGACCCCAAAGTAGAAGACCTGCGGATCTCCACTCGCACTCTCCGCAGAAGTGCTCTCCCCATCTCCATTGCCTTTCTCCTGTTCCTTTCTTTGCAGTTCCCTGTACGCCTGCAATGGACTACTCGCCGGCGCCCTAGTCAACGTCCTCGGTGCCCTTTTCGCGAAAGCAGGTATTTCGATGACGCCCGCTTGGTATGTATCTTCATTGTAGGGCCGAGTGCCGCGGGAGACAGAGACACCGAAATGATGTTTTGCGCTTCGTAGCGGTATTCGCACCACTGTAGTATCTCTCGGACTTCCAAGCAAAGGAGCCGGCGAAGGGCCTTCGTTTGTATTATGAGGCTTCGAGGCTGAGCGAGGTAATTGGTGATGTGGGCCTGAGGAGGAGCGGGAGTCGGGATGGAGGGAGGAAGAGGGAAGGTGGGTTACGAAATAATCATGGAAGGCGCGGTAGAAGTTTGCATATCTTCTAGGGTTCCGAGTAATAGGCCGGCCTGCTCTATTTGGTAGCAGACCAAGCATTCTTGTCCCATTGCTGCTGCTGTGGCAGAGTAGATGTTGAAAAGCTGGGGAAAGAGTGCTTCCATGGGTAACTCCACAGTACATTACCTCATTTGGTGAAGCGTACTAGTACCGTACTACGTCTATATCCGGCTACCTTAGCCCCAACCTCCAACTTCCTATTGACCCCCACCGTGGGTCCCACGCCATTCCCGTTTTCCTTCCTGGACTTATGTCAAGCGATAATCCTGGCTTTCGCGCCGCCTGTGTCCAGAGGTGATTGCTATTACAACGGTAACCTGTATGTCGAAGTTGGGACCCTCAATCGACACAAGGGTGCAACCGTCAAGAAAATCACCACATTTCTCCGCCCAGATTTAAGACAACCCAATGACGCCTCAATTGACCCGCCAAAAGATCATACCACCCTCAAAGGATAAAGCAAGGGCGAAGATGCGGCTGTTGGAAGCCCCGAACTATTCCAGAATGGCTCAATATCGCCAAGATGGAAGCTGAGATGAGGAGAGAGTATGCTACGGCGGAGAGGAAAGCAGAAGTTCCAATACAAAGCTAGCAGAGCGCCTACCAAGAAGACTGAGGCCATTGCAGTCGGCCAGAAACGAAAGCAGTCCGAGTCTTCTGGAGACATCAACAATATCAGTATCAACATTAGCTTGGGGAATGACTTCCAAGAACTCTTGGGCGGTGTCAATCCTTCCGACAGCCAGTCGCCAGCCAAGAAAGCCGAGACAGGACCGTCATAGCCAACTAAAAGGAAGACTGAGGAATTCGGATCTTCAAAGCCATCAAAGAAAGCTACTGAGCTGGGATTCGAGGATCCGTTGTCCCAAGCAAGAAAGGTACATAGACGGCCTATACAAACAGCGAATTCTGCAAAGCTCTATTAAGCTTGGTTGAAAGCTCCCAGCATAGGTCTAGGACCCGTGAATATCGCAGGTCTCAGATATTCCAATACACCATCGAGTAGATTCAGTCTAGCAGAAGGAGACCTGCCGTACCCGTCTAATACGAACATAGGAGCTGCTAAGGAAATATCACTAGCTAGACAGAGGCCTATCCTCGCGAGAGCCAAGCGAGAATCGAAGGTTGAAAATACAACGCAGATTGGGAAGGAAGTCGGCATTGGAAAAGAATTAAATGCTAGAAAGGAAGCCAGGGTGAAGAAAGAGCTCGGTGCTAAGCCTTTATCCAAAATCAAACATGGGCTCGACGCGGACTAAATTCGCACTCCAAATTGACCGTTCCTCGGCCTCATTAACGGCATCTACGACCTCTCCTGGCCCACCGTGGAGCGCGAATGGTCCTGTACGGACCCAACCCTCACCCTATCCCTCGACGGTACCACCATCTAAGGGCGCCTACGACCTGAACACGTTCTCCGGCATCGTGTCCCTTCCTCATCGACCGTGGCAAGCCTCTAAAGAACTTTTACCCGG